AATGGTATGGTAACCCTGCCTGCGTTAACGCGATACGCTGGCGGAGCACCAGTGAAGGGTGATTTATGAGAATGAAAACAAGCCAGTTAGCACATCATGATGAATTCATCAGGAATTAACCATGATAGTTTCCAGGGGGAACAGCGAGGAGGTCGACCTGGTTGGGTATATTGCTAGTAATGGGATTCTCAGTCTCCATTACTAACAATCCCTTTCCCCACTGTATTAGCATTTAGTAATACCAATACAAACAGAATACAAATGTTTGTATTGTCGGGAATCGAAACCGCGATGACTAGATTGATGAATAGATGACTAGATCCTACTTGCTGTGCCCAACAGGGTCCATAATTGAAACCTTATGTATTAATTATGTATTATGTATTAATTAATTATTATGGAATGCAATAAATAAATAAATAGATGATAAAAAAGTGTATTAATCTGCTGCACCACAGTAGTCACCCACGGTTGCCATGTAAATAAATTATTTCTTTTTAAAAACAGCGGCAGTTAGCCCCTTTGCCGCGTTCTAATCATGTCGCTTTTTTAATGGGTGAAAATGGAATGGTAATCCCACCCGCGCTATCGGTATACGCTGGCGGGGCACCAGTGAGAGATGAGGATGGAAATGTAAGCATTTGACCCAACTTGACAAATTCAATTAATTAACCCAGTTTCCAAAGTATGCTAAAGTTACCTAAGATTACCTCGTAAATAAGTAATAAAGGCTTGGATTGGGGGGAAAGGGATTGATAGTAATGGAGACTAAGAATCCCATTGCTAGCAATATACCCAACCAGGTCGACCTCCACGCGGTTCCCCCTGGAAACTATCATGGTTAATTCCTGATGAATTCATCATGATGGACTAAGTGGCCTGTTTTTATTCTCATCTATCACCCTTCACTGGTGCTCCGCCAGCGTATCCCGTTAGCGCAGGCGGGATTATCATTCCATTTTCACCCATAAAAAAAAGGCTTGGATTATATAGATAGAGCATCCAGTCTCAAAAACAGGTCAGCTTTTTCTCAACTAATTGTCAAATTAGTTGACCCGTTTTTTTATCAATGTTCTATATATATTTACACACATAGTGTATCTTATCGTGTCTATATTTAATTATTTATTAATTAAATGAATTTTTACGCATTAAAAAGATGTAAACATTATAAAACAAAGTAAATATAGAAGTTATATAGGAAACGCTTATAACTATTTATCACGCAAAACTGTATAAAAAAGTTGAGCCGTTTTTCTCAAAGCATTTGTATGAAGACACTCTATCTACATAATCTAAGAATAAGGGTTTTGATCTTGAATCCTCCTATAGATGTTCGAATGTTGAAGTGTTCCTTTAGAGGTAAAGCAACTAGACTATTCATAATTTATACTATATTTTTTCTTTTTTATTAATTTAACAAAACAAAGTGTATAAAATTTACACTTCCTAATGTAAGACTAATAAATACACAGTTATTGCTTAATGACGAAATAGTAAATTTTGTTAATGATACAGTTTTTTTAGGTATAACAGTGGACTCGAAATTACAATGGGGGCCCCATATTTCAAAATTGGCCAGTAGACTCAGTTCTGCTGCATATGCAATTAGAAGAATTAGGCAATTAACAGACGTGGCGACGGCTAAACTTGTATATTTTAGTTATTTCCATAGCATAATGTCTTATGGCATACTGCTGTGGGGTAAAGCAGCCGATATAAATACTATATTTGTTTTACAAAAGAGAGCCATACGTTCTATTTATGGTATGGGTTCAAGAGAGTCATTACGTCAGTGCTTTAAAGACTCAAATGTCCTCACAGTTACTTCACAATACATTTATGAAAATATTATGTATACACGGAAGAACTTAGCGAGTTTTAAAAAACTCAAAGACTGTACAAGTAGAAACTTACGCAATATAAATAAGCTTATTTTACCTAAATGCCGTCTGCACAAAATCAGTAATTCATTCTATGGTAATTGCATAAGATTTTATAATAAACTGCCGGAATCTGCATTAAATCTGACAGAGAGGCAATTCAAATCTTATATTAAACAATTTTTATGTAAGAAAGCCTATTACAGGATAGACGAATTCATAGATGACAACATATCAAGTAAATAATTAGTTTATTAGCATACAACGTTATAATTTTATTTTCTCATTGCTTTCTTGATTTAATTGATTAATTTTAGAAATATGAAAGCGTAGCGGTTTTTTGTATTAATTGCCGCATGCATTCTTATGTAAAATGTGAATACTATAACTATCAGATGGCAATTGTGAGTAGCTTTGACGTGGTCTAGTGTTTTGAGTAGTCATGCTCACTAAAATGTCCAGACTTGTGGCGGCGTGGTGGGCCGGGTCATTGGGCTCCCTAAAATATGGTCGAGCGCAGTGATGGCTGGCTCATCCGTCATACTCGTGAACGGGTGCTGCTTGTAGGGACTGGTCTGCTCTAATCACTATGACTGATTTCCTCTTATTAATTGTTTAACCAGTTGGTTATGTATTCAATTTTTTTTTTCTTTTTGAGTATTTAATTGAATTAGTGCTAATTGGTGGTTTGTATTCACACAATTAAACTTAAAAATGTAAAATAATAATAAAATTATTTAAAAGAGCATCACGCAAGTTTCTTGCTCGTTCTTCTTGTGATGAGACAGCTTTCCGAACGAGCGGTAAATTAAAAAAAATGTAATGACTTTTCAAAAGTGCTTCAATGTAAGTTTATTTGAATAAATGATTTCTATTCTATTCTATTCTATTCTTAAAAATTATAATATAAATATTAACTAGCCATTGTATGACGAAAACTATTAGGTACTTTGGTTAATAAAGAAATATCATATAATAATATATCGATAAATAACAAAGGTAGTAAATTCCGATATGTTTCAAAATTGTGGAACTAAATTCGTCACCTTTTAATTATTTAAAAACGACGATAAAATCTTATACTTCTGTTTTAAAGAATAGACACTAACAACACTTTTTTTTTTCTACCTCCAAAGATCGATTTATTGTCACATATGGGAATAAAATATTCCCTTTTGATTTTTTTTTTTTATAAATATAATCTTACGGCTCTGGATGCAAGTTCAAACACTATCGAGAGTACGCCATGCAGTTATTAAGTTTAAAGTAAACAAGACTAATGCGGAATGCAAGTTCATTTTACAACCACAACGGTTTCGAGAAGTAACCGCGTGGAAGTTGACCTAATAGAATATATTACCAGCAATAGAGCTCTTAGATCCCATTTCTAGCAATCCATTTTCCGCCAATCATGGCGAATGTTACGTTTACCAGCAAATGCATATGGCTACCCCATTAGGGACTACAGTCATGATCATATTGTTTTTTTTTTCTGATAATTGAACGAAGAAAAACGCCAAACAATTATTTATAATTTCCTATTAAAAAAATAAATAAAGCATAACACCTCAGTTCTCATGAATGGCAATACATAAAAGGTAGGTACCATGAACGTCATAGTATATCCTGTAATGTCCATACTGTTCTTGTCTATTGGCGACGATTACCACTTTCTATCCGTTCGTTTGCATTTCTAAGTTACATAAAAAATGGTCTATGTAAATTCTTGGATACATCTTTCACTTCCCTCTATTCGCTCACTTAAGTATTTCTTATTGATTATTATAAAAAAAGAGCCTACTAATGGCCTAAAATGACATTAAATTAGTCAATAGATAGTCGTGGACAAATCGTATATATATGCCCACGACTATAATCTCAAGTGGGCTACTCAGAGACATGTTATTTTTAAGAAATGAGTCCGACTAGAAAATAATGAATCACCCACTAGCGTGATTACATTTTCTCGAAACTTATTCTTACGCAAGATCGGTTCCCCCTAGCTATTGACCTATTTTCATTCAATTTGGATAAGCCAAATTTGTGTAACATGATTGTATTTCAATGAATCACGAGACGCTAGCGCCGGCTGTAACAGTCGTCGTAGGCGAAATTAAATGACACACAAGCACGTAATCCTTCCACATCCTGCATACATGAGCAATGAGTACCTACGTCAGTATGTAAGCACGGAGTACCAAATAGGGCATTTAATATAGTGCGGTGCTACGTTTATTTTGGTCGCTGTCCATCCATAAGGAGTCGGGAGTGTGTGATACGCAGCTATTCCGGGCGGGGCAGGTTTTCGGGGAATGTCAACAAACGCACGGGCATCGGGCATCGGGCACCGGCACTCATTCAATGAACTCTATGCAGCGTCGCCGGTGGCGGACCGGTCGGCTCGCCTCCAGTATTCATACAAATTATGCTCCCAGGCGCGCTCAATGGACTGCCGTCGAGTAGCGCCTTGTTTGCGCCTGCCTTTACGTTCTCTAAACTCCTATAGGATCACGGAACGCTCCTACACCGGCCGTACGGTACGCGGCCGTGATTCATATATCTTTGAACGGCTACGGCTTGACTACCTACTCGATTAGAAATTAATTCATTGCAGAACTTTCGTTCGCGTGTCAGCAATTATGTTACGCTGGTTCATTGGTCAATTTCAGTACTGCGCACACTGTTGCAGACTATCGTACGGAACATAGCGCGGTAGGTTCTGTTTTTTATTAAACTATGGCACAGGTGTGTACGATCATTGCACAAGTTTACGAAAACCAATCACTACCCACATGTGGGCGGCGGCGGCTGTGACGTCGTTTTGACCTCACTACTTTCCGAACATTACCCAACATTTTATCATTTTATTAGATCAGAGAAACCTAATACGCTAGTCTAAAACGAAGCGCCAACATTACATATTTTTCATTCTCTATCTAAAACTAGTTCAAGATTACAACAATTAACATTTTTAGATGCAACATTTAGCCAACGAGAGAAAAATAATCCATACGAAATCGTAATAAAGAACGGAACGTGAGAACTGGACTAGTGTCGCGTACCTGCCTGCCTGCCCGCTCCCCAAATAATAAAAGTAATCCCGCACGGTATTGTGAGATGAATGAAAAACATTTTTAAGGATTTAGTTTCATATAATTTTCTTTTAACAAATGATCAATAGAAAACTGTATAATTAACAAGTAGCGTCTTAACAGATACTTCAAAATTAGCATTGTAGGTAATATTTTACAAATACTTTGGAATGTTCATATAAAGGATCTCATATGAATCAATTGACAAAACAGATCTCCCGTCACAACGACAACACTTTCATTACAGACTCGAGGTAGGAGTCACCTAGTGCACGGCCGGCGGCTGGCCAACCGGCGGTCCACGTGAACGTCGCACGTGTCAAATATATGGGAATGGTACACAACGGTCTAGAATAAAACCCCCACCGGGTCGCCAGCACCAGACCGGCGTGATGTCACAGCCTACTGATAAATTTACTATTTTTTTGCAATCACTCCACAATCTAAGCTGCCAAATGAAACGTGAAATTACATTACGAGATAAACATTAGATGTTAAATAGAGAGCATATAATTAAGAAGCGACAGGTGTTCAGCACTGAAACCGGCTGTCACGGTGTTAGGATAACTTTTTGCACAGTTACACGGCCGTTATTTGTATAGATGCTACCTATTGATAAACATACAGGAGGTCCAGTGCTGGACACCGCCGTACGGCAAGAATATAGACAAGCTTGGCAGGCCGCAGCTTACATTCAAGAGTGAGGGTTTATTGTACACCATCCAATGTAATATTACAATTTTTACATACAATTGGAGATTCATAATGAGATTACAATGGGAGTCGAGAGACGCGAGGCCTTATGATGCTTAGCAGGGTGAAATGAAAATGCAACCGTTATCCGCTCGGTTAGGCGTTTGATGCGACAGATCAAGATTAACTAAGTAAAGCAGTCAATAAATAAACGATCATAAATATCTAATAAATACCTACACAGGCTATATTTACAAGAAGCCTTTCATCAAGGGCACATTCAGCCTTCAAACAAATATAATACAGCACTATCCCACGGGATATCAGGTATAAATTAAAAATAATGTAAAGCTGCCAGCTTAACTCTCGTATTACAAAATAATACTGTACCAGTAAATACTCTATCCGCGAGATGGAATGTGCGGGCTCTTGCCCTGTACAGCTATAGGAACCGACTGCGCTACTCGCTGCCTTGTACAAGCATACAAATTCATCACAATTCTATTTGTATAGAATGTAACACTAATAAATACAATTAACATAGATTCACATTTACATAAACAGTACAGTGGCAGAACAGTCAGCCTGCACATGTACCTAGGGTACCGAGTAATTTGCTACAATAACAAACAATAACATGCAGTGTGAACAGCGCTCGGTCGCACTGGACACACCACCCTCCCGGGCTGAGCACACACCTCTGCACTTTGTCTATTGCAATATCAACAGTAAATGGTAAACCGGAGCGCCTGCTCAGCACGGGCGGGCAGTAAGCTTTGTACCTGGTGATACAGAGCCAACAACAATACATAACATTATAACAGATCTACTTGAAGCGAGTAGCATTAGGTACACGGTCGATGTTCAATCTCACACATCCGACATACACTGAATATGATCAACAAAATAATGTAGGATTCAGGAAATGAACACTAGGCAATTCAAATTTTGTATCTTCACAATGTAACCACATCTTCCAAAGGTATCCGAATCAGTATATACAAAAGAAATTCCTTCGAAATAAATTATAAACTTCGTAAAATAATTATCACATAAATTTTTCTCATAACTCTTGTTACCTCGACATAACTTAACACATAATCTATCTATATGTACACCAGATACAATATAAACAGGGTAATAGTCCAGTGGTCGGTTGCACTGTCCGGGAGGCGGTGGGTGATGGCCTAGCGGTGGACGGGCGCAAGGGCCGGCGCGGGAGCCTTGCACAGCGAGACACGACCGCGCGGCGCCGCCACCGCCACCAGCTGCACCTGGCCGCGCTCCTCCGAGAACGGCGGCGCCTTCGCTCGTCGGTGCAGGCGCACCCACGCGCCGAAGCAGACTAGAATCGCCAGGAACACTGCGACGGTCGCACCGCCTGCGATCGACGCCGTCTCCATCATCAGGTGCCGACTCGTCAGCACGTACGAGTCGTCCAGGTCCTTGAACTCGCACCTTTGGCCCACGAAACCGCTGCGACACTCGCAGTTGTAGATGGGACTGTCCGATATCACCACTGTGAAACACACTCCGCCATTGAGGCAGTAGTACTCCGAGTAGTCCGGCTCACACTTGAACGTCGGGAATGTGACGTTAAGCCGCGGCTGTGGCTGCGGCTGGGGCTGCGGCCGCTGAGGCCGCGCGGGCCTCGCGGGCCGCTTAGAGATGGAACTGGAGCAAGCACCCGCCAGCGCCCAAGCGGCCGACACTACCGCCCACCAAACTACCAACGATTGCATTTTCCGCACGATCCGGAGGGTCGGCGCTCGCGGTACGTGCACGATTTTGACATTGGACGGTGACTTATACGAAATCCGAGAGGCGATGACATGACCGCTTTCGAATTTCGAACTCGAACCCTTCGCTCGCATCCGCGTCGGCGGTCCGCCCAGACATGTTTCCTGTGTTAACTTTTTTTACGACGATCACTCGCTCATGACGGAGGCGCGGTTTCTACAAGCGCCCGAGATATCACATCGATCCTTCCGTGGGCATGTCGAAAGTGAAACACAGAATACAATTTGAAACTTGGTTAATCGTGGTTTACAATTATTCACGGAGCACATACACACAATGTCCCGTTCGAAACGATACACACAAAATGGTGCTGAGCGAATCGCAATCACACTACTCTCGACGAGTTGTCTATGCGCGACTGACGGAGGGCGTCTACTATATCCGCCATCTGCCGACGAGAATGAATGCGGTGAACTCGGTGATACCTGCTTATGTGTGCGTGTGTAATCCTTGTTCATATTATTAATATTTTTATAAACATGCATAGATTCTAATAGTGTGTGTCATAATATTTTAATGTGTGCGTAAAAAACTTTTTCTACCTGTATACTTTTTTCATACAGTTTAGTAGTATTGGTAGAAAACTGCTGAATGCCTATAATAGTAGAAATTTATAGTCTCCTATATTTTGTTATATGTTGCGGACTTACATTTTTATAGTCAGTGGATACCCGTAGACGAATATTTGCATAAATACTCACTTAATTATAACATATATAAGTTAGTTACTGTAATGGAATTTAATACTATATTAATTTGCATATAATATCAATAAAAAATTACCAGAATATTATCAATAATTAATTACCAGAGGGAGACTTTGTACAAAAGTCGATTGCTTGGGTACCTCTGTCCCATTCGTGTTTCAACCGTAAAGCAGCTGTGTTTGCATGGCTGTGTTTCGGTTTGAAGGGTGGGATATGGCGTGAATTTACTGGGTACAGAGGAATAACATCTGAGTCCTCAGGAATGGCAACGCATGGGGTGTATCATGGGCGAAACAGTATACTCTGTTATGTTCATAGTACTGCTCATGTCTATAGGCGACGGTTACCACTTTCCATCAGGTGGACCGCCAGCTTGTTTGCCATTCTAAGTAGTATAAAATATATATATATATATATATATATATATAGGTATTCCAAACCTTTTAGGTTCTCAATGGTTCCCAAACAAAATATAAATTGTATTTACCCACTTACGATGATTTTTATTTGAAGTGTAAGTGGGAAATAGGATTAGACGAATTATAAAATTACACTAATTATGAAATTACTTTAAACATGAATCTAACATATATGAGAAATCTAAAACTGATGTAAACTTTTACATTGTTTTAATTAATCTTACTATTTTTTTTTTAATTATAATTATATCGCATTTTGAACCATAAAGCATAATGAAGAAAATAATTACATTTAGTATCCTATTTTACTTGTATCGATCATATACTCGCCATTTCATTATCATCCATTAAAAAAAACATACACTCAATACAGATGTACCCACAATTGTAATAATTTTTATCAAGACGCCTGAGGATGATTGAAGTCGGTATTGTATATATTATTTACACATCGTGTTTTTATAAAATTAATAAATAAATAATAATTATTAATATAGTAAGTAGAACAAAATACAAATATATAATATTATGCAATTAGTATAATGAATTTCTATCAAGAAATTACAATATAAACCTCAGATTACAATAGGCACACTAAAATGTTAGTATCTATGATAAAAACTGAATTTTTATATTTTATTTTTCTCAAAATAAGGTTGGTGATGACAAATATATACGAATGGGGCTGTAGTGTAAAGATGCCATCTATTCTTATTGTTTACCTGACGATACACAAAGTGGTATCCCCAAAAATAAGATGTAATATCAAGAAAATTGCAAGACCGTGCAATTTTTAGTTGTTTTCTCTTATAAGGAATCACCACCCAGACTAATTACTTACGACTAAGGGATACCACTTAAGAAACGAAAAATATTACTATCTAACGCACACATCCCAATAGCACTATCATATATAGGCCTTTGCATAAGTATTAATTCATGTAGGTCTCACATGAATTAATACATATAAGAGTCAAGACGTGTGTTAAGAAAATTAAATTATCAATTTTTATTATGGACTCCGTAAATTATCATATATCAATAATACTTAGACAAGGAGTTTTTTGTTAAATGAAAAAACACAAAAGATGGAATAGCTCTGTTTTTATCCTAAAAGCGATTAAATTTATTATAGAGGGAAAAGGGATTGTTAGTAATTGGGTGTACGTCACATAATTTCCTCTAAAAACAATCGTAGTTATTTTTTGTGGAATTTGTTATAATGAGCTAACTGACATGTTTTCATCTTCACCTATCATCTGTTCACTGGTGCCTCGACAGCGTATACCAATAGCGTATACCATTCCATTTTCACCCATTAAAAATAACTACTTATTATATAATTTAGTATTTCTATACTCGTTTACGAATACCATTATTTGTTGACATAATTTTCTTTTCAATTTTATTAGTGACGTACAAAGTCATGTTAGGCTAATGTCACTGTTGTCAGTCAGTTGTTGTTTTAAATACCTACTTTTTACTTGTATATATTTAATTATTGTGTTGATTTGATTATTTGTGGAATTGTTATAGTTTCATGCGCTCTATTTAGCAATATATATTTATTCATTAATGCTAATAATATAGCAATTATCACACAATGTCAGAGTCATCCAAATCAAAAAGTTCTTTGAATTTGAACCCTTCCCCAACTTTACAGTGCAAAGACCTTCATGAATATTTAAAAAGTAGATCTCCACAGTTTTTGGAGACATTATATAATTATCCAACGATATGTCTAGCTGTTTACCGGTATGTAAACATAATTTTCAAACTACACTCTTTGGGATGTAACATCTATTCAGTTTTAGAGGTTATATTTTTGTTGTAATAAAATCATTTAGTATATTTATAAAGTAATAGGTTGTTGTAAAATAAAGCAAATAAAAAAATATTTCATTAGAAATGGCAAACAATGTACCTATTTTTGTAATTTTATATAAAAGTAATGATCTGGGCTGGCTTTGCATGGGTAAATAAATTTTTCTATAATAATATATACACTGTTATTTGCTGATAATATAGCTTTCTATAGGTGAAAGAATTTTTAAAATCAATTAAGTAGTTTTTGAGTTCAACTATTACAGACGAAAAATACATAGTAAAAAAAATTATATTTAAAAAAAAAATGAGTGTTTACATTTACCAAGAAACTGCTAAACAGTTTGCCAATTTTTGTAAATTTAACTATGTAATTTTAGTTGTTAAATATAATAAATAATCATATAATCTTTCCTCTTTAAAATATTAGTGTAGATCAACAATATTTACAATTAGTATATTATTGAATTTGTATTGTACTAAATGAATTATTGTATTGAAATTTAAATATAAACTAAATATAAATACTATTCACAGAGAATTGCCAGAGCTAGCTCGACACTTTGTAATTAGGTTGCTCTTTGTTGAGCAGCCAGTACCACAAGCTGTTGTTACTTCTTGGGTCTCCCAGACATATGCAAAGTAAGTATTACATTACAATATTACAAATAAAACTAACTTAGTGTTTCGCCTGCTACTTTATTGACGTGATTAGGGTATAGTGATTGACAAAATACAATACTAAGGGTGCCCACTGACCATAAAAAATTACCTATTTTCTATTTCATCCCAAATACTCTGTTGACTAAGAAAAGTAGCTTTCTCCATTCCAAACAGTATGTCTATTGGTTGAGCTGTTAAAAGACAACAACTAATCTCACTGTTATCTTTATAATCTTAGTATGAATGTATTCAAATGTAAGGGGTATGAAACCTTTAAGTCTTAAGAGAGATTTTGCTTCACTCTGCGTGTTCTACCGCCTGTACAATGGATTGTGCTCAGAGGAATTGTTCAATATGATGCCCACAGCCACTTTTTACCATCGTACGGCTCGCCATTGACAGGGAGTTCATCCTCATGACCTACAACCTCAATAGTCGCGTACTGCGCGGTTTCAGAGATGTTTCCTCCCATGAACATTCGGGTTGTGGAATGAGCTCCCTGCCGATGTTTTCCCAAGAGACTACAGCATGGGGTACTTCAAAAGGGGGGTAAAGAGTTTTCTTCAGAGTCAGCAACACACGCGTAATACCTCTGGTATTGCAGGTGTTCATAGGCTACGGTAACCACTTACCATCAGGTGGGCCGTATGCTTGTTTGCCACCTTAGTGGTATAAAAAAACAGAGTTGTCTAGTTTGTCTAATTAGTCTACTTGTCTACCTTTTCTACAGGTCCATTTAGTTTTAGACCAAATAGCACTGTGTAGTATAAACACAAGAACTCATTTATATTATCTACAATCCCACAGAGAACAGAGCAAAGCCTGTGAAGCACTCTCAGAGCTGTCAGTATGGCAGGAGGCACCGATCCCTGGAGGCATGCCTGGCTGGATGCTTGCACAGTCCTTCAAGAAGAATCTCAAAGTTGCTCTGTTAGGAGGGTAAGGAGTTTTCAGTTGCTTTATGTTAATCACTTGTTGTATTTGTTAATTTTACATGTCTGTATTTATATTTTTGAAGTTTCAAGTGTACTGTGATGACAAACAAGCATACATATATGTATGTTTGATAGTAAATAGTTATCATAATCTATGGATACCTGCAACATCAATGGTGTTGTGCACAATCCATAATAAGGTGGGGTAGTAATGCGGACTGCTAGTTGCATTGCTACCGGGTATATTGCTAGCAGATAGATCTCCATGTAGTCCCCCCTGAAAACCGACTTGCTGAATTCCAAGTGTAATCATCATGGTGGGCTAACTGAACCTTTCACTGTCACCTATTGTCCCTCACTGGTGCCCCGCTAGTGTATATCATTAGTGCAGCCGAGGTAACAATTCCACTATTATCCAATAAAAAAAATATTCTTAAGAAATCTCATTACATCCTCTTTTAAGAACCCTATGCTGTAGTCTCTAGTAATAACCCCAGCAGTTCATTCCGCAAAATCAGTGTTCACAGAAGGAAACATCCCTAAAACTGCAATGTGTGTGACCATTTCATCATAAATATTAACATCATAAAATAATCCAATGGATTATATCACATAGTTTCATACATATGCTCCATGATATCTTCACAAATTTTTTAGTTAATTTTTTGCTTAGGTACCTCTATTCCGCTCATGTTTCAACTATGAAGTAGTTGTGTTTGCATAACTGTATACTTAGTCCTCAGGAATGTTATGTCCATGGTACTGCTCATGTCTATAGGTAACGGTTACCACATTCCATCAGGTCGGCCGTCAGCTTATGTGACATTCTAAAATGCATAAAAAAAAACTGTGTTTTATTTTCTGTGTAATAAAACTTTATAAAAATTATAATTATAATATTTTTTATTTTGGACTTTTTAGGTCCATTGATTTAGGTACACACACACATCGCTCACGCACGCACGCACGCACGCACGCACGCGTACACATACACTCATATACAGTATATTAAATATTATACAAATAATCACTGCTGTATAATTCCGTTGGAAATTGTGCAGTAGTGATTAACATACATAAGTATACAAAATTATACTCATTGATAAAATATTTATATAATTATTTTAACATTAATAACTCTGTTAAAGTCTATAAATAAATAAATTATATTTATTTTCATTGCTCTAGCGGCCGACCATGGAGCATGTCGTCGTCCCTGGAACCAGATGGGAAAGCGCGTGACATTGCATTCCTCGATGCGTACGCGCTCGAGAGGTGGGAATGCGTGCTGCACTACATGGTAGGCAGTGCACAGACTGAGGGGATCAGTGCTGATGCTGTGAGGATACTGCTTCACGCTGGCTTAATGACCAGGTACGTAGTGGTCGTATTTCTTGTTGAGGAAACAAATGAGGTAATACCATCACCTAATAAGAAGATAACATAGTTCATGAATACTCAATACGATCTATAGTATTCTGTATAGTTAAATTTACTGCTACTATCCTTATTTGTACATCCCTGTTAGTATGTAGTATGGTAGGCTTAGAAACGCTCGAGGTAAAGCGAAAGAGCGATTTGATAGTGCACTACCAGAGGGAGACTTTGTACAAAAGTCGATTGCTTAACTACCTCTGTCCCATTCCTGTTTCTACCGTGAAGTAGTTGTGTTTGCATGGCTGTGTTTCGGTTTGAAGGGTGGGATATGGCGTGAATTTACAGGGTACAGAGGAATAAAATCTGAGTCCTCAGGAATGGCAACGCATGGGGGGTATCATGGGCGTAACAGTATACTCTGTTGTGTCCATGGTACTGCTCATGTCTATAGGCGACGGTTACCACTTTCCATCAGGTGGACCGTCAGCTTGTTTGCCATTCTAAGTTGTATAAAAAAAAAAACTATTATCGGTTGCTCAACGGCAGAATAGACAATCCTGCAACTCTCAGCCATTGTTCTTTGTACGCACCCCAACGCTGCATGCGATTGCGTGCTTGTCGATTACTATCGGCACCGCCGGTTCGTACCTGTACTGCTCAGTTCGCTCCCTCTTATCGAGCTATTTCTCTGCTCAATTCTCTGATTGCTCAGCAGCCAGATATTGATATACTTAATGACAAATAAGATATATTTTTTAAATGTTGTTTAAATTTTTTAAGTTTGTAAAGTAAACCTATAGCTCACTAGACATTTTGGGATACTAGAAGTATGGTATATAAAGTAATTATAATAGTAAAATAAATAAATAAAATATATAATATACATATTGTGTGAGAAAATAAATGGACTGTATGTACGATAAGTTTTTTAAAAGATTTGAGAAGGCGAAAACCGACAAGTTGTTTTAAAAGTACTACTAAACTACCTACATTCAAACTTAGTTCAAATGACTTACCTTTTGATTAGCCAAAAATTCCTTTTACAACATACTCAGATCACTCAGTTCCCTAAAGCATGCTAAAGTTAGCTGAGATTACCTCGTAAATGTTATAAGAACTTTATTACAGCACATATCAAATCTACAAACTCCCTGTAACGTTGTCATACATACATACATACATATCTGTCACGCCTGTCTCCCATTAGGGTAGGCAGAAACAATGGAACGCCAAATGCTTCGATTCAAACAAACCTCTTTCGCTTCTTCCACATTCATCAATCGTTTCATACACGCTCGCCGGTTACGGGTACTTTTAATTTGGCCCTCCTTCAGCACGTCGCCTATTTGGTCGACATACGTCCGTCTAGGGCGGCCACTACCGACATCTCCATTCATTCTTGCTCGATAAATCTCTTTCGTAATTCTTCTTTCATCCATCCTCTCCAAATGACCAAACCAACGCAACATTCCTTTTTTATATTAGATCAATAGTTGTTAAAGTCATCATGATCTGATCGTAACATAATGACTACAATGTCATAACCCAAACATTTACAGAGATGCAGATGATGGATCTGCGGTAATCACACGCGCTGGATTCCAGTTTCTTCTGCTCAGTACAGCAAAACAGGTATTGTATTATATTTCTTTCTTCCTTTTTATTCATATTGTTAAGAAAGCAAACAAGTAGACGGTCCACCTAATGGAAAGCGTAGCCGCTTTCCACCTGCCCCTAAATACCTGCAACATGAAAGGATATTCTAGTCTCTTAAATGTTTTACAGACACGTTTATTGAAAAGAAAAGTAAGGGAAAAACTGGGAAGCTCATTCCATAACTCAGATGTATGAGATATGTATGGATAAACATTTATGACATGTTATAACTAGACACAAGGGCGGTATGGTCCCGGTACAGAATAGGCCACCCCTTCCTTTCGCGTGGGTGTCGTAAGAGGCGAGTAAAGGAGGCCGAGGATTGGGCAGCGGTGTCCCTCTTAAAACATCTCCAAAGCCTAACTGCGGTTGCCTATCTGCCTGTCAAGCGTGGCAATTATTGGCAAAACTCTGAAAGGAGAGGCTTATGGTCAGCAGTGGACAGTTAAAGGCTGACAATGATGATAAAATAAACATTTTGCTGTGATTTCCAATTTAAATTTTGTAGTTTGGTTTAGAGAATAACGCCTCAGAATCAGCTCCAATATCTCTCGCTATTGAATGAATGACTTAATTCCAGATCTTAACTGTATCTACTATACTATTGTTTTCTTTCCTCAGGTGTGGCTCTTCCTACAGCACTACTTACATACGGCTGAGAAAAGAAGTTTGAGCGCTGCCGAATGTCTCGCTTTCTTGTATCAGCTCAGTTTTAGTACTTTAGGCAAGGTAATTTTTTTTTCTTTTTCTTTTGAAGCCACATTTTCATATATTTAAATTTTTACTAAAAAAATAAACAAAAATTCTGTAGTGTAAAATATTTAATTTATTGTAATAGATAGACATACAAAAGTTGACTATATGTTAATAAGAATAAGAACCATTTTTATTCTAAACAAACTTAATTATGAGCATTTTATAATAGTCATTTTTTTTATAATTCTACCCAAATATTTCAGATTTGATGAGACATATTCTCATTGCCAACTTGCCTATCAAGTGTGGCAGTTACTGGCCTCCTTCCCTCCTCCCCCTCTCTCCTCCTCTCCCTCTCTCCTCCTCCCCCTCTCTCCTCCCCATCTCTCCTTATCCCCCTTTCTCCTTCCCCATCCTCCTCTTCTCCTCCTCCTCCTCTCTCCTCCTCCTCCTCTCTCCTCCTCCCTCTCTCTTTTCTTCTCCCTCTCCTCCTCCCTCTCTCTTTTCTTCTCCCTCTCCTCCTCCCTTCTATCCTTCTTCCCTCTCTCCCCCTCTCTTCTCCTTCTCCTCTCTTCTCCCATCTTTCCTTCTCCCCCTCTCTCCTCCTCTCTCCTCCTCCTCTCTTATCCTCCTCCTCGCTCCTCCGTCCTCTTTCCTACCCCTATCTCGTCATCCTCTCTCCCCCTCTCTCTTCCCCCCTCTCTCCTCCCCCCTCTCACCTCCCCCCTCTCACCTCTTCCCCTCTCTCCACCTCCCCCTCTCTCCTCTCCCCCTCTCTTTTCCTCCCCTCTCTTCTCCTACCCTCTCTCATCCTCCCCCTCTCTCATCCTCCCTCTCTCTCCTCCTCCCCTCTCTCCTCCTCCCTATCTCTCCTCCTCCCCCTCTCTCCTCCACCTTGTGGGGTACCTCCCTTTAAGGTAGACCTATATTCATCAGTATTCTTATTACTATTTGATACATTAAACATCGTAAATTTTAGTCACATTGTTATTGCGGTATATGTCATAACAATTTCTTAACGTCCCACCGCTGGGCTCGAGTCTCTCCTTTGAAAAGAATATTAACTACTATTCTCACACTGGACAGTTTTTTTTTTATTTTTTATAATGGCAATTAATTAAAATACGTTTGTTACAGGATTATAGCACAGAAGGTATGAGCAATAATATGTTAGTGTTCCTGCAGCATTTAAGAGAGTTTGGACTGGTATACCAAAGGAAGGTGAGTGTTACAATGGTATCATATTATGATAAATACTTGATTTGGAAACAAGCAACAAGTATTTACTTTAGAATGGCAAACAAGCTAACAGCCCACCTGATGGATAGTGGTAACCGTCGCCTATAGACATGAGCAGTACCATGGACATAACAGAGTATACTATTTCGCCCATGATACCCCCCATGCGTTGCCATTCCTGAGGACTCGGGAGTTATTCTTCTGAACGCTGTAAATTCACTGCCATATCCCATCCTTTAAACCGAAACACAGCCATGCAAACATAACTGCTTCATGGTTGAAACACGAATGGAACAGAGTTGCCCAAGCAAACAACTTTTGTACAAAGTCTCCCTCTGGCTTTGACTAGCTCTAACCAAAAAGTAAAAGAAGTAACAACAGATTTGCTTCAATCAATATTCATAATGCTAATTAAATGACTGATAAGCAACGAAACTGATTTTAAGATGCCATTTGTCTAAATTTATCTCTTAACCTGTTTTTATTTAAAAATAAGTAAAATAAAACATCGTCATCATATTGTTTTCTTACCTTGGTCATTTCTTGTAATTGTTTGCATCTATCTGTCACTCCTCACTGATGCCCCGCTAATGTATACCATTAGCGTAGGTGGGATAATCATTCCATTATCATCAATTAAAAAAAAAGCCCGTTCTATGCCTGTACCACACGGCAAATCATGACATTATTACCCATTAAAGTCTCCTAACTACTTAAGGAGTAAATTCCAGTATCTTTTTGAAACTCACGAACGTAACCTTCGTTCCAATAATACTCTCCAATTATCTTTCCCCTCTCACCGTACTGGTTACGCTTCAAACTCTTTTCTCCTACATTCTTCACGACTCTGGAATGCGCTTCCTGATGCCATTAAGAGACTACCGACTAAACCGTTTTTTAAAAAAAAAAAAAAAGTTTACGCTCACTTTTTTGCTTTATCCGAGCTTTATAAGTGTAAGTGCTTTATATTATTCTCAATTTCGTGCATAATATAGTATATATCATATATGTATATGATATATGTATATTTGTTATTCATATATATTTATTCGTTTATATATGTAATTTTAGTATGTATGTATATTAATAATTAGTAGTACCGCATTCGAGTATTCTGACACTTGCCTATGGTTGACTGGGAGAGAATGCTTTTAGCATTAAGTCCACCATGTACACATATTTGTACTAAAGAATAAATAAAAAAAAAAAAACAATAAAGAAAAATTTCAAACCTTCTCTGAATTTTGAACAATCCTATGTTAAAATCTCATAAGAAAACTGTTTCGTAAATAATGACATGGTTGCAGCGCAAAGCGGGCCGCTTCTACCCGACGCGGCTAGCGCTGAACATCGCGCGGGTGCGGGGCTCCGCCCCCTGTGCCGGGCTCGTGCCGCAGCCGCCGCAGCAGCAGCAGGGCTACATCGTCGTGGAGACCAACTACCGTGTGTACGCGTACACGCAGACCAACCTGCAGGTCGCGCTGCTCGGACTCTTCACCGAGCTCATATATAGGTCAGTACAGAGTTATAAAATTAAATAAATTGGGTTAAAATAAACGACACCTATTGAATTTAGTGCAAAAAAATTATTTATCTAGATCTGTGTTTCCCAACGTTTTTTGTGCCATACCCCACTTGAACATTTCTAAAATTTTTATGCCCCCATACATAATTTTTATAAGCATATTCAGAAACTTGGATTGGGAGTATTATGGAATAAATATCAACGGAATTAATTTAACACATCTAAGGTTTGCTGACGACTTGGTGTTGTTTGCAGACAGTCCCAAGATTTTACAAAAAATGCTCCAAGAACTTACTACGGAAAGTAAAAAAGTGGGACTGAGTATAAACATCACCAAGACAAAAGCAATGACAAACAGCAAAAAAATTAAACTTGTAGTGAACGATCAAGAGCTTGAATATGTAGAAGAGTATACATATCTGGGTCAAATTATCTCACCTAAACAACAAATGCTTAAAGAGATACAGAAAAGAATAAATAACAGTTGGTCTCGTTATTGGTCACTAAAAGAAATAATGAAAAATAAGTCAATACCAGTATCTGACAAGAAAAAAGTTTATAACAGTTGCATCCTGCCAGTGCTGACATACGGCTGTCAAACATGGGCTTTAACAAAACAAACTATACAGAAATTAAAAGTAAGTCAGGAAGGTATGGAAAGAAGTATACTTGGCATCAGATTAAAGGACAAACAGCGACTCACTGATATTCGAAAACGAACTGGCATTACAGATGTGACTCTTAAAATAAAAAAGCTCAAATGGCGATGGACTGGGCATATCATGAGGTCATCAAAAAATAAATGGACCCAAGATTTAATTGAGTGGTATCCACGTGATAGAAAAAGAAACCGAGGTAGGCCAATAAGAAGATGGGAGGATGATTTGCCCAAAGGCTGGAGACAAGCTGCAAAGAATCGTTACCAATGGAGAAATATGGAGGAGGCCTATGTTCTAGAACAACCTGAAAAATAAGATGTTGCTGATGTCAACATTATTTATACATATTTACAATTTAAAAAAAAAAAAAAATCTGTAATTCAGGAATAAAGGCTATTTTTATTTTATTTATTTTATACATAATTTTTACCGACAATGTTTACTTGACAACTCTAATCGCCCAGTCATAATGGGGTCTAACTACTCCATTGCTAACAATACACCCTGTCAGGTCGACCTCCTCGTGGTTTCCCTGGAAATTATCATGTTTAATTCTAAGTGATTTTTTTACGATGGGCTAACTAACTTGCCTTTTTCACCCTTACCTATTATTCCTCACTGATACCCCGCCAGCGTATACCGTAAGCGCGGGCGGAGTTATCGTTTTATTATCATCCATTTAAAAAAAAAAATACTTACAGCACAAACTTTGCTTAGTCTTTTTTATGGATGATAATGGAATGGTAACCCCGCCTGCGCTAACAGTATACGCTGGCGGGGCACCAGTGAGGAGTGATACGTGAGAATGAAAAGGAAGGTTAATTAACCCAACATGATAAATATACTTGGAATTCAGCACGATGGTTTCCAGGGGGACCATGGGAAGGTCGATGTGTTTTTTTTATGGGAGAAAATGGAATGGTAACCCCGCCTGCGTTAACGGGATACGCTGACGGAGCACCAGTGAAGGGTGACTGATGAGAATAAAAACAGGCCAGTTAGCCCATCATGATGAATTCATAAGGACCATGATAGTTCCCAGGAGGTACCGCGAGCAGGTCGACCTGGTTGGGTATATTGCTAGCAATAGAAGTGGTAATCCGCATCACTAACAATCCCCCCCCCCCCCAACTGTGCTGAGTGGAAGTCGTTACGGTGCGCAGGTTCCCGAACCTGGTGGTGGGCGTGCTGACGCGCGAGTCGGTCCGGGCGGCGCTGCGCGGCGGCATCACCGCGCAACAGATCCTGCACTACCTGAACCAGCACTCGCACCCGCAGGTCTCCGCACACCATATATACATACAGCTTTACCAGAGGGAGACTTTGTACAAAAGTCGATTGCTTGGGTACCTCTGTTCCATTCGTGTTTCAACCGTGAAGCAGTTGTGTTTGCATGGCTGTGTTTCGGTTTGAAGGGTGGGATATGGCGTCAATTTACAGGGTACAGAGGAATAACATCTGAGTCCTCAGGAATGGCAACGCATGGGGGCTATCATGGGCGAAACAGTATACTCTGTTATGTCCATGGTACTGCTCATGTCTATGGGCGACGGTTACCATTTTCCATTAAGTGGGCCGTCAGCTCGTTTGCCATTCTAAGTTGTATAAAAAAAAGCTTCGAACCTCAAAAGCGGCTCAACTTTCTATCAACTAATAGTCAAATTAGCTAACTCATTTTTTTTATCAGTGTTCTATATAATTACGCATAAAATGTATCTTGACGTTTTATTTAATAAAGAAAATGAGTGTTTACGCTGAAATTAAAACAGATGCAGAAATTATAAGATAGATTATATATATATATATATATATATATATATATTTAATGGATCAAAAATCTGAATTAAAAATTATTATTATTATAATCATTTATCACGTAAAATTGTATGAAAAAGTTGAGCCGTTATTCTCGAAGCATTTGTATGGAGACATCCTGTCTATATAATCTAAGATATGCACCCTTTGTATATATAGTTAGTGTAAGCCTACCTATACATAAGTATATTACAGTGAAACTACAGGGACACACAAGATATCCATTTTTTTTATACAACTTAGAATGGCAAACGAGCTGACGGCCCACCTGATAGAAAGTGGTAACCGTCGTCTATGGACTTGAGCAGTAACATGGACAGCAGATTATACTGTTTCGCCCATGATACCCCCCCCCCCCATGCGGTTCCATTCCTGAGGACTCAGGTGTTATTTCTCTGTACCGTGTAAATTCACGCCATATCCCACCCATCAAACCGAAACACACCCATGCAACTGCTTCACGGTTGAAACACAAATGGGACAGTGGTGCCCAAGCAAACGACTTTTGTACAAAATCTCCCTCTGGTAATAACAACTATTTTATATTACCTATGACTTTATGTTAACACCAGAAAAATCAAGCTCTAAATTTAAGGACACATTTTAAGCAAGCACATCATCCTGTTTGCCATTTTAATTTACAATTAAATTGATATATTCAATCATCATCATCATCTCAGCCTAATGACTGTCCACTGCTGATTGCGACGCTTGGCAGGTGGATTGGCAACCGCAGTCAGGCTTTAATAATGTTTTAAGAGGGACGCTGCTGCCCATCCCTCGCCCTCCCTTAGTCGGCTTTTATAACACCCACAGAATAGGAAGGGGTGGCCTATTCTATGCCGGGACCACACGGCCACGGCCATATATATTATATACAAAAATGAAGTGTATAAAACAGAAAGGTCATTGGCACTCCTTATTTTTACACCAACCCCACGAGGAACAGAGCGTGAAGATATATGTCTGCGTAGATGCTGAACTCGGAGACGGGCGGTATCCGAGCGACATCCGTGCTGCCACCTACCGTCGTGGACCAGATACGGCTGTGGGAGACGGAGCGTAACCGGTTCACGTACACAGAGGGAGTTGTGTACAACCATTTCCTGTCACAAGTGAGTCATATTTAAGCAATTTTTAAAGTCATGAGATATAAGTTAGAGTATTTTATCTTTGTAATATCCAAAAAAAAACCTTTAAATCTTTTTGCCACAAGCTTTTCATTATATTATTTTAATTAACCCTTTGCACTCGAGCGGCGCTGCTGCGGAGCCCAAGTGTTTTAAAACCCTAAATCGAACTACGCTGCTACGACGCTATCGTCTTTTGTAACTGGATCTCCTTATTTACAATATGCGATAAGATAGTTTTCTCGGAAGTACTTTCTTGGACTAGGCTCTGATTACATTGTAGCCAAATCTTAGCTCAATTTAGTTAGTATCAGCGTGGCATTCGCTTGAAACAGTCTTGGCAGTATATATAGTATCTGAAAAGTATTTGAACCCTAAAAATATGGAGGAAGATCAGATCAGCTGGCAAACCTGACAAACCTAGGATGCATCTTGGATAGTGTTTCACAAAATATCACATCAAAACTAATTACAGAGTGTAATATTTATTAAAATTTTATAATACTTATTAAAATTTCTTGTCTTCGACATATAAATGAATAAACTAGTGAAATTTTATTATTCATATACGTTTGTTTGCTTATAAATGTTTTTCAATTACTTGTAATGTGTTCGCCGAATTGGGCTGAAATCGTCTCGAGTTGCTGGTTCACGCAAGCGAAAAAGGCCTCGAGTGTATAGGGATAATTGTATTGATGACATTATTTATTTAACCTTTATATATGACAAAGTTACAAAAACTTGATTATTTAGTGAAATAAATAAAAATGTAATACTATACGGTAAAGTTCACTCTCATCTCACTCTCGCTTCATTCCTACTTCTCTCTCACTTCATTCTCATTTAACTCTCACCTCACTCTAATCTCACTCGCCTCCCTTTCACCACACTCTTATCTCATCTCATCTCACGCTCACCTCCCTCTCATCTCCCTCTCACCTCCCTCTCTCTCGACTCCCTCTCATCTCACTCACACCTCTAAAATGTGACTTTAAAGTCGTGTGCTAGTGTATCACAGTGCAAGCACGTATTGAACAAATTCTACGCATGTGGCAGGCGGACTTCGCGGTGCTGCGCGACTACGCCAAGTCGCAGGGCGTGCTCACGTGGCACAGCGAGCGCGGCCGCACCATGGTGGTCACGCGCGCCGGCCACGACGACGTCAAGCGCTACTGGAAGAAGCACTCCAAGAGCTAGCCGCCGCGACACCCTCTTGTACCACTGAAAGCGTGAAAGAGCAAATCTCGATTATTCCACACTGTTCCATACATCCTCGCAAACTTTCAAGTTTATCACGGTAGTAGGATATGTTCTTCCGCCTTTTTCCCCATGGAATAGGCAGAAACTGCCACTTGATTTTTTTTTCCGTTTTATGCAACATAAAATGGCAAACAAGCTGACGGTCCACCTGATGGAAAGTGGTAGCCGTCGCCTATAGACACGAGCAGTACCATGGGCATAACAGAGTATATTGTTTCGCCCATGATACCTCCCATATGTTGCCTGTACCCTGTAAATTCACTGCCATATTCCAACCTTTACACCGAAACACAGCCATGCAAACAACTGCTTCATAGTACAAACACGAACGGGCAGCACACCTGCAATGCTGTTGATGTTGTGGGTGACCATGGGCGGCGGTAGTCACTTACCATCAGGTGTTGTAAAAAAAAAATGCCCAAGCAACCGACTTTTGTACAAAGTCTCCCTCTGGTGATTGATTTAACTTGATTGTCTCCTAACATATCTAACGACTACTATTTTTTTTAAATAAAGACATGGCAACATTGTTTATGAATTGTGTCAAACAGAAAAACAGGTTATATAGAATTATTAATTTCTCTATTGTATACTCTGAAGTCAGCCAAATGTTGATACTTTTGTATTTATCGTAATATTATCTGTAAATATATTGATTATTTAATTTTATTTGCCTTTTATTTAACCTTAACAATATTTTTAACCGACTTCAAAAAACAAGCAGATCCTTAATCTTTATTAGATAATTATGTATTCAATTCAGTTATGTTTTTTATATCTGTCAACTTCATAACTATTTTATGATCTAGTTTACTTCAGAACTTCGTCGTTTATAAAATGATTTTAAAAATAGTATTTTTTTTTATTTAATAAAATACACTTTTATATTAGTTTCATAGAAATTTCATCAAAATTCTTTTAGTAGTTTAGTTTTCAAATCAACATAAGTTTTTTTTTTTCACAATTGAATTTTCTTTTGGAGCCTAAATTACTAGATTTGTTAATGAAGACGAAATTGCACTCGTCTAAGCTAATTATATAATATACAGTAGTGGGGCAAAGGTGTATGCTAAAGTCATGCCAGGCCCTCTAGATAAGTGACAAGTGAATTCATCGATGGAATCGACATCGCTAGCGAGTCCTTGAGATAGAATGAGATAACGACGTCGTATGTCTCATTCCAACTTGATAAGAATTCGCTATAAAGTTCTTTACTCTAACTACTGCTACTTTAAGAATTCATTCCATATTGGTTTCCTGCCAGGAAATGTCAGGAAAAAAATAAATTTTATATACAATATTGTAAATAAAATTTATTTAACAAGTTGGTACCATAGATCAAGCATAAGTACTAAGCATACACAGGACATAATATGTATACTAGCATACTTAACCACAGACAATAATAATGAAGCAGTCAAAGTATGAGTAAGGAGTAAGATATTTCTCTTTTGCTCACTCCTATACTAAAATGAATGTTGCTATCTTCTCTTGTCACGTGTAACAATATGTACCCCATCCACATGTGACGCACACCAGCTTACCATATTTGGGGGGAAAGGATTATAAGTAATGCAGGCTACCAGCCCCATTGCTAGCAATATATCCTGTCAGGTCGACTTTCATGCGGTTCCCACAGGAAACCATCGAACTCCAAGTATATTTATCACGATGGGCTAACTGGCATGCCTTTTCATCCTCACCTATCATCCCTCTCTGGTGCCATGCCAGCGTATACCGTTATCACAGGCGAGGTCACCACTCCATTATCATCCATTAAAAAAGCCAGCTCACCATATTGATAAGCTGTATGCTGCACGCTCTAATTACATTAAAAATTGAAATATTTAATACATTCATAACTAAAAGTATAGTAAAAAGGAAATGTAAACTTTAAAGTGTATCTATTTGTGTGACCGCTTATAGAAATATACCAGATTGAACCGATATTTAAAATGTACCTATATGTAACATCTTTTTTATGAATTACTTATAGAAATATTGAAAAAAATATGCGTTGCTGGAGTATATATTTGTAACTAATCTTTACGTAATTCCATGAAACAACATACTATATTATATAGAAACTTTGAAATAATGTATAAAATCATCGTTTCTCTGATCTATAATAAGTACAGGATAGCCATGCTCAACTTGGCTATTCCGACTACTAATTATTCGACTGAGCAAATCATTCGAATTTCTAAAGATTTTAAATCATTCTACTATTAATTTCATTCAAAAGCAGGGGTTGATGTATGAGTAGACACGAACATAGGCGAGTCGAACCGATGGTTGAAATGTCTTTTATTTTTGTTTATAGGTAAGAGTGTTGCCAATTAAAATTTAGTAAAAATTAATAAATTTCGACAGTAGTAATAATAGTAAATAAAGTTGTAGTAAAAATTTATTTATATGAAATTACTATAGTTATTATTAAAGTAAGCAGATACTAAATTATAGATGATTGCAGATCATCTATACTTCTTCCTAATTATTATAGTATAAATGAATGTATTAAAAATAATTGCGTTCGCTCGCAGGTTTTTTTTTTTTGGTTGTTGGTTGTTATTGTCATCGACATAGATATAGTATATAGAGGAAGCAGGAAATGGACTTGGTAGTAGCAGATACAGGGTAAAGATTTTGTTGTAAAAAGTTACTAATTGGTAAAGTCATTCGAATACGGAAATTAGTATATAACTAATTTAGTAGTCGAATTATAAAAATAGTAATTAATAATTATTTAAATAATAAAATCAATCGGATTCGCGTATCGCTAATACTACTATTACTCTATCGGGCACACTGTTACAGTGACAGTGGCATTTACATACTAATAAGTAAAATGGCTGTATAGGCATAGTCCTTTTGCCTTTCCTATGTATAAGGGTAAACGGAACCAAAAAAAAAAAAACGAATAAGTAAATAGCACTCTAATATAACCTAAATATAATTTTGATTTATCTCATAAGTGTTTAACAAAATATAATTTAAAGAAAAACAACACCTGATTATTTGCTGTGAAGAACAGGAAACTTAAACAGAAATAATTAGTTGAACATTTTCATTTATCTATGTTTTGTGACCGATTAATGTGTATTAACGATTAAGAAATATTTGATAGTAATTTTTATTTTTAAAATTGTTATGAGTATTAAGTTCTGAACAACGATGACTACTAATCCAAGGAAAGGCACAGACCCGGTGCCTCTGGAGGAGAGCGACCAACTCACTATTAGACCTTTGTAAGTATCTTCAATTATATTTTATCAGAATTCTTTAATTGTATTTTACCCAATTGACAACAAATGATGATTTTGATGTTTATACCAGAGGTAGAATACAAAAGTAGTTTACTTTATGGGTACTTCTATCTTAGTTGTGTATCCCGCCAAAAAAACTGCTTGCATAGCATAATAAATGTTGATAGATAATTCAGTTTATTTCATCCATATCATCCGTTAACTGTCCACTACTGAACATAGGCCTCCCCCTTAAGGGTTTTGCCCATACTTGTCACACTTGGCAAGCATGTAAACAACTGCAGTTAGGCTTTGATTATGTTTTAAGAAGGATGCAGCTACCTACCTCTTGACCATTAAATATTTTCCATGACACACTACAATTAATGAAATGGACATAGTTGTCTATGTAGGCGAACTTTAGGCTTTCACATAAATAAGAACATTGCACATGGGTTGCATATAATAGGCATGGTAATTTTGTGTTAGATTAATTATTTAGTTATTTAATTATTTAACTATATAATTAGCTAATTAATTTACAGTGGATTTCATTTCGTACAACCATGGTTGTAGCGACCATTTGCCTATAGCGTCATTAAATCAAAGTCCCTTGAATTTAAAGCATACTTTAGTACAAAATTCCATATGCACAATGGCCCAAATGAGAGGCTAAGCGCGGAAAATAGAGTTTTTCACATTTTCACATAGTACAAAATTCATGTGGCTAGTGACTTTGGATGTAACAATGAGTTCGGGTGTAACAACTGTTTTTAATGAATCATTGTAACAAATTCTTAGAAATCCCATGTAGATATTGCGAACAAAGTTGGCCGCTAAAGAGACACCAAGGTTTCTTTCTTTCACAAACATTTCTAACCTTTTGTTTACATCCACACAGATGGTCAACATGAATGGAGACCTTTACCTATTGTTTATAAATATCAGCTAAGTAGGTAGGGAAGTGTGTAGGTTTCAGAGTTAAATTTATGGTTCAGTTACAAAGTTCTGAGTAGCAACTGAGTTTAGTAAACTTTTGGATAAGTATGACTGCCTCGACACACATTCACTGTTAAAGAAAAAGCAGAAATCATTGCAAAATTAAAAAATGGTGAAAACAATGCTGATTTGTGCTAAAGAAAACTATACATGTGTACGTGTCTCTATCTCTTTACCTTTGCCTGTAACAACTTCCGGGTATAATGACGAAAATAGAGTGGTCCCTTCATCGTCGTTATACCCGAAATCCACTGTAGTTAATCACTTGTTTGAATCATCATTACATAGAACACAGCCTCCCTGCAGAAATCTTACTGGAAATTGCATATCTACTAATTTATCATCATTTCAGCCGATGTATGGCCATTGCTGAATATAGGCCTCCCTCATAGACTGCCATAAGGAAGGGAAGCATTTCTATAATGTAATGGCAGTTTACCATTTTTTTTTTAATGATTAATAATGAAATGGCAACTCTGCCTGCGTTAATGATATACACTGGCAGGCCACTAGTGAGGGGTGATAATACTAGGGTTGTCACATGCACATGTGACTCTCCTAGTATTGACGGTATCTATGGGTTACAGTAACGGTTTCCATCAGATGAGCTCTAAACTTATTTGCCACTTTTATGATAAGGAAAAAATACTAACTCAATCTTTCTGTGCAAGGGTTTTCAAGTGAAGATAAAAATGGGAAATGTAACTTGGCTGCATAACATTTTTGATGGGTGAAAATGGTATGGTAACCCCGCCTGCTCTAACGGGATATGCTGGCGGAGCACCAGTGAAGGGTGATCGATGAAAATGAAAACAGGCCAGTTAGCCCATCATGATGAATTCATCAGGAATTAACCAAGATAGTTTCCAGGGGGAACCATGTGGAGGTTGACCTGATAGGGCATATTGCTAGCAATGGGGCTGTCAAACTCCATTGCTAACAATCCCTCTCCCCCGCTGCAGAGCATTAGGTTCATAATAATAAAACCGATCTTCATTGTTGCAGGGGTGCAGGTCAGGAAGTGGGAAGATCATGTATAATGTTGGAGTTCAAAGGGAAGAAAATTATGGTATGACACTTGAAATGAATATTTATTTGCCATAACACTTTTACATGGATGATTTATTGTTTAAATTAAATTTGTTTATTATTTCTTTTTTTATTTATTTATTTTATTGTAAGATGTAATAACATTAGGCTAAGATTATGTTACAAATTAAGCTATTGTAGCCCATAATAATAAAGATTATTATATATTAATTCTAACTACATCTGACACAGAATTACATACTAGGCATGCAAGCCTGTATCATGTAATTCAGAAATGCTATTTAGCCATGGTGATACATTAAGTACTTGGCTGACATACTTGTTCCTTTTTATAATACTTTAATATATGTTTGTACCTGTTTCATCAATTTTTTTTAACATTACCACAACAATTACCAGAGAGAGACTGAACAAAAGTCGTTTGCTTGGGCACCTCTGTCCCATTCGTGTTTCAACTGTCAAGCAGTTGTGTTTGCATGGCTGTGTTTCGGTTTGAAGGGTGGGATATGGCAGTGAATTTACAGGGTACAAAGGTATAACACCTGAGTCCTCAGGAATTGTAACGCATGGGAAGTATCATAGGTGATACAGTATACTCTGTCATGTCCATGGTACTGCTCATGTCAATAGGCGACAGTTATCACTTTCCATCAGGTGGGCCGTCAGCTTGTTTGTCATTTTAAGTTGCATAAACAAAATACTATACAAGACAACAGAAGTTCAATTTGTAGCCTTCAATGTGTTTCAGTGTTGTAAAATGTAATTATTTTTTTCAGTTGGACTGTGGTATCCATCCAGGGTTATCCGGCATGGATGCATTACCATTTGTAGATTTGATAGAAGCTGATGAAGTGGATTTACTACTTATCTCACAGTAAGTCGCTAGAGCTACCACCTAAGACCAACTAACCTGTACTTTTTTGTTTATTACAACATTTTGAACTAACTAGAGGTGGGCTAATATATAGCGATGTCTATCTCGGATCTCTACAAATCGCAAATCCGGCCCCACATGGAGTATTACTGTCACTTATGGGCGGGAGCACCTAGATACCAGCTTTCGACTCAGTGCAACGACATGCTATGAAAATTGTCGATGATCCCAGGCTTACAAGCGGTATCGAACCCTTAAGTCTTAAGAGAGATTTTGCCTCACTCTGCGTGTAGATTGTGCTCAGAGGGATTGCTCAATATGATGCTTTCTACCATCGTACGGCTCGCCATCGACGGGAAATGTACCCTCATACCCTACAACCTAGATTGTTGCATACAACGTGGTTTCAGAGATGATTGATGATGATGTTTCTCTCACGAACACTCAAGTTCAAGTGGAATAAGCTCCCTGCCAAGGATTCCCAAGAGACTACAATATGGGGTTCTTCAAAAGGGGGGTAAAGAGGTTTCCTCAGGGTCGGTAATGCACGCATAATATCCCTGGTATTGCAGGCGTTCATTGGCTACAGTAACCGCTTACCATCAGGTAGGCCGATGCTTACTTTTTTTTATAGGTGATAATGAAATAGTAACCCCACCCGTGCTATCGGTATACACCGGCAGGGCACCAATGAAAGATGATAGGTGAGGATGAAACAGGTCAGTTAGCCCATCGTGACGAATTCAACGAGAATTGTTTACGATGGTTTCCAGGGAGAATTATGTGGAGGTTGACCTGATAGGGCATATTGCTAGCACTGGGACTGTCAAACTCCATTGCTAACAATACCTTCCCCCCGGCCGATTTGTAAAATTTTTTTTATTTAAATATTTTTTTCAATTGACAGTTTCCACCTGGATCACAGCGGAGCACTGCCCTGGTTCTTGACGAAGACCTCGTTTAAAGGCAGAGTGTTCATGACGCACGCCACAAAAGCTATTTACAGGTGGCTCGTATCTGATTACATCAAAGTTAGGTGAGTAGAAATAATTAAATAAAACATTCATACATTGCAGTTGTATAGATGCAAGCTAAGAACATTCATCAGAATCAGATCAGAACAGATTGTTTATCTGGGGTAATAAAGAATTAATTACAAGTAAATTAAAAAAGAAAGAAAAAATAAAAATATCAATAATACAACCAACTCCATCATTCAAACGTACTTTACTATTGTATTCTACAAAGAGTTGACTTCAATGTTGATAAAACCAGTTGTTTCGATTTAAAAACTAAAGTACTGAACCGATTTTGATAAAATTCCTATGGGGCCAATTTGAAAGTATTTAAATTCTTTTAAATAAAAAATGAACTTTCCAAATCCGTTTATAAACCCGTTAGTTAGTTATAACTCTATATATCAATTATAACTGACTTTGTTATAAGGAACAAACATGAAAAAAATACAACTGGATCGAAAACCTCCTTTTTTGAAGTCGGTTAAAAATAAAACCGCAACAATGCGTAATACGTAATTGTATATATTTATAATAAGTTTACTATTATAATCTTTTGAAGGAAACAATAAAGAGTATCTATCTATATATCTATGCGTGTATTAAAGTAAGAAACTCTTATCATCTCAGAGTGAAATAGATTAAAAAAAAAACCTAATTGTATATTTAAAAAAATGAAATCTAAATATATTTATATTTCCAGCAACATATCTACAGAACAAATGCTATACACAGAGTCGGACCTGGAAGCGTCCATGGACCGTATAGAGACAATAAACTTCCACGAGGAGAAAGACGTCCGCGGAGTGAGGTTCTGGGCTTACAACGCCGGCCACGTGCTGGGCGCCGCTATGTTCATGATTGAAATAGCCGGTGTTAAGGTCTCTATGATGTACTATTAATAATGTGAAGTAGATTTAGAGATTTGTAAAAAAAATTTAATGTTTTTTTTTTTTATACAACTTAGAATGGCAAACAAGCTGACGGCCCACCTGATGGAAAGTGGTAACCGTCGCCTATAGGCATGTGCAGTGCCATGGACATAACAGACTATACTGTTTCGCCCATGATACCCCCCTATGCGTTCCCATTCCTGAGGACACAGGTGTTATTCCTCTGTACCCAGTAATTTCACGCCAAATTGTAAATAGGACTATGTTTTTTGCGCTTAGCCTCTCATTTGGGCCGTTGTGCGTAGATTTAGAGATTTATTTATATGTTCATATCTTAGATTATAAAGAGCATCGATCCTCAAAACCTGCTCAACTTTGTGTCAGCTAATTGTCAAATTAGCTGACTTGTTTTTTAGTCATATGTTTTATAAACTTACTCGCATAATGTACCTTGACGTATCTATATTTAATTATTTAATAAATACGTATGGTTAACACATGGGGGTATCATGGGCGAAACAGTATACTCTGTTATGTCCATGGTACTGCTCGTGTCTATAGGCGACGGTTACCACTTTCCATCAGGTGGGCCGTCAGCTTGTTTGCCATTCTAAGTTGTATAAAAAAAAAAAAACGAGTTTTTACGCATTAAAAAGATGCAAAAATTATAAGACAATACAAATAATTATAGAAGTTATAAAGGAAACACTCTTAACTGTAATGTGACAAGATTTTTTTTTTAACTTGAAAGACAATTTTTTTTTTTTATTAAGTTTACTATTAATTTTACTTGCTCAAAACCTATCTTTTTGTATCTTAATGGGTGTTTGTATGGTACTTTCAATAAACCATCACCTCCATATAATGAAGAGAAACTAAATTTGTTACAGGTGTTATATACAGGTGATTTCTCGAGACAGGAGGACAGACATCTGATGGCCGCCGAAATACCAACTGTGCATCCCGATGTCCTTATTACTGTAAGTTAATGTACATATTCGTTTTTGTTATAATAGTTTGTTATAATTTTTCTACTATACACATTTTTTTTTTTAATAAATGATAATGAAATGGTTATCCCATCTCCGCTAACTGTATACACTAGCGGGGCACCAGTGAGGGGTGATAGGTGAGGATGAAAAGACAGATCAGTTAGCCCATCGTGATGAATACAACAGGAATTCAGCACGATGGTTTCCAGGGGGGACCACGTGGAGGTCGACCTTATGGGGCATATTGCTAGCAATGGGACTGATAGTCCGCATTACTAACAATCAATTCCCCTCCTTTATATACATGTTATTGAAAGTATCTGGCCACCAGTTTTATTTGTTAAAGTACGGAAATGAGATGGTAGCCTGCGCTATCGTGATGCGCTGGCAAGGCACCAGTGAGGGATGATAAATGAGGATGCAGCAGGTTAGTTAGCCCATCGTGATGAATTTAACAGAAATTAACCATTATGTTTTCCAGGGGGAAACGCGTGGAGCTCGACCTGTTAGGGTATATTGCTAGTAATGGGTCTGTTGGCTCTCATTACTAACAATCCTTGTTCTTCTTCTAACAATTCTTGTTCATGTGACTGGGGGGAAAGGGATTGTTAGTGATGGAGACTGAGAATCCCATTGCTAGCAATATATCCAACCAGGTCGACCTCCTCGCGGTTCTCCCTGGAATCTGTCATGGTTAATTTCTGATGAATTCATCATGATGGGCTAACTGGCCTGCTTACATTCTCATCTATCACCCTTCACTGGTGCTCCGCCAGCGTATCCCGTTAGCGCAGGCGGGGTTACCATTGTACTATGACGTACTGGCGGGTGCGTAGGAGTCGACGTACGGCACGCACATCCACGAGAAGCGCGAGGAGCGCGAGGGCCGGTTCACGGGGCTGGTGAGCGACATCGTGGCGCGCGGCGGCCGCTGCCTCATCCCCGTGTTCGCGCTCGGCCGCGCGCAGGAGCTGCTGCTCATACTCGGTGCGTGTGCCCACATCATACATCATACATCATACATCATACAATATACACCCACACAGACCACCCTCTAAAATGGGGCTACATTTTGTCAGCTCATTGTCAAATTAGCCGATTCAGTATTCGACATATTTATTCAACAAGTAAAATGTATTTTTACAAATTAAAAAATTGCGTAAGTTATAAGACAAAATATATATTGACGTTATAGAGGAATCAGTCATAACCATTTCTCGCGCAAAATTGTATGAAAAACTTGTCCCGCTTTTCTCGAAGCATTTGTATGGAGACACTTTAGCTATATAATCTAAGATACATACAAATATGTCACGCTCGTCTCTCGTTAGGGTAGACAGAAACAGTGGAACACCAAATACTTCAAACAGACCTCTTTCGCTTCCTCCATGTTTTTCGATACACGATTGCCGTTTACGAGTGCTTTCAATTTGACCTATTTTTATTACAAGCCCATTTGGTCGATATACATCCGTCTAGGACGGTCGCTACCGACATTTCCATTCATTCGTGCTCAATTAATTTCTATTATTATTATTTTTTCATCCATCTTTTCCAAAGCTCGCAAACTTAATTAAAATAACTTTTTGACAATTTGATTAAGCTGAAATATTGCATACTCCTTCGATTATGGTCACAATACAATATGCAGTACTCAATACTGTAATATTTTCAAAATGGCCGACGTTGCAAAATGGCGGATCATGTATTTTTTATCCCCTTTAATATGGATATTAAATGAAAAAGCTCGAAAAGCAGAAAATGATAACGTTATCACTAATTCTATAGTGATTTAATAACAAATAAATAAATTTGATACGATGTCACCATAATACTAAATTTAATAAATAAGCCTATTGCCTTGCTTTTTACTATTGAATGGTTGGTATTTTTGTCTATTATCAATGTTAAATAAGTTTGTATGTTATTTATATGTATATACTAAATGTAATAAGAAATTGTTTCTCAAATAAAATAAAAACATATATAAATAAAAAATAAAATAAATTTAATATGGCCGCCGCTCTAAGATGACAGTTACTTGTTTGTGTAAAATGCTTGTTTTTAACAGTTTTTAAACTGACATGTTCCAAATGATGCTTTGGAACGTGATCGTCATGTTCTATCTGAAGTTTTAATACTACGTACGCATCGGTTCACCAGACGAGTACTGGTCGCTACACCCCGAGCTGCAGGACATCCCGATTTACTACGCGTCGTCGCTCGCCAAGAAGTGCATGGCGGTGTACCAGACCTACATCAACGCCATGAACGACCGCATCCGCCGCCAAATCGCCATCAACAACCCCTTCGTCTTCCGGCACATATCCAACTTGAAGGTAAGTGGTTGGAAATCAAATTCAGAGAATCAAATTTAGAGGCATTTTTTTATACAACTTAGAATGGCAAACAAGCTGACGGCCCACCTGATGGAAAGTGATAATCGTCGCCTATAGACATGAGCAGTACCGTGGACATAACAGAGTATACTGTTTCGCCCATGATACCCCCCATGCGTTCCCATTCCTGAGGACTCGGGTGTTATTCCTCTGTACCCTGTAAATTCACGCCATATCCCACCCTTCAAACCGAAATACGGCCATGCAAACACAACTGCTTCACGGTTGAAACACGAATGGGACAGAGGTACCCAAGCAATCGACTTTTGTACAAAGTATCCATCTGGTCCCCCCCAAAGCCCCCTCTCCCTCTCCCCCCATTTATTTGTGTATGACCCTTAAGACATATCAGATTTTTATTTTAAGACGATTGTTCGCCATGCAATCTCAGTGGATAAGACTGCACATGCAACTAGATTGTTGGCCCTTTATATTTTTTTAAAGCTGTGCAATACATTTGTATTAATCAAAATTTTTATCCTAATTTGAACAGAAAAATTGCGGAATAAAACGAATTTTTATATTATTATTATTGAAAGAGCAGGCTTTTTCAGCCAGAAAATCCTGTGACACTGCGACCTTTCCATGATCTTTTGTACACGCCCTTTCTAAAGTTCGCTGCTAATTCCTATCAATGATAGGAATTTAAAAATATTCTATGTAGCGACGTTCTTTATCTCCTCAGAGTGTACAGTGTGTTTTCCAAAAGAGATATATCGTTTATGTATGAGTGGGCTACAGCCACATATCGTCATAGTGGTAGAATACTGACGGATCTGACAAAGATTACATATAAAGATCCGTCAGTATTCTACGGCTATGACGATATTAGATGCTGCGGCGTTTCTTTCTCAATGAGACAAAATCAGCAAACACTTTTTGGGCATAAGCCTAGTTGGGCCTTATGCTTGGTTAGCTTGCAATGTCCAGTGAGATCCTTTGTTAAGATACATATATTATTTTTACTCAAAAGAAAATTTAATATTTACAAGGATATTTTGAGAAAAATTTCGGAAAATACTGTTCTTTTAAAAATAGACTAAATTATTCACACAAGATTATTACATTGTCATAACTTTAAAAATTGACGCCTTAGTTCTGGTAATCAAATGAAATGTATCAAACTCATAAGTAGACAACAATATTGTTAATTTCATATGTACTAAAATACATATAACAAGTGGATATTATTATGAATCCTTTATGGCATGCTCTTCACCAATGGCAAACACATCGATCTCGGGCTTCACTTTGTCGTACAAATGTGGGAATGCGCCCTCCGCTTTGTACTTCTTCCTCACCTTCTCATATAACGACAGATCGAACATTTCTTCGAATTCTTCCTTCGTCATAAATAAATCGACGTACAAAAAGGAATACCCTCCAACATCTCGCGTGAACTTCTCCATCTTTCTCATAGCATCTACAGGGTTATATGGCTTCTTCTCTTTGACCTTACCAGGGACACCGTAAACTCCCAAATCATTATACATTGCGTAGTCAGTGCCAGGAACTAGATATTTCTTATCTGGATGCTTAAGTTGACCAGATGATGGTCCTCGATCAACTATTTTGCACGGATAAACTAGCAGTGGAAACTTGTCGAATAGTACACTGGCGGTTTCTATCTGTCTCTCCAATTCCTTAATCGGTAGGACGATATCCTGAAATACTTGCCGTACGAAAGTGTACGCCCTTATGCCAGGCGTTGTTGTAAATTTGAGGAAGGCCGGTTTTGGGGGCAGTAGCCAACCGAAGAGAAGCCTGAACAACGGATTGTTTCCGAATGATAACATGTCTTCCACAACCCAGAATATAGCTCTGTTATGTCTCAATAAATAGTCTCTTAATGGTATTAACTCCACAGACTCTCCTTTCTGCAAAAAGCTTTCCACATGCTTATAAAACCAGGGCTTATGCCACTGGGAGCAGTGGTTCATGGTTATTTTTGGATCGTAATCAGAATAGTCACCAACCATGATCACAGCTTCTTCTTTGCTGAATATAGTGCCTTCTATGTAATCAGGGAATATCTTCGGACTGGCTTCATTAGCTCCGGAAAGCTCCCTGATCATGTCGCAGTATTTCTTCTGACCTTTCACTGGAATGTACCTTATTTTGATATAGGGTTTTACTTTGACGATTTTTAGGGTCAGTGCAACTAGGAACCCTAAGCTACCGTGGCTCCAGGGTAAGGTTTTGTAGAGGTCGGAGTGCTCGTTGTCGGCAGTAGCTTTGATCAAGGATCCATCGCTGAGAACCACTTCATAGCTGGTGATTGTTTCATGATAGAGGCCAGCCTTGTGCGAATGGGTCGACATGCCCGTGCCGAACGCTAGACCTAAGAAAAACAAATATAAACCAATTAAGATTGAAAATGTGATAAAGGTCTTTTTCCATGACGCTCGTATTTTAAAGTATTAAGCGTCATTGAAGAGTAGGCTAAAAAAAAACCGAGAAGTCGCACAAAACTGTCTATCATGGGATAAGTTGAGATGAAGGACGGGCATTGATGATAATTGCATCGCTCTTGAAAATTCGTTGGAGCCTTTAATAATTTTTGTCATTTCATACTATTAAACTTGAAAGTCTCTGGTTGTTAACCAGCTGGCTATTTGCTTCTCTTCTTCTTCTTATGAAAAATACAATCATCATCATCATATCGGCCTCTAACTGTCCACTGCTAAACATAAGCCACCCTCTTAGGGGGTTTTGCCAGTAGTTGCCTCGCTTTGCAGGCGGATTGTCAACCGCAGTTAGGCTTTGATGATGTTTTAAGAGAGACGCTGCTGTCCGTCCTTCGCCCTTCCTTAGTGGCCTCTTACGACGCCTAAGGAAGGTGATGGCCTATTCTATGCCGGGACCACATGGCAGAAAAATACAATGTATGCTATTAAAGATTCATATTTCATTTCCAATAAGAAAATTCTAAATTACCTCCTAAAGTAGCATCAGTAAGCTCAATGGTCACAGCCAAAGAGTATCCCCTGGGTATTAAATACTCTGTGATATCCCCAATGGTGACCATCGGCTCCACCCTCACAGTCATAGCTTGCTTGTCCAGCTCGAGTATGTCGTACAGTGGTATAGCCACCTGGTGGTGAAGGTGTTTGGGGAAGAAGGTGGTGGAGAGTGAGAGCCAGTTGGGTCGGGAGATGCAGAGCAGACGCCTGTCTTTTTCTGGTAACTTGTTCCATTGCTGGACCTAGAATTTATAAGAGTTATTGATTACTGGCCGTGTAACTTATATTTCTTATTTATTAATATTTTACGTGAAGAAATAAGATGAGATCCACTCGTCGCAGAAGCTGAGCGGATAGCCTAAAAGATGGCGACTCTTCCCCTTTTCTTATTAATCCTGCTATACCAACTTTTATCTCCTTCATCTTCTTTATTTAACATAAAGAAAACAAAGAAGGAAAGAAGCTCTAAAGAACTTGTGGGTCAAAACTCCTTATTCCTAACCCCCTTGGATTAGCTGGTTTAGCTTTTGAATTGTCAGTTAATATTGGAAATTTTATAAAGTTTCTAGATTATCATTAATCCATAGGATGTCATGGATTGTACATTTATCATCATCAGCGAAACAGTATACTCTGTTATGTCCATGGTATTGCTTATGTCTATGGGCGACTGTTACCACTTTCCATCTGGTGGGCCGTCAGCTTATTTACCATTCTAAGCTGCATAAAACATCATATCATACTTTAACTGTTGATCATAAGCCTTCCTCTTTGGGGTTTCGCCAGTAGTTACCATGCTTGGCAGGCAATATTCATGGTATTATCCATGTTTAGCACTCTAGTTGAACATTCATAGTGAAAATCGATTCAGGGTTGGCGATTAAGATAGGTAAAACTTATGCAAAAAAATATATTCCATGGAATTGAAAACGTTCATCTTTTAGACAGCATAGGAAGCTAGGTTTACCTTAGCCTGTATTCCTCTAACGGCACTGTCATGTCTGTGCGGGTCGCTGCTGAGGCTCCGCAGCCAGGCGCGCGCCCTCAGCAGCACCGAGAACACGAAGCTGGCTGGCAAGCAGAATACGCACACCACCAGTTCACGGTGCTCTTCTAGCCAGCGGATCAGACGTTGCTTCACTGGCGACGGTGACATTGCTGGAAATAAATTACAGATGAAATAGATAGATAGATACTCTTAATTGTTTCCTCCAAAAGATTGCAATAGTAAACTTATTATAAATACAAACAAATCATCTTCCAGCAGCAGTATTTCCGAACCGATACGACATCATAACCTTCAAGAAAAGAGTATATTCCTTTTTAAGAGGCCGTCAGTACACCTGCAATACCGTTGGTGTTGTGGGTGATCATGGGCGGCGGTAGTCACCTACCATCAGGTTAGCCGCATGCTCGTTTGCCCCCTGTGTTGTAAAAAAAAAAATACAAGAAATAGTCACAGTGAAAAAACAATGGGCGACATTATATATCTGTAAAGTACAGGATACGGAGCATACCACCATTGTCCTCAAGCTTAATTTTAAAGGGGTACTATGGATATAGTATTCCCACAAGCTTGTAGGCGAAAAGGCAGAATATTTCTTAAAAAAGGGGATATAGAGATTTCTTCAGCGTCTTGCAGATGTTCATAGGCTGGAAAATGGTTACCGTCGCCTATATATTTCAATAGCATAGACATAACAGAGTACGCTGTATCGGTATATATATATATATATATATATATATATATATATATATATATATATATATATATATATAAAGTAAATTGTGTACACTGTAATTTGTGGAGATGAATAAACTAATTATTAATTATTATTACATAATATCTATTTACAACAAACATAACACAAAAAATTTGACTATATGTATTAAGTTGCCGGCACTCATATAAATGTTTACATACACACCTGTACCAACGAAGGTTACTCGAGAATGTAACTATAGTTCAAACGAATTAGATGTCAAGTTATCAAATAATTCCGCTATCTAATCAAACCGTGCACCTGGCTAGGCTTTAAATAGTAGATCTGACAATTTATTATAAATAATAATATATAACTCACATAGAAACTATATGTTTAATTGGACATATTCGTCCATACAGAGTTTTGGCATTGACCTTCAATTTGCTATATCTATTAATGTTTTTTTTTTTACATTATGAACCTTATTGCTCTTCTGATATGAGTCACAGACAGAGTAGTAAGCGAGATATTCTTTATCTAACAATGTGTTGCTATGTATGTATGAGATAATTCGGGCTGCTGGTTTTTTTTTATTTATAATTTTCATATCTTCACGCTAGGTCTCTTACAGAGTATACAGAGAACTTGTTGCTATAAAACACTCTCTGCACATAATATATCCATTAGCATACAAAATTTTTTTTTATTGTTTTAATAAGGCCATCCTTTTCCGTGGATGTCGTGACAGGTGGTTAAGGAAACTTAATGGTCCACAGATAGGCAGTAGCGTCCCTCTTAAAACATCTCTAAAGCCTAACTGCGGTTGCCAACCCGCATGCCAAACGTGGCAACTACGGGCAAAATCTCCTAAGAGGAAGGTTTATGTTCAACAGTGGACAGTTAAAAGCTGATAAGATGACGCTTGTCAATCTGCCTATACAAATAAAAGAAACCTCTGATCCTTATATATCATACAGCAAAATTCACTAAAAATACAATATCAAAAATTATTGACATTAAATATTTAATGACGAAGTTTATTTTTTTATTTATTTTATACAAAAATCCACAGCTTTTAAAAACACAACTTACATGCTAAGTCTCTTATAAATACAGCCAATAACGGATTTTATTTAAACGAAAATTATAATTCCAAAGCGAGGTAGGCAAGTTAGAGTGTATTTTTATTTATTTATTTATTCATTAGTACAAATATGTGTATATGGCGGACTTAATGCTAAAAGCATTCTCTCCCAGTCAACCATAGGGAAGTGTCAGAATACTCGAATGCGGTACTAGTAATTATTGATATACATACATACTAAAATTACATATATAAACGAATAAATATATATAAATAACAAATATACTTACACATATATGACATATACTATATTATACACGAAATTGAAAATAATATAAAGTACTTACTGCTCGGATAAAAATAAAAAGTGAGCGTGAACGCTTCTTTTTGAAAGACGGTTTAGTCAGTAGTCTCTTAATGGCATCAGAAAGCGTGTTCCAGAGTCGTGAAGAATGTAGGAGAAATATGCAAGTAATATAAGTGCATGTATGAAAGAAAGAAAGTTTTTTTGAAGTTTGAAATGTACGTTTGTTTGTTTCAGGGCATAGATCACTTCGAGGACATAGGGCCGTGCGTGATCATGGCGTCGCCGGGTATGATGCAGTCTGGGCTGTCGCGCGAGCTGTTCGAGAGCTGGTGCACTGACCCCAAGAACGGCGTCATCATTGCAGGTTGGATACGCAGCTTAGATTATATAGATAGAGCATAAGAGAGTGTCAAAAACGTGTCAACATACAGTCGGTTAAGTTGGCATTTGGCTTGACTTTTTTTTTTTAATCAAAACAATTTGCGTTTTTTTTTTCAGTGTTGCAAGTGTAGACTAAAGAATAGAATAGAATAGAATAGAATAGAAATCATTTATTCAAATAAACTTACATTGAAGCACTTTTGAAAAGTCATTACATTTTTTTTAATTTACCGCTCGTTCGGAAAGCTGTCTCATCACAAGAAGAACGAGCAAGAAACTTGCGTGATGCTCTTTTAAATAATTTTATTATTATTTTACATTTTTAAGTTTAATTGTGTGAATTTTTAAAATTTCCCATAACAAGTCGACTTTTTAAATTTGAATTAAGAACTATTTCTTTCGATATTATATAAATATACTTGCGAAAAAATGTCAAATTTGATCCATTTACGGTGCACCATAAAGTGGGCAGCTTGTTCGCCACCTCAGTAAATATTATAAAAAAAAAAGAGAAATATCATTTACGTCACAGTGTACTCTTGATGTTCTCTGTTTTTGATGTCCTAGAGCAGTGGTTGCTAAAATTTTAGATAACGGAACGCCCACCAAATACCTTTTATTTTATGGAACCCCATTTCAAACGGTTACAAGTCAAAAACACTGTAATATAAATAAAAACAAAAGCTTTCATTAGAAATATTTTAAAAGTATAGTACATTATAGTTTCCTTTAATTTTTAATGTGAAGATTGAAATTGTTTCACTGTATAAATAATTTCGTGGAACCCTTGCGATATTTTTATAGAACACATAGATTCTGCGAAACCCATTTTAGAATCGCTGTCTTTTTTTATGCAACTTAGAATGGCAAACAAGCTAACGGCTCACCTGATGGAAAGTGGTAACCGTCGCCTATAGACATGAGCAGTACCATGGACATAACAGAGTGTACTGTTTCGCCCATGATACCCCCCATGCGTTGTCATTCCTGAGGACTCAGGTGTTATACCTCTGTACCGTGTAAATTCACGCGATATCCCATCCTTCAAACCGAAACACAGCCATGTTAACACAGCTGCTTCACGATAGAAACACGAATGGGACAGAGGTACCCAAGCAATCGACTTTTGTACAAAGTCTCCCTCTGTCTAGAGACTCCACTATGGGGTTCTTTAAAAAGGATATATTAAGACTTCTTTAGGGTCGGCCACGCGCACGTGGCACTCCTAGTGTTGCAGGCGTCCAAAAGTTACAGAGACCGTTTACCATCAGACGGGCTGTATGCTTGTTTGCTACCTTTGTGGTATTAAAAAATGTTCATAACGCTGTCGGTGTTTATAGGCGACGTTACCACCTTCCATAAGCTGATCTATCACCTATTTTTTTTTTTATTGTAATTAAAAATGTTTAAATAATAAATGAATATATCAGGGTACTGCGTGGAGGGCACGCTCGCCAAGACGATACTGTCGGAGCCGGAGGAGATCACGTCCATGTCGGGGCAGAAACTGCCGCTGAAGATGTCCGTGGACTACATCTCGTTCTCCGCGCACACCGACTACCAGCAGACGTCCGAGTTCATTAACATACTGAAGCCGCCGCATGTGGTTTGTACATATATACATTTTTTTTTTAATGGGTGAAAATGGTATGGTAACTCCGCCTGCGCTAACGGTATACGCTGGCGGAGCACCAGTGAAGGGTGATAGATGAGAATGAAAACAGGCCAGTTAGCCCATCATGATGAATTCATTAGGAATTAACCATGATAGTTGGGGGGAAAGGGATTGTTAGTAATGGAGACTGAGACGTTAGCGTAGGCGGGATTACCATACTATTTTCACCCCCCCCTCCCAACCAGCGTGGGCCATCTGAATATATTGGGCTGACAGTATGCTTGGTTGACGCTCGCAGGTGTTGGTGCACGGCGAGCAGAACGAGATGTCGCGGCTGAAGGCGGCGCTGCAGCGCGAGCACCGCGGCCGCCTGCAGCTGCACACGCCGCGCAACACGCAGCAGCTCGCGCTCACCTTCCGCGGCGACAAGACCGCCAAGGTACCGTTCTACCACTTGTCCGTTCTATTTCAATACCATTTAGCAGATTCCTTCTTAAAAGGCCGGCAGCACACCTGGGATTCCTCTGGGTTTTATTAATGGGTGATAATGGAATGGTAACCTCACCCATGCTATCGGTATACACCGGCGGGGCACCAGTGAAGGATGATAGGTGAGGATGAAGCAGGTCAAATAGCCCATTATGACGAATTCAACTAGAATTAGCCACGATGGTTCCAGGGGGAACTACGTGGATGTCGACCTGACAGGGTATATTGCTAGCAATGGGGCTGTCAAACTCCATTGCTAACAATCCCTTTCCACTCAGCCTCTGGTGTTGCGGATGATCATGAGCGACGGTAGTCACTTGCCATCAGGTGGGCCGAATGCTCGTTTGCCCCATGTTATAAAGACCTATTGGAGGATAGGTGACCGATACTAGGTTTGCATAATTTTTTTTTATACCACTGAGGTGGCAAACAAGCATACGACCCACCTGCTGGTAAGCGGTTACCGTAGCCTATGAACGCCTGCAATGCCAGAGGTATTACGCACGCGTTGCCAACCCTGAAGAAATCTCTTTACCCCCCTTTTGTAGAACCCCATGCAGTAGCCTCTTGGGAAAACCTCGGCAGGGAAATCATTCCATAACCTGAAATAAATAAAATCCATAAAATTGAAATGTTATCTAGTTTTTGCTAATAATATTATAAATAATAAGTATATAAATAAAAAAATAAAAAAAAAACTAATATTAACACATTTTGTATAGTCATATATATTTATTCATATATTTATGACAAGATTGATGAATGTGGAAGAAGCGAAAGAGCTTTGTTTGAATCGAAGCATTTGGCGTACCATTGTTTCTGCCTACCCTAATGGGAGACAGGCGTGACAGATATGTATGTATGTATGTATTTATTCATACGCACAATGGCCCAAATAAGAGGCTGAGCGCGGAAAATGGAGTCTCTTTCACATAGTCTAATATTTTTCTTATAATATGTGTAATCAGGTGATGGGCTCGCTGGCAATGGAGCCACCCAAGCCCGGCAACCAGCTGCAGGGCATCCTCGTGAAGAGGAACTTTAATTATCACATACTGGCGCCGTCGGACCTTAACAGTAAGTTATATTGAAAAATATATAGTTCTTTTATCTATGCTTTTTTTTTAAATGGGTGATAATGGAATGATAACCCCACCCCGTCTGCGCTGTCGGTATACACTGGTGGTGAATCAGTGAGGGATGATAGGTGACGGTGAAGTAGGTCAGTTAGTCCATCGTGATGAATTCAACAAGAATTAACCACAATGGTTTCCAGGGGGAACTACGTGGAAGTCGACCTGATAGAGTATATTGCCAGCAATGGGGCTCTCAAACCCCATTACTAACAATCCCTTTCCCCTCTTTATCTGTAATATTATAGTTAAAAAATATATAGTTGCTGGGTTCAGTAAGCCATTCTCTCAATAAACACATTCTTTTTATTTATTTATTTAAAGGGGTTTAATCTTTTTAAATATGTCAGTTGATGGTGTTGGCAACTCCAACATGAAGTTAGTAACTTACACTCTGATTGTAGCTCTACTCCGTCCGCTTTCGCACCGCGTACGAAAGTGTATTGTGTTTTGTAATAAATCAACTTTATATCGTAAATCTTGTTGTGCACTCCAACAAGTTGGTCCTTCGAGCCGGATTTGCACGAGAGACTTGTGGATGACTTAATAGTATTCAGTAATAGAAAGCTTCAATTATGCATTTCTTTAGAAACCTTATTATTTTTTATTTAAAGACTTTTTATAAACACTTTTAAATGGTATTTTTTTTATGAATGCACTAGAAACTCAACAGTTACTCTTTTAAATAATAATATAATTATCATTGATCGAAATGTAATGCCGAAGGATTTTTTGTTTTATCGCTCTTAACTACTTTCTATTACGTCATCATTCGTTACCACTATACAGGGTGTAATGGAAATAAATTTTAATATATTAACTGCTGAGTTAAATTCCAATAAAGTGGGACGGCTGCTCTACGCAGCATTTTATCCATACTCAATAACTGTAACGCGTTTGTACCCTGTCCAATGCAGTGAAACTTCATTATTTTTTTCAAAAATATGGGTTGAAAACAACAATATTAACTATAAGGGTTTCAACATGCTTTCTCGTTTCTTTGGACCTATGTTTCTTTTAGAAAACCATTCAGTTGATCAATTAATTTTGATATCACCCTGTATGTATTATCTGTGTCGTGGTTGGGGTGATGTGACGTTACGACGTGATGATTTACGCATTGTGCAGAGTACACGGAGTTGAGCCAGTCGGAGGTGACGCAGCGGCAGTCGATCCACTACGCGGGCTCGCCGGCGCTGCTGCGGCACGTGGTGGTGCAGCTGGCCGGCCACGTGGACTTCCTCTCCGAGACGCGCTGGCGGCTCTACGGCTGCATCGACCTCTCCATCGACAACAACATGATCACGCTCGAGGTACTTGCACGCTCACCTGCGCGCGTCACACGCACGCGCACGCACGCACGTACACGCACGCACGCACAAATCCACAAAACAATGCTCTGATTCAGATGTCTTCCATTTTCTTCACATTCGTCAATTTATTAATATGTGCTTGCCGTTTGCGAGTACTTTTAATTTGGCATTTTTGGTTTTTTTAACACATCTTGTTCTTGTCCTATATTGTGTATGTATAACTATAATTTTGTTATAATTCTTCACGAGTAAGTGTACAATTTTACTATTATTATACACTAGCTGATGCCCGCGACTTTGTCTGCGTAGTATTTGGTGTGAATTTACTGGGTACAGAGGAATAACACCCGAGTCCTCAGGAATGGCAACGCATGAGGGTATCATGGGCGAAACAGTATACTCTGTTATGTCCATGGTACTGCTCATGTCTATAGGCGACGGTTACCACTTTATATCAGGTGGACCGTCAGCTTGTTTGTCATTTTAAGTTGCATAAAAAAATTATTTGTTATTGCTGTTTAGTTTGTTTCGATCTATGTACCTACCTATTTATTATGTCTGGGAATACAGAATCAAAATTAACAAGTGACGTGTTGTTCTCACTCTTAACCTTAGATCGAAATGGCTTAAGTAGGTTATGTACTAAGCTAAGTTAGTATAGTTTTTTAACTATTCCACGGGAACTCGTTAATTTTCCGTGATTAAAAAAGTAAATTGTCAACTGTTACAATTTAGTTTACTACAATAGTACAATGTCAGTAGACGCCATGTTTGCTTTCGTCTCGTCCAATGTTAGTAGTGTGAGTGTGTGAGTGTGATTGTGTGTGAGTGTGTGAGCGTGGAGCGGCGGCGGCGGTGACGGTGGTGTGTTTGCGTGCGCAGTGGCAGGCGCAGCCGGTGTCGGACATGTTCGCGGACGCGCTGGTGGCGGCCGTGCTGGCGGCCGCCGCGCTGCCCGCGCCGCGACACCTGCCGCTCGCGCCCAAGCTCGACCGCATGCACTTCAAGGTAAACACCACCTATGCTTTCTAACATTTTTTATTTGTAATTTTTTTTGGTAATTCTTTAGTGCAGTTTACTAGGCTTATTAATAATACTCGGAGATGTGGTGAGTGCGAAAGCGAACCCATGTCTCCGACATATGGCACGTCGAGGGTATGTCGTCTGGTTTTTGATGGGTACACCCCCACCTTACGGGGGGACTCCCACAGTACCCATTCACCTCCCACAAGGTGTATGGGTCTGCATAAAGCATTTTCCAGACGTTAAAAAAAAAGGCTTATTAATAATATGGATTGGTAGTTAGGTCTTCTCTAATTGTATAATTGTTAGTTAGTGTACATTGACGCTTATCTATGATAGCTGTATACACCTTTAATTGATGTGTTCATATGGCCTTAAGCTTGGTAGTGAGGAGTGAGATGTTTTTGTTCAAGTAAATTTAGATTTAAGCATTTTTAATAGTAGTTTTTCACTTTTTACTTACTTATAACATTGTACATTGTCTGCTTAATTATTGTGAGCATATTGTTGGTGTGTCTTTTATAAATAAACAAATAACATAGGGTAGCCTCCGCCAGCGCAACACTAGCGCGGGCAGGGTTGCCATTCCACTGTCATCTATTAAAAAACCTAAAGTAGCCCCTACTCGAAACTATCATGGTTAATTCCTGATGGATTCATTATGATGGACTAACTGGCCTACTTTCATTCTCATCTATCATCCTTCATTGGTGACCCGTCAGCGCAGGCGGGGTTGCCATTCCATTTTCACCATAAAAAAGGTAGTAACTTTCCTATAGCTAGCAATACAGGGTGTATTGCTCACCAGATATATCAGATCGATATCCTAGAAACTATAATAGTTGATTTTTATTGATTTATCAAGATGGACCAACTGATCTGCTAACATTTCCACCAATTATTTACCAGTTCTCTACAACTTCGATGTATCTATGGTATTATTTTAAATGTTTCACTGATTCCCCGCCAATGTATACCAATATCACAGACAGAGCCATCATTCCATTTTATATTATATGTATAATTTTCATTTCTTTTTAAAAAAACGAAACTGTTAACTCGTATGTTCATATGCCAGGAATGCGTGATAGAGATGCTGCAGGAGATGTTCGGCGAGGACTCGGTGCCGAAGATGTTCAAGGGGGAGAAGCTCTACGTGCAGGTGGACGGCAAGCGCGCGGACATCGACCTCCTAAATATGGTAACCCTTGCCTCATTTATACTTAATACAAAAGCCGTTTGGGACCTGGTCGCCAAGCAGCTATGTCTGCATTACAGGATATAAAACCCAGTAATTTCACTGTCATATATTACCTTTACGAATGCATGATCTCTTTACTGTGCATACTGTAGTAATTATTTTTTTTAATAAATGATAATGAAATGGTAACCCCGCCTGCGCTAATGATATACGCTGGCGGGGCATCAGTGAGGAATGATAAGTGTAATAGAATGAAGTAGCAGGTCAGTTAGCTCATCGTGATGAATCCACCCGGAATTCAGCATGATGGTTTCCATGGGGGACTACGTGGAGGTCGACCCGACGAGGTGCATTGCTAGCAATGGGACTAGTAGTCCGCACCACTAACAATCCCTGCCCCCCCCCCCCCACTGTAGTAATTTTGTAACAGCAGTATACTCTACAGTACAGTACAGTCTACCCAGGCGGAAAGGGATTGTTAGCAATGATGTCTAACTGACAACTTGCCAGCAACACACCCTATCAAGTCGACCTCCATGTGGTTCCCCCTGGAAACCATCGTGGTTAATTCTAGTGGAATTCGTCACTATGGGCTAACTGATCTGCTTTCATCGTCACTTATCATCCCTCACATTCCATTATCGTCCATTAAAAAAAGCACCGTCTACCCTCTACAAGTATACAAAATTAAACAATTTCATGACCTTATATCTAATAAAATTTTATTACTTATTTATTTATTTAATTCAAAAATCTGCAGATCTTAAAAAAATAACCTACATGCTAAGTTTCTTGTAAATACAGCCAATAACGGAATTTAATTATATAAACGAAAATTATAAATCGAAAGCAAGATATGTAAGTTAGAGTGGGTGTATGTAAGTTATCTAAGTGCATGTATGAAAGAAACTATAACAATGAATGTACATAAAGTCAGGTTAATTAATATATTTTTTTTTTTTTTATACAACTTAGAATGGCAAACAAGCTGACGGTCCACCTGATGGAAAGTGGTAACCGTCGCCTATAGACATGAGCAGTACCATGTACATAACAGAATATACTGTTTCGCCCATGATACCCCCCATGCGTTGCCATTCCTGAGGACTCAGGTGTTATTCCTCTGTACCCAGTAAATTCAAATTAAATAAAATCTATATTGCTGCAGTTCAGTGCTTGATCATATATACATACATTTTTCTATGATTTTAAACTTTTACATGTCTCGGATATTAGTACCATGGCTGTCGTGCTCAAAGAGTGCTTCTAAATATGAGTACATGAACAATACTCATGTCTCTAAATAAATAGTTACTACTTTGCATCAAATGCTGTTTAGCTCTTTGATTTCTCTCATGCATTAAAATAAACATAAATAACAATGTAATGTTGTCATCAGGAGGTGACGTGCCCCGCAGACGAGTCCCTAGAACGCGTGGTGCAGTGCGCCATCACCAAGTTGTACTCCGCGCTGGCCCCAGTGAAGCCCCCGCCGCCGCCGCAGTAGCCCATGACTTATTAATCTACTCGCCTCATCTGCTGATCAGACCCTGATCCTGGTGGCTTGGAGCCACGCCGATCGTTCGTGTTCCTTACTGACAATTCTCCATACCGATGGATACAGTATACCACCATCTGTGCTAATTCCGTTAAAAGAAACGTCGTATAAATATTTTTTTTAAATATTAAGAACAAGAAGATTATATAGTGATATAATTTAATAGTTCTTTTTAAGTGTTCGTCTGTATAAAATTGTCCAGGAGACAAGAACAAGCGGAAAACAAACCAGTAATGTGCTGTGACAAGACTGTTCTATTGTGTAATTGTAGAATGTAAGACGAAATGAATAAAGATATTTTTATTTCATATATTTTGTTTTACTATTCTCAATCTAAGATTTTGGGTTATTACAGTCAAGACCTGTTTAGGAGCATATAAATGTAAAATGAAATTACAGATTTATGAACTAAACCAAAGTCTTTTTATTGTCTTGTTCTTATTGAAGTATCTTTATCATTATTTTCAATATCATCATTCATCTATCCTTAATTTTTTATTTTAATAATAACGAAAAAGTAAGCGAGGTGAAATATAGCCTAGTGTCGTGCTAAGTTTATGTCAAAACTTCATAGATTTTGCCGTTTGGGTTAAAAATTATTATCTATAATTTTTTTATATAAACGCGTACCATAGACTAGGTAATACTTATTTTGGTCATATTGTTTATTCTTTATCTATGTATTTTACTTACGTCTCCTGACACTGACAAAAAATTTTCATGTAGTGATGGGACTCGAGTGATTTTTTTTCACTCGAATCACTCGGTACTGATAAGTTACTCACTCGAATGCCACTCGAGTTAAGATAAAACTCGAGTGATTTTTATTGACTCGAGTCACTCGGAATATAAAACTAGAGTGACCAAAATTTTAAAACGAATAAAACAGTATTAATTTTACATAGAAAATCTGTATTCATTTTCTCAAAAACAAAATCTAAACAAAATGTATAAAATAGAATTTTCCTTCAAACTAAACCTGTCATACATAATCAAGAAACCTCTTGTATCAACTATCAGTCAAATTAAAATATTATAATCTACTACTAATAAGTTCTAATCTAATTTAATTTATTCTAACAAGGAACTTTCATGAGATCCAAATATAAACAGTTTTATTATGTTCTTACACAATTTATGTAATAATATACGTATTTTAAAATTAACTTAAATGAAACTTAAATAATCTCAACGAAAAAACAGAAATAATGTATTTTTAATGAGATAACAAATTTAACTGAGATTGGTGTAATAACTACTTTAAAAAAATGGATAAATCAATTTTTCCCATACCAAATGGCTTCGATAATATCGACTTCAGCACACTTGCTAAAATAATAGAAGAATGTTTCTCCGTAACCTCTCTAGTAGTAATAGTTTGCGAAAAAAGTTTTGAATTATAAGTGTGAAGGGTTCGTTGGATAAAACAATAAAAATATAAGATACTGAAAAAGATATATTATATTGTTCCCTAGTACAATAATAGATGTTTTTAAAAATAATGACGTTTCTCTAATAAACAAAATACTCATTGACATACCAAGAAAATAAATAAGTTCTATTTTTAAAAGTAACATAAATAAAACCTCAACAATAAGTATTGTAATAGTTAGGTATGCTTTATTATTGTCAGAACTCCATAAATCTGTTGTAGCAGCCGTATGTTCAACTAAATGTAGAATATCTACAATTATAGTGCGTGCGGCATGATAAGCATCAGGAAGAATTTTCTCTCTTAAAAGTTTTCTGCTACCGCGGGTAAACTTGTCACAATTTGAATTTCTCACTCGGCTCGGTATAAACCACTCAAGTGGTACGAGTCAACTCGAGTCACTCGTAATTCGAGTCGACTCGAGTCACTAGAAACTCGAGTCGTCAAAAATTTAACTCGAGTGCAAGTAATATAAAAACTACTCGAGTCACTCGAGTGAAAAGCAACTCGAATCCATCACTAATTTCATGTAATATGTGACAGTTGACAGTCAGAAATCGCATGGAATTCATGTTATTGTTGTAATTTTTAATGTGCTTAAATTATTTATATTTTACTGCAATATGTCTAAAAACAAATTATTTGAAGAGGATTCTGATGATGAAGTTACATTTAAAACTGAAAATGAATACGCAAAAAGATATGACGCATGGCGCGAAAAAGAGGAAATGCATAAATGTGTGTATCTGATTATGAAAAATCATGTGTTCAATTATTTAAAAATGATTGGAGACAACCTTAAAGATTAAACAAAAATACATAAGTCCACCCACTTACCTATTCATACATCTTTTATATTTACAGTGGAACAAAAGTACGGTTCGAAGGCTTTAAATGGTGAACTGTCTTCATCATCTGACAGTGAAGATGAGAGTGATGAACCACCTGAAGTCAATGAGGAGTTGGAGAAACAGTTTCTCAAAACTTTAGCATTGTTAAAAACCAAAGATCCAAGGATCTACGATTCTAATTATAATTTTTTTGATACAGAAGTGAAAAAAGATACTGGTATGTAACAAGACAACAAAGTATTTAATGGGTAAAAATGACATAAGGATCCCACCCGCGCTATTGGCATATGTAGACGGGGCACCAATGAGGAATAATAGGTGAGGATGAAGCATGCCAATTGGCCCATCTTGACAAATTCAACATTAATTAACCACAATGGTTTCCAATGTGTGAATGTTAATTCTGCCTTTTTAATAGACAACAATGAAATGATAACTCCATTTACACTATTTGTTTTTACTGGCAGGATATTAGTAAGGTATGACAAATAAAAAAATTCTGTTAAAAGTAATTAATTTACCAAGAGTTGATTGTTTCCAAAGATTTATGTATTTTACTACTAAAATGTTGGGTAACATTTATTAAAAATATTTACAAAATTTCTTGTTTTGTAAAAGTAAAACATGACATTTATTTATTTTTGGGCTCTAACATTTTCTTTATGCATTTTTAGAGATGAAAGTCTATTTAAAGATCTCTTTACAAAGATGTTTTTTATTAAATAAACTTAACTCTTGACTTATGCCAAAATCATTATCATTGCAACGAAACCATTTAGAAAACGTCTGTTTCAGAAAAAGAGACCAAGATGAAAACATTGACTTTTGCTGACAGCGATGATGATGATGAGGATGATGATGGCAATATATTTAGTATTGAGAAGAAAGCTGTGGTTAATATGGAAAATAAAAGTGAAGCCAATACAAAGAATAAACAAACGGTTTGTTTCCTTTGTTTATGAGATTGTGTGTCTATTAATCTGCCTATCAAGCGAGGCAACCACTGTCAAAACTCCCCTTCTGGGGAAGGCTTATGTTCAGCAGTGGACAGTTAAGGGCTAATTTTATTAAACAACTGCTTGAGTGACTATGTGGGTAATATATGTGAGACATGACAGTAACATTACTGGGTCTTATTGCGTAACCTCTTAGGCTGCTAGAATGGGAATGATTTTTATGTATATTTTATTAATTTATTTTGTATTTGTAACTGGCAAGTGTGTATGAAACAATTGATTTATGTGGAAGAAGCGAAAGAGGCTTGTTAGAATCGAAGCAGTTGGTGTTCTATTGTTTTTGCTTACCCTAATGGGAGACAGGCGTGACAGATATGTACGTCTGTTAATTAGTTTGTGCAATGTAAAAATTTACTTGACATAAATAGATTTTATTTGTTAGTAGCGACCAGCCCCTTCTTCGCACGGGTGCCATACTGATACTAAATAGCGATGATGGCCCATTAGAAACCTCTAAAATTATCACTGTTTCTCTACTATATTATGCATGTATTATACATATAAACCTTCCTCTTGAATCACTATTAAAAAAAAGGTTTCAATATCCGTTGTATAGTTTTAAAGATTTAAAGCATACATAGGGACGGACAGACAGCGACAGCAACTTTGTTTTACACTTACATGTAGTAATTTAATGGATAATGGTAACAACCATGATGGTCGTACAAAATTTTGAGATGTCCATGCCAATATCAATGATGATGGTTACCACTTTCCATCAGATAATGATTATATGGCTTGCCCATATATTTGAACTAATACTATGTATTGTATAGACTATACTCATATGTTTATGAACTTCCAAGAGTTTTTTCATAATATCTTAAAGCATGTTTCCTTATTGTTTTACCTTCAGGGTGGCAAACTTAAGGACTATCTCACAGGCAAAGCTGAACACATAGATGATGAGGTGGAGAAAGAGTTAGCACCCCTGAAGGCGTTATGGTCAGACCCCAAACTGAACGATGGGGAAGCCTTCCTCAGAGACTACATACTGAATAAGAAGTAAGTAGTATTAAATACTATACATAAATTACTTCAATTTATCACAACAATATAAAGCGTCAATCTGTACTATTACATAATTAGCTATGATTTATATATTTATTAATTTTATATGTACTATGTATAGTTATTTATATATTGCGTGTGATTTATGTATGTTATATTTGTTTATTTATCTTAAATTGTTGTTATTTTTCAATATATTTATAAAATTTACAATTTTTTTTTTCAAAGCATACAAAGCAGTGCATACACTGCCATTTACTCTCTCTGTTCAGCGTAATGGTTGATTGGTAGAGAATGCCATCATGTATTAAGTCTGCCCTGTACACATATTTTATTGTGTGCAAAAGTGTATATAAATAAAATTTCGGCTAACTCTTCAGTGGTAGGACATTGTGTTAACAAAGCAAATTAATCGTGAGTGATGTCAGTTAGCCCGCCACTTATCTTGTTGTGTAATTTGCTTAGTGAAATATAAGCTGGTGTTACATTCACCACAACAGATGGTTGGCAAATGCCTGTGATTACTCAAAAAGGAATTTTAATCATGAATTTTTAATGCCACAACTGAGTATAAGAAAGATAATGCTATTATTATTTTTATTTTAATTGAATTCTTTATTCAAATTTCTTAAATTCATTCAAATTTATTCAAATTCGTTTTTTAACTATTATTCTAATTCTGGTGTCAAATAGGTGGTATAAAATCTCCACATGACTTTGGTTTTCTTTATCTAAGCACTTATATGCTCTATCTAAGTTAATCTCAAACCTTAAAAATATAAAGTCATTTATAATTCTTCCATAATTTCTTCGTCTCTAAATAACTTGTGATCAACAGATATTTAGAGGACGGCGATGTCGGTGACGCCGCGGACAAGATCCGTGACGATGACGACTTGGAAGCGGACGAAAAGATGGTGGAGGAGCAGGGTAAATTTGAGAGGGCTTACAACTTCCGGTTTGAAGAACCCGACGAGGAATATGTAAGCATGCTAACATTTAAACAACAATTCATTGTATTCAAAATACTACTATTATTCCAAATTTAAAATTTGGAGAATGCTGAAGGCATTTGAAATTTAGTGTGAGGACCATATTTTGTGCAAATAGGTTGCTTTATGTGATCATCTGATCGTTTCAGCCATTATCCGTCCAATAAAGAACGGTCCTGAGCCATGTACAATGACTGACTTTCTGCAATGCATTTCAGACTGTCGTCGTCGTTTTATATAATACTTTATTATTTTACTAGCGGCCCGTCTCGGCGTCGCACGGGTGGACATTTTACATTTTGAAAAGTGGCCATTTAGGCTGCGCACGCGACGGAAGCTTAAAAATGGAGTAACTTTTCCCGTTTTCCCAACATTTCCCTTCACTGCTCTGCTCCTATTGATCGTAGCGTAATGAAAGTATACTATAACCTGCTCAGGAGTATGAAGAATAATTGTACCAAGTTTTGTTAAAATCCATCGAGTAGTTTTTGTTTCTATAACGAACATTATAGCCTTTTTGTCATCAGTATCGATCACTAATCACCGCCTGATAGTTATTTTGGAAATATATTTTATGTACAGAATTGACCTCTCTACAGATTTATTATAAGTATAGATTATAATAATTTACGCCAAAATATGGTTAATAACTCGTGAACAAATTTGCTTTGTAACCCTTATGCATGATAGTTTAACAAATTTATATCTCAGAAGTTAATAAAAAGAATTTTTTTATATTACTATGGTGGCAAACAAGCATACGGCTATATATATATATATATATATATATATATATATATAATCACTCTTTTTCAGAAGAAATGCTCAGAGTATTAATTATATTCTCAGAAGGTTTGATACAAAATAATTTTGGTGAATAAATATTTTTATTAATACAACATTTGCAGTTAAAACGGTTTCCGCGCACAATGAACTACATCCGGCCGAAGGACGACCGGCGCTCGCGCAAGCGAGCCGAGCTGCGCGCGCGCAAAGAAGACGAGAAGAAGAAGAAAATGGAGGAGATCGCGCGGCTCAAGGCGCTGAAACTGAAGGAGATACAGGAGAAAATTGCCAAGATCAAAGAGGTCACTGGAAATCAGGATCTCGCGTTCGAGGTACATCATTTGAAAAGACCATTTTGTTAGTTAGATTTTTATGTAACATAAATGGCAAATGAGACAGACCATTTGACCAAAAGTGGTAACTGTCGCCTATTGACTAGATATGATGTCACTTTTTTTTTTTACAACATAGAATGGCAAACAAGCTGACGGCCCACCTGATGGAAAGTGGTAACCGTTGCCTATAGACATGAGCAGTACCATGGGCATAACAGAGTATACTGTTTCGCCCATGATACCCCCCATGCGTTGCCATTCCTGAGGACTCAGGTGTTATTCCTCTGTACCCTGTAAATTCACGCCATATCCCACCCTTCAAACCGAAACACAGCCATGCAAACACAACTGCTTCACGGTTGAAACACGAATGGGACAGAGGTTATAAAAACAGCTGTCAAATTTATTTTTTAACCATTTTTCCTTTAATTTTGAACATGAATTATATCATCTTGATTTATATCATTAATAAAAAAAAAACATGCAAAGAAGGGTGAATAATCAGTATAAAACATTAAAAAAATTAATTGATTTTAAAAATGTATACATAATTACGACGTTGCCTCGCTTCAGTAAGCAGAAGTTATGAACCCTCTTAACTGTATCCACTAGGAGCAAGACATCGAGGGTGACTTCGACCCGGAGGAGCACGACCGCCGCATGCGCGCGCTCTTCGACGACGAATACTATGGGGAAGCCGACACGGAGAAGCCAAGATTCCCCGACCTCGATGAAGAACTTGAGATTGGTAATTATTTGCATTGTTTATTTTAGCATGATATTGACCTCTCTTTCACACAATATTATGCAAGTCGCCTACATACCTCTGTCACACGTGTGTTTCTGTCGTGAAGCAGAATCAATTTTTAAAAAATTTCTATGGATCCAATCTGTAAGTATATCTGTATGTATATATATTTTTACCAAAGGGAGACTTTGTACTAAAGTCGATTGCTTGGGTACCTCTGTCCCATTCGTGTTTCAACCGTGAAGCAGTTGTGTTTACATGGCTGTGTTTCGGTTTGAAGGGTGGGATATGGCGTGAATTTACAGGGTACAGAGGAATAACACCTGAGTCCTCAGGAATGGCAACGCATGCGGGGTATCATGGACGAAACAGTATACTCTGTTATGTCCATGGTACTGCTCATGTCCTACATTATATTACAAAGTCCAAACGTTTTTCAAATTACTGTATTCTATATGTCAAATTATCACATAAAATTATGGTTTATATTTTAAATAATCTTTAATACATTACAGCTTTTAATACATACATTGTTTTGTCATTTAAATATTCAATAACTGCATAATAGCCTTTTTTTTAAAAGAAAGTAAAATAACTTTTGTTTAAATCTCTTTATCGGATAATCCTCAAAAATGAGTTTGTTGTTAATGTAATAGTGAGTCTGTTTGTATTTTACCTATTAACGTCTTAACGGCTTAATTAATCACTGTGAAAACAATAGAAATTAAATTCAATCTGGTGCAACTTTTGCGCGATGCCGGACCAAACATACAGACAGACAGACAAAACATCTAAAATTTATTATTTCGGCTCCTTAATAATCCTAATAAAATCCCTTATTTTAATTTTCCTTAAATATCTCTCATTCACTCATCTCTAAGTCTTCATTCAGTTACAATTTTCAACCTATTTAAAGGGGGGGGGGGAAGGGATTGTTAGACGCAAGAACACACAGACAGAGGTGACCAAGTAAACGACTTTTGTACAAAGTCTCCCTCTGGTGAAGTTTTATTTAATTTCAATTAAAATACTGATGTATATTTTATCTCGAAGTGGTCATTTACCCTCAAAATATACACATACAAAGTTGCAAGTAAAAGCTAATATGTAATATTTATTTATATTTATTTGTTTTATTTTAGAAAATTGGGATAATTATGAGCCTGAACAGAGCCAAGCGGTACAGCAACACGGTGATACTGAGCCGCATTGCGAGGACGATGACTTCAATGTAAGTTGATGTTACAGAATTATACTGACGTTTGTCCGCTGACTTACTTCCATGTACTAACAACTCAAATTTTTTTTTTATTTTTTCATTTATTCTTTATTGACCCAATTACAAAAATCCTCTCCCAGTCAACCTTTAGCAAAACAGAAATGTTCTTATATATTTTAATACTATTAACCTTTACTAAATAGATATAGAGGGGGGAAAGGGATTGTTAGTAATGGAAACTGAGAATCCCATTGCCAGCAATATACCCAACCAGGTCGACCTCCTCGCGGTTCCCCCTGGAAACTATCATGGTTAATTCCTGATGAATTCATCACGATGGGCTAACTGGCCTGCTTACATTCTCATCTATCACCCTTCACTGGTGCCCCGCCAGCGTATCCCGTTAGCGCAGGCGGGGTTACCATACCATTTTCACCTATCAAAAAAAAATTCAATGGCAAGTTACACTAACATGCATCTATTAGAACAACAATTATTTTTAATGAATAAATAAATAATTAAATAAATTATTTATTTATTCATTAAAAATAATCATAACATTATAACAGCAAAAGCCAAATCAATGGTATAAATCTAGTGTGCTAACATACAACGTTATAATAAATGTATTTAACCCGGACTCTAGATATTTATGAGCCGCTTCCAATATCTCTGGCAGGCTGCTACTAAATATATCAATGACGTTTATAACATTGTTTAATAACCGTACTGCGCGAGTTAAGGCAGCGTGCTGAAGTAGGTTAGTTCTTATGGAATTGTTTATTAGTTAGTTTAACATGGAACCATTATGACTGACTTTCACATAAGTACAAAAAAAAGGAATAATTACAATAAAGTTATTAAATAAATATTTCATAGATGGATGCCGACTACGATCCGAAACAAGCTCGAGCGAACCTTCTCGAAGAAATCCAACAGGGGCTCGTTAAAAAACGCCGGAACCGGAAGCGCAAGTCCAAGCTTCACCATTTGCTCAGCGTGGAGAAACCCAAGTTTGTCCCAACTGCGGCGGATAAGACTTACGCCGAGTATATGGAGGAATATTACAAGATGGACTGCGAAGATGTTATAGGTGGTGACCTGCCCACTAGGTTCAAATATAGGGAGGTGGTGCCCAATGACTACGGCTTGACTATTGAGGAGGTACGTGATCAAACGATAAATATTTATTTACTTCTATTACTACCTATATCCAAGTGTCGCCCCCTACTGTCTAGTAATGCGGACCACCAGTCCCATTGTTAGCAATATACCCTATCAGGTCGACTTCCACATGGTCCCCACTTGGAAACCATCGTGCTAAATTTCTGGTGTAGTCATCATGATGGGCTGACTGGCCTGTCTTTTCAATCTCACTTATCATCCCTTACTGGTGCCCTGCCAGCGTATACCCTTTACGCAGGAATGGTTATCATTCCATTGTCATCTTTTAAAAAACTGTCAAGAGTTTCTAAGGCGCCTACACAAAGCCCTCGGATATTAAAACTTAGAATAACTTATTCTAATAATTGTTTCTTACTTATTTTTTGAAGATCTGTTTGCCATTTGGCAAAGGCCTCCTCCAACCGTTTCCACTCTCGCCTACCCTGAGCCACTCTGTCCCACATTTTTTCAGCCACTTCCCTAATGTCATCAGCCCATCTTATGCAGAGTCTGCCTCTTTTCCGTTTGCTTTCCCTGGGATACCATCTTGTCACTTTCTTACTCCATTTGTCATCTCCTCTGATCATGTGCCCTGCCCATCGCCATTTGAGTCTTTTTATTTTCAAATTTACATCTATGGCTTTTGTTTTATTCATATGCATAAACAATGTACACGAATAATTCTTTTAACTAATCATCTATGGATAATTCCAGATTCTGCTAGCAGACGACAAGGAGCTCACACAGTGGGTGCCGCTGAAGAAGATCGTGAAGCACCGGCCCGACACTGTGGAGAAGAGCGAGGTGAAGACGTACGCGCAACGGGCGCATGACCTTCGCCTGAAGAGGAAGGTGCTGCCCAGTCTCTTCAAGGACTTGCCTGAGTAATTATCAACTTCTTAATATTTACTACTTCAGATATCCTGTATAACTCTAACACTCTCATTTGGGGGGAAGGGATTGTTAGTAATGTGGACTACCAGTCCCATTGCTAACAATATACCCTAACAGGTCAACCTCCCTGTAAGTCCCTCTGGAAACCATCGTGCTGTATTCTTTCTGCTGCTTTCAAATGTCATCTCTCACTGATGGTCCGATAGCGTATACGGGTAGCACAGGCAGGCTTACTATTCCATTATCGTCCCATTAAAAAAAACTCTTATTTGAAGGGGGAGGGGGGTGTTAGTAATCGAAAAGTAGTTTCTACCAGAGGGAGACTTTGTACAAAAATCGATTGCTTGGGTACCTCTGTCCCATTCGTGTTTCAACCGTGAAGCAGTTATGTTTTTTTTTTATGGGTGAAAATGGTATGGTAACCCCGCCTGCGCTAACGGGATACGTTGGCGGAGCACCAGTGAAGGATGATAGATGAGAATGAAAACAGGCCAGTTAGCCCATCATGATGAAGTCATCAGGAATTAATCATGATAGTTTCCAGGGAGAACCGCGTGGAGATCGACCTGGTTGGGTATATTGCTAGCAATGGGATTCTCAGTCTCCATTACTAACAATCCCTTTCCCCCCAAAGCAGTTGTGTTTGCATGGCTGTGTTTCGATTTGAAGAGTGCGATATGGCGTGAATTTACTGGGTACAGAGGAATAACACCTGAGTCCTCAGGAATGACAACGCATGGGGGGTATCATGGGCGAAACAGTATACTCCGTTATGTCCACGGTACTGGTCATGTCTATAGGCGACGGTTACCACTTTCCAGCAGGTGGACCGTCAGTTTGTTTGCCATTCTAAGTTGTATAAAAAAAAAAGTTTGTCCAAATTGCTAGCAATATGAGTATGTCTTATAAACATTTATGAAGGTACCATATAGTCCACCTTGGAAATCATCGACATTAATGCTTAGTCAATGCACCATGATGGACAGACTGACTTAATTTCATCATTCACTGGTACCTCGCCAACATATACCGATTATCTTTACTACTGTTATAAATGTGTAAGTTACTTTGTTTGTTTGTTACCTTATAACACCTTAACCAATCGTTATGAAATTTGATGGACATATTACCTAATATCTATCTAGATATATAGGATAGATAAACATATATAAGCTACCATTTACCTTAAACAATCAACATATTCCGATCACGTAGAAGAAGTGGCTATTTTTATATTTATTAGCTTTGAATATAATAATTCGCAGCATATGTATGTTCGCCCTTTATCTTGTCTGATGAAAGAAAACCTTTCTTTTTAATAATTAACATTTGTCTATTTATTTGTTTATTATCTATTCCTCCAGGGAACCACAAATAGTAGTACCTGTCGAAGAAGGGTCAAAAAAGAAAAAAAATAAAAAGAAAGATGTAACAGTTAATGAAACTGAACATGAGAACGAAAATAATGAGATTGATAACTCCAGCACTGAAGTAAATACTAAAAGAAAGAAGAAACGGAAAGAAGCTGTTGTAGATACTGAAGAAGAAGTCAATAAAGAACATATAGAAGGAAAAGATCTAGAAGAAACAAATGATTTTAGTAATTCGAATAATAGTTTCGCAGAAGATAATGATAAAAACCTCTTAAATGGAAATGATGGGAAAAGGAAAAAGAAGAAAAGACATAATAATAGCTTGAATTATAATATTTCAATAGGAAACATAGATTCTGTGGAGAAAAGTAAAGATAAAGTTAAAAAGAAAAAGAAGCATAGAGATGGATTTATCGTGGAATCCATAGCCAATGCAGAGCCCAGTCAAGAAAGCGATGAGGGAACAGCATCTAATGTACCACGAAAAAATTCTAATAATATCAACATGGACGATCAGAAAGGTAATTTGAAACGTAAATTTGGTACAAATCCAGATAACCAAGTGCCGAACAAAAAGAAAAAGAAGAAAACTAAACAAAACATAGAATTTTCAAATAATAACCCAACCAAGAAAGAATTCATTAAGAAAAATAAATTTAAAAATAAACAAGCACTAGATAGTTCAACACAGAATCCTCTCGGCAAATTGTCAGATGAGAGGCTAAAAGCCTATGGATTGAATCCTAAGAAATATAGAAGTTTCTTGAAATATAAGAAGTTTTAAAATAGATTTAAACTTGTATCGTGATCACCTTACTTTCCACCTTCTAGGATTGACGCAGAATGTTATAATTTACATTTATGTATTATATTATATAAAAAACTATTTTGTAAATAAAATATAATTTAAAAAATAGTTCTTCTTATTATCTTCTTCTTTGCTTACATAGTTACCTAATAAAAATTAATTATTGTAAAACATCTCAGTTTTCTTTGCAGGAAAAAGCTTGTTTTTATCTTGTGCAATTTGAGAAACATGCCATCTGTGTAATCTAGTCTAACAGGCAGTCTGTTGCTTTTTTTTTTATACAACTTAGAATGGCAAACAAGCTTTAGAGACTGCTCACATTTATTCAGCTCTATTCAGCTTTTGTCCATAGAAAACAACGATTTTGTATGGAGACATGTACGCATCCATTAAGCTTTCCGCATCTATTCTGCTTTCGCGACAATCCAGTATAAAATGAGGATAAATGTGTATTTATCATGCGAATGCTATAGAGAGCGTTCAGCGCTGTACCGCTGCGTTCAGCGCTGATCCACCGCATTCACCGTCAAACGCAGCGAAACAGCTCTTTACAGGGATGTTTCGCGACTGCTTGTCGACAAGTTGCGACCTGTATTGTTTCAGCATTGGTTTGATTTATTATTGCGTAATCATTATGTACGCAAGGATTAAACAGTACAAACGTATTTTATAGTAATTATATTTATTTTATTTCTACGAAATGCAGCATATTCAACGCCGTACGCAGTAGACAAGCGTTTCAGCGGAGATAGCACGCTATGACGGCTTTTCTCATTCTTACGACGCCGTACGCGGCTGATAGAAGCAGAGCTGTATAAGTGTGACCAAAATCGTTCAGCGAAACGCAAATGGAGCTGATAAAGTGTAAGTAGTCCCTTAGACCATCGTTTCTAACCATTTTGTATTTCGAGACCCACGAAAAAGCCAGAAAGTTAAGTAAAATGTCTTGCAATCACGTATTCAAATGACTTTTACTAATTAGTAAATGACAAGAATAATGAAAACAAACTTATTTTCCTGTATTCATTACTACTACACCAGCTTTATATTTAAAACTAGCGATCCGACAAGACTTCGCACGAGTAGACAGAATTTTCGAAAATCAATACATATAATAAAAAAGTTTCAGCCAATTCAACTGGTAGTTTATTTTATAGCATTTTATACATGATTTTTTAGATTAATATATCTTTTTCATTTATGAACCGATTAAAATAAAACAAACACTAAATGTTAAGTGGAACAAACAGCATTAGTGGAAATCGCATTCATATCGGTTAAACCGTTTCTAAGATTAGCAAGCACAAACGTACAGGCAAATAGGCAAAAATTCTAAAAATCATTGTTCTGGGTCCTATTGCGTTTATAAAGCTTCCGTATAATAATTTTTCTTATAGGTATATTTCCCATATACAGACAGCGATCAGTTACGATTTTATTACATGTATTAATATTTCTTCTTATTATAAGTTTTAATGATAAAGGATATATTTTCATCGGCGGGCTGTAACAAATTTATAAAATTAAATCTTATAATAGGATTATTTACTTTTATAATAATTTCTAATAAAAATAAGCATGCCAGTAATAACAAAAATTATTTTTTAATGGATGATGATTGATGATGGAATTGTAACCTTACTTCCGTTAGCGGTATGCGATAGCGGGCTACTAGAAAGAGACAAGGATAAAAATAGGTAAAGATGAAAGTAGATCAGTTCGTCCATCAAGACGAATTCCATAAAAAATAACCACGATAGTTTTTAGGGAGACCTACGACAGATCAGTCTAATACCATATATTGCAGGCAATAGCGATGTATGGGTTCCCTTACTACAATTCCTTTTTCCTCCACCAAAAAAGAAATTGTAGGTCAGATATAATTTATCGTTTAGCATCTTTCAATAAGAAACTTTGATGGGATGTCAATGAGATAAAAATATCAGAATAAGTAGTATTTGATATTTTTTTTAAATGCCTACATTTTTTACAATTTTATTTTTAAATTGTACTCTTGATCTATGTCGTTAGAACTTGTTTAAAAAAAAAACATAGACATAGATTAAGAATATAAACAAAGAGTTTTGAGTTTGACAATATTGGGTAGTTGACACTGACATTGTCGTCTTGATTAGTTTGACGTTTTATAATCTCTATTTGTCCTCTCTTTTTGTAAAGTTTCTTTTTCGGCGAGCCGTGCTGACGGAATCAGGTAAATATTAAAATATGAAATTAAAGTATATTTTTTAAAAATACACCGGTAATCGAATAAATTCAACTGTTCTTTGATGCATTATTTCAATTTAACGAATAAAAGTCTCATAATTGCTAAGATGAAAATTGATTATCAAACACGCCTTAAAGTAGAACCTGGTGATTTACAATTAATCGGCAGGTATGGACAATGGGGCTATAGAACTGCCACCGGCGACGATTCCCAAGCACATTAACCTGAGTATCAGTGTTATTACTTGGGGATTGGTGTTTGCAACAGTTTGTGGCGACAAATCCTCCATACTTTCAACAATAATAACTTTACTCTTATCATTATTCTAAACTGAATATCGTTTGTAGCTCGCCAAAATGGTGAACAACAGAGTACCATCGGTATTCTCCAAAACCTACGTGACGCCCCGGCGTCCGTTCGAGAAGGCCCGTCTCGACCAGGAGTTAAAGATCATCGGTGAATACGGTCTTCGTAACAAGCGCGAAGTGTGGAGGGTGAAGTACACGCTCGCCCGCATCCGGAAGGCTGCTCGTGAGTTGCTCACGCTCGAAGAAAAAGACCCCAAGAGATTGTTTGAAGGTAACTTAAACTGACGTGCTTTACACATGTGTTTTAGGTTATAATAAATTAGTGTTTAATCCTAATATTGTAAATGTGAAAGTAAATTTTTTACTTTATATCACTACATACTATATCAGATGGAGAAGGATATAGACTGCTTCTTATCGTAGTTAGTAACCTCATCTCGATCTTGTGGACATACTAAAAGCTATTAATAATATACCTGTGGATTTTAGATTGTAAATTAGAGGCTAAACCCGGAAAGAGAATTCAATTTACATTACATTAGATTGTAAATTTGTTATTTATAAGCAATTTTGTGCATATTGTATATAAGATTGATTAAAAGAAATCAGTATTCTGATGAGTGTTGTGATCTAAATTTATCAAATGTTATGTTTGAATAACTTAATATTTTGTGCTAACTTACTTTTACTGAATTATTAATTTTAATTTTTTACAGATAGGTTTAGCAATTATATACTCAGAATCAACCTTAAAAAATATGTGTAAATTTGTTAAAATTAATACTCCAGAACGGAAACTGTGTGAATTACATATACATTATAATTGTTATAAAGCTACAGTCTGTCAACAAAATGTTTGAACTATAACATCATTAAAATACCCAGTATGTATCTAACTGCCCACACGTTTATGCAATATATAAAAATACCTTTATGAACAGTATTTTACTTGACAAATACTTAATGTAAATGATGATAATATAACTGGCAACCTCTTGTCATAATAAAAAAAATGTTGACTACATAGTTCCTGAAGGAGACAAATCTTAATGCCAATGTATGAGTAGTTAATCTTGTATTAAATCCTAAAATATTTTTTAGGCAATGCACTCCTCCGTCGTTTGGTCAGGATCGGAGTGTTGGATGAGAAGCAGATGAAACTCGATTATGTGTTGGGTCTGAAAATTGAAGACTTCTTGGAGAGGCGTCTGCAGACACAGGTGTTCAAAGCTGGTCTCGCCAAATCCATCCATCACGCGCGCATTCTCATCAGACAGAGGCATATCCGGTAATTAATTTATTTATGAAAACTTTCCATTTTAATGATTAATGTAATTTTAGGTATGCCTTTAACTAATATTGTCAAAAATTGAATATTTATTCAGTTACTTGAAAACTAGCTATAAATTGTTGAGGCTTTCTCTAGAGACATGGGGTTCTTCAAAAAGGACATTAAGGTTTCTTAAGTTTCAGCACAAGTAACATCCTTGGTGTTACAGACCTCTGTATGCTTGTTTGTAACCTTAGTAGTATAAAAAAATTAAATTTCAAAGCTGTGTTACAAATAACGGATTATATTTGTGTATACACACACATATATAAATACATATATATTTCACTTATAAAGATTAATTATGGAAACATTATTGTATTAGAGACAATTGAAATTTTACAAGCATAAATATAAATGCAGGTGAGCAGCACAGCTTGGTAGCGGCTGCTAATGGTTTGAACTGCGTTTGAAGCATTTGTCATAAAGACCACTTGAATCTCAACTTTGGTTGAATTCAATGTCTTGAAATTTTTATGAGCTCTATTGAGCTGGCCAGGTAATGTATGTCTAATCTAATTGTACTTACTGGTGATGCTCTTTTATCTCATCAGAATTGCAGATTAAAATAAGCGATGGGGGGTGAGCCTTGAAGTGTTAATGGCCAGTAAAATCTGACATAAGAGGGCATAACTCTCATAATTGTCATTTTTATTTCACATTATAATTTATTCTTCATGTCTATAATAGGCAATGATTACCATTTTCCAAAATATGCTTTATTAGCTTGTTCACACAGTAGGTTATGTCAGATTTAGAAGTTTTCTTGCATCTGTGATGCTGAACAGCAAGTGTTACTTACTGCAAAGTATTAGCTTGCTTGTATATTATATCTATTCATTAATACTAAAATATCATATAAGATTATACATATCTGCAAAAAAAGTGTGATTTCTGCTCTATTTGGAAACTCTGCCAGTAAAATATTACATTTATATTATTGATTATTTTCACCATTTAGTGTCCGCAAGCAAGTGGTGAACATCCCGTCGTTCATCGTGCGCCTGGACTCGGGCAAGCACATTGACTTCTCGTTGAAGTCTCCATTCGGCGGCGGCAGGCCCGGCCGCGTCAAGAGGAAGAACCTCCGCAAGGGACAAGCTGGCGGCGCCACCAATGATGAGGAGGAAGATTAGACTAATAAAATAAACACCTTGTTTATATACTAGTTTGGTATTTTATTTAATATATCGTAAGGAATTACCGACCCATGAAGTAAGGATTTGTCGCTCAAAAACGTTTTGCATCACTTCGAAGCCATTTGGGCGTAAAGCTATTATTCAGATCATAATTGATCGGTAGTAAAAACCGGACCATTTGCTTGTTACCTTTTGAATTGAAGCAAAATGAATTATAAGACAAAAGCCTTCTTCACAGATACTTCATAGGTTCAGTTCGCTCAACATGCAGTGTTGGGTTTTGAAGGATAGATTATCTTAGTTTTTAAGAATGACAATGCATTTGTAGTAGCTGCCATGAAATCGTAATGTTATAACCCTTAAAAGCCTGATTTTTTAAATCAAATTAAAAAATATATGTGCACCCTTTACTGTGTTTATTAATGGGGAAAAATAGTAAAAAAATCAAAACGATATTTTTATATATTTATTTTGAAAAAAAAATTTGGTAACATGTAAACAGCTAAATATTAAAGTAAAATCGATTGTAGGCGCACAATGCGATTTATAACCCTGTTATCAAATTTGAAATTTAACGGATTATACCCTTGATCCTGTTCAGTTCTATAGGCGATGGTTACCATTTTCTATTAGGGCTGTCTGCTATTACAACTTATACATTTGAAACAGATTTGAAATAAGTTATGAGATTGATTCTGAGGTACTATTTCTCAAAATTTCAATTTGATATAACGACGAAATATTTAAATATCAGCATAGACAAAATAGATATATAAATTTAGTATTTGAAGGTCAATAAGATAGTAATTTTGCGAATCTCAAAACATTGCATTAATAGAAAGGTATGGAGAAATGGTGCCGTAGAGTCGAACCAGTGGTACATGTCAGGTTTAAGGAGAGGTGATCGCGACTTATTTATTAGGTAGAGGCGACTTATTTTACGCTTTATTATAGGCTAGGATAAGCTCTACGCTGCAGAAGCTGATATATTTTTCAACCACCTTTCAATTGTTTTTTTTTGTTGTGTCATAACTTCAGTTGTAAACCGATTTGGAAAATTCTTTTTTATCCAAAAGGATATACTTGCCATACTTACGATTGGTTACATAGAAATATTATTAAAATTGGCACAGTAGTATAATTTTCAAATAAAAATAACTGGTTTTGCTACAATTAGTTTTTTTTTTTTTTGTGAAACACAATCATTAGTTATATTGTTTAGTGTTGTATAAACTGGCCTTAAAATTGGTCACTAATTGAATTGACATCTTAAGTAAAAGAAAGTACTTTTTATTCGATATGTATAATATACACATGTCTAGTTTAGTCTATACTGGTCTATACATAAGTGTTTTTTACAGTGTGGAAATTATAGTCTTCACTCTAAAATATAACAATTTGCACATTTTACTTCACAGTGTTAAGTATTATTACATAATACCATCTAGTCATAAAACAATCGAAGTGATTATTATTATTAATCTTTATTATCAATCACTGGTCTTTTTTACATTGAGGAGGGCGCAGGTGGAAGTCTTAGGACGAACCCTTTACCCAAGTTTCTCCAGAGGCTACTACCCCAGGTTACTAAAACTTGCTTTTTTTTTAATGGGTGAAAATGGAATGGTAACCCCGCCCGAGTTATTGGTATACATCGACGAGGCGCCAGTGGAAGATGATAGGTGAGAATGAATGCAGGTCGGTTGACCCACCATGATGAATTCGACAAGAATTAAACATGATGGTATCTAGGGGGAACCGCGTGGAGGTCGACCTGAGATAGTATATTGCTAGCAATAGGGCTATTAGACCCCATTACTAACAATCCCTTTGCCCCCACTCTTGCCTTGTAGGCTGGTGATTGTGTTGAGGTATCAGGTAGCAAGGAGGATTTCTTTAATTAGACACTAGTTACAAGCTCTGCTTAAATTGGGACTAGGTGGCGCGTTGCGATATCACTAGGTTATTTATATATTATTTTATATAATACATTTTTTACAATCATAGTAAATACTTAATATATTAAAAAAATATTTAAATGCTTATGTCCTTCATCAGGATCATGAATGACTGAAATAAGATTCCCATTACCAATGATTAAATGATTATTTTCATACATTTAATTTCTAATTTCTAATTAAATGTAAGAAAATGATTTTATTTTTCTAAATGCTTAATTAATTATTTAATTTTTAAATGCTTATCTGGAGGGTATTCTATAATTAACTAGTAAATATGCATATTATCAGGGCTAATAAAGAAGTATAACACCAACTCTGTTTTAAGGTTTTTTTCTTACATAATAGCTGCCAGCAGCCACTCTAGAACTTAAATACATTCAATAAACTAATGGAATTACATAATGGTTTCAAAAGATATTGCCCCTAACACATACTTTTTAAATATCTTAAAAAAAAAAAATTATACTTTATTCTCTTCATTATCACTTAAGTTAACATTTCTCAAGCCATTGGTCGTATTGGATATCTCCATGTCCTTTATTTGCTCCATGCACAAGTCGAGGATACGCTCGAGTCCTCTTGCAGTCTGCTCAGAGGTATACACCTGAAAGTCTGGCACGTGGACAAACAGTGTTCTAGTGTTATCCGCACTTAGGGAGGTGTAGTAGGTATACTCGCATATATATCTGAAAATTGGGGACATTTCATTAAGTATATTGAGAAAAATAGAAAGAGCAAAATTAAAAATTGAATCAGTATACTCTGTTATGTCCATGGTACTGCTCAATAGGTGACGGTTACCACTTCCATCAGGTGAGTCATCAGCTTGCTTGTCATTCTAAGTTGCATAAAAAAAGAGCAACCGTGTATGTTATATATTGTGTATGTCCTATGTTTCGATTCCGTATGTCATCACTTGTAACACGCGTTGGTTAAAGATCTTCATGTTCAAACTTTGAGATATTTTGGATGGTAATATTGTCAGGATGGAAACTTTAATAATTGGAAATCCATAGACGTAAATTTTTTAACCCCCCCTCCCATATGAATTGGCAGACACACTGTGTTAGTATAGGGTGCTCAAAATTTTTTGTTGTTTGTTTTTTTTTCTGATGTAACATTTAAAAGAGATAAATTTGAATTTTAAAAAGTAAGTATATATATTAATATAATCAGATAAGTTTTGAGTGTGTCTAACACAAGGAACACCTCTAAATTATCCATTGATATCCTAGGATATTATTTAATAATATATTTATAATAATTATGAATAAAATAATAGATACAAAATATAGTCTTATCACTCTTAACAATCTTATCTTCAAGAAAACCATTAGATAGTGGGCATTAAGCAAGTAGCATTTTACAATCTGACTTGACCAAATATTAAATAACATTTTCTTTTTTTTTACATTTAATAAGTTTTTTTTTCAAACCTGTTGCTAACAATCTTACCTGCCAGCATCTTTTGATGCCACAGCAGTAGTTTTTTCCTCAGGAGGGTTGCCATCATTGAACTGTTTGCATATTTTCTCCACATTCAACTTAGTATGCAGCCTCATGGCTCCCTCAGCAGAACACATCTGGTTGGGGGGCAGTTTGTCAAAATAATCCAAACGTTGGTAGCCTTTTTTGTGTGCTTGCATCTCTAAAGTTAACTGTTGAGCCAATCTCGAGACTCCAACATGGATCATTAACTGTAAATATAAAATTCTTGCATTTAATTATTAATTGCTTTATATTTGTTTTCTGTTAGAAATAAAAAATAAATTTGTTTGTTTTTTGCCTACCCTAATGGGAGACAGGCGTGATAGATATATATGTATGTATGTATGTTAGAAAAAATATTTATTTAAATTACATATTATTAAATATATTATTTTATAAATATTAATAATATGATATGATGATGAATAATGAATAAAATACTAAATATAATGTGAACTATATTACTGTGCCTAAATAAATATATATTTATTACTACAAATGGTATTATTTGCTTGAAATATTTGGTACAAATAATCCTATTAATATTATTAATGTAAGTTTATAATGACATTTAAATATTTGTTATTCAAACATGGTTAAAGACTTGAATGGATTTCAATTTGGTACATGGATAAATTATATCCAAATATATAGAATACATTATATACTGATTCACGGCAGCCAAACTGCACGAAACAGTGATGTTATAAATCTAAATATTATTTTACTAATATGTAAATGCGATTTTTAATAAAAAAAAAAAAAAAACAGGACATAATGAACAAACTTTTTTATAACACACATAATTCACATTATTACTATTTATTGAGCACACATCACTTTACGCCAACACCAATAGTCGCGGGTACGACTGCTACTTTCATGACAATATAGAAGAAAATATTGCTTGCTTATTATTATTAAAATTTGGCCTACCTTCGGCTCGTGTGTCTCCCATATAGCTGGTACGAACTCATCCACATTCTCATATGTAACAGGAATTTCTATCTGCACCAATTCAACATTGTGTTTCTTCTCTATCTCTTCTTTGTTCATTAACTTTACTGCCTCCCAACTAGCATTTACAGGATGATTCAGAAAAGGACCAAAACCCGTCACTAACACTATTGGCTTAAATATATTGTCTAGTTCGTTGCACATTTTATTTTAATTAAAATATTCCAGTTAATAATTCAATATAAAATACAAATAAAAACCAATATTTGTTTCATTATCTTCTTTTGAAAAGTAATCGTTTGTTTTGACGTTTCAAGAATTCACAAGAGTCAGCTGATTAAGTTTGTTATGTTGACTGCATTGGAGATCTTTTTACGACATAGGTAGGTAGATTAAGAATAGTTAGTACCTGAGATAACGATTCGAAATTATTAAGCGGTTTGACATTAATCAGCATGATTCATCCAATATCGTCGTAAAAATTGTTATCTAGTTTTAATCGTAAGACAAATAAGAGGGAGCATTGGTCTATGCGTGATCGCTTATACTAAGAACAAGGTTTGCATTTATATTTCCATCGGATTAAAAATATATATTGAATCTTGATTCTTATATTAAATTATTTTGTTCATTTAATAAGATTTATAAAATCAAGCACCATTCCATAATTTTAATTTAATTACAAACAGGCAACATTTTCTTCACTCAAGAAAATAAATTCATTCATATTTCATTTTGACTGATTCAATTTCATATTCATTCTTTCATTCGTGGTTTGTTCTGAATGTCATATTTTCCGTGGCGCGTTTATACTGCAGAATTATTATGATTTAATTAGTGTAACGACTGTATTAGTTGCAATGCGTTAAAATTCGTGCGCACTTTCATCAAATATACAAGAACTACAGTACTGGTGAGCACGGAATACGTTTGAGGAGTGTTTACCAAACGTATAGGTTATGTTAGTATCACATCCATATTTTACCGCTAATATATATTTAAAATGAGTGACGGAGACTCTAGTAATAATTGTCGGGTTATAGCAATACCATGCCCATTTATAAAGCGGAAAGTGGAGTGCGCTGGCGCGGCATTCCTAAGATATTACAGCATAAAGTGTCATGGTGAGGATGCTTTGTTTAGTACTTCCAACTCCAAGGAGAAGACTGAAGAAGTTATCTTCGACGATGATGTTGAGTATTTACGGAGCTTAGACCCCAAGGACTGGAAGAACCAAGACCATTATGCTGTACTAGGTATGAAAAATCTTCGTAATAACGCTACCGATGAAGATATTAAACGAGCGTATAGGCAGAAAGTGTTGAAGCACCACCCTGACAAACGTAAAGGTTTAGGTGAAGAGGTTCGCAGTGACGACGACTACTTTACGTGCATCACTAAGGCCTATGAAATCCTCGGAACTCCTATGAAAAGGAGATCATATGACTCAGTCGATCCTATGGTTGATGATTCAATACCTTCGGCATCAGAGATTAAAAAGGAGGGTTTCTTTAAGGCATTTGGTAAGTATTTTGAAATTAATGCACGGTGGTCAGAAAAAAGACATGTGCCTTTATTAGGAGATGAGAATAGTCCTCGAGAGCAGGTGGAGAAATTCTATGCTTTCTGGTATGAGTTTGACTCGTGGCGAGAGTTCTCATACTTGGACGAGGAAGAGAAGGAGAGGGGAGCTGATCGTGAAGAGCGAAGGTGGATAGAAAAGCAGAATAAGGCAGCGCGAGCTAAGCTAAAAAAAGAGGAAATGGCAAGAATAAGGAGCTTAGTGGATCTGGCATATGCAAATGATCCTAGAATTCAGCGATTCAAGCAAGAGGATAAAGATAAGAAGTTAGCTGCTAAGCGCGCCAGACAAGTGAGTATTCTCAAACCTAAGTATTTATTGACAAATGTATTATTTTCACTATAGATATTGGAAATGTTGAAGAAACAGCAGTAATACAGAAAAAAAATCCTGTCATCTATTATCTAATTATTCTCTTTATATTTTCTAAATACATTATTATTTATATATTATAAATGTTATAGATTAGGTTTTAACTCGATGTTAGCTATGTTTAGTATAACACTACACACTGACTGCTTGTATTTCTGTCATAGAATTATTAATTTATAAAGGGTCTGATTAGGACAAAATCTGTACTGATAAATAATTAATCTACATTGACAAATATTGTTAACAAATATGTTTGGATTTGCAAGTAAATCGTAGCTGAAGAGTCAGCGTTCAGTGTCAGAGTCAGTGTAGCGCTTGATCCATAGACTTATCTACATTTTATGATATAAAAACTATGCATTATATTTTTAGGATGCTGTACAAGCAAAGAGGGCTGAGGAGGAGCGCCTTATTAAAGAGGCACAAGCAGCAAAACAGAAAGCAGAAGAGGCTGAGAAGGCCAGGCTGGAAGCAGCCAGGGCTGAACGAGAACAGATGAAGAAGAATCTTCGCAAGGAACGTAAAGCACTTAGAGACATATGCAAGGCAAACAACTACTATTCAGAGACTGAAGACGAAACTGTATCCCACATGGCTTCCGTTGAAAAGATTTGTGAAATGATGAAAGTTGTAGAACTCCAGGACTTCATGAAGGACCTAGAAACGAATGGTAGGAATGCATTTTTAAAGACGGTTAGAGAAACAGAGGAAAAGTTGGAGGCTGAGCGTCGAGCTTTGTTCGAAACAAAGAAAGTAGAGGAGCAGAAAATTAAAAAGGAATCTGCAGTACGTGCACCCATAGAATGGTCAGTGGAGCAGACACAGCTGCTAATAAAGGCTGTCAACTTGTTTCCTGCTGGCACCAATCAAAGATGGGAAGTAGTGGCCAACTTCCTTAATCAGCATAGTACGTTTACCGACGAGAAGAGATTTGCTGCAAAAGATGTCCTAAACAAAGCTAAAGACTTGCAAAGTTCTGATTTCTCGAAGAGCAGTCTTAAAAAGGCAGCTAATGAGGAAGCGTTTGATACTTTCGAAAAGGAGAAGAAGAAAACTGTCAGTAATGTTGATGACAATAGTATATCCAGGAATGATAGTGGAGTTAAACTAGTTAACGGCACTGCTAAACTTAAAGAGGAAGCATCTAAACCGGAACCCTCCAAAGAAGAGAGGCAGTGGACAAAGACAGAGCAGGAATTGTTAGAGCAGGCTATAAAAACGTTCCCAGTCAGCACTCCCGAGAGGTGGGACAAGATAGCCGACTGCATCCCTAACCGTACCAAAAAAGACTGCATGAAGAGATATAAGGAGTTAGTCGAGTTAGTTAAAGCAAAGAAACAAGCCGCTAACCTATCTAAATAGCATTGAATTACAAATTAGTTGTATAATAAATTGTAAAACATATTTTTATGGGATAAAGTTATCCACAGTAAACATCCGTTGGACCATTGGTACATTAAAATATTATGCACTTTATAGAGTACCTTCTAAACAATACTGCCTTAAAAACCACTTGTATAGAATTTGTATGCACTTAGAACTACCTAAATAAAATAGTTTTATTTAATTTTAACTCCCATAATAACAGTTATGTTTTGCATTTAAATAATTTTACTTTAACTGAAAGGAATGTAATTGTGCTCTTAATCAAATAGGTAAAAATTTTTTTTTATCCAAAGGAAGGTGTTTAGATCCTTTATCAATAATTTGATTGATAAAAGTTCTGAAATTTTGAAAGATCAGTTTGTAATTGCATTGTAGGCTTTTTAGATTTTATTTATTCTTATATTACATATCGATTGAAGGTTATTAAAAATACTGCACCCAGCGATTTAATTCATAATTTAAAAATATTCTCCAACCGGTAATGGACCTGCATCTAACTAGCATCTAACTATACAATCGATAAAGTGAACAAAATTATGCTTTTTTACATTATTGTTGTTGTGTAATAAATTAAAATTTTGTTACATTGAGTCGAACAGTATAAAAACAGTAATAAATGTAAATAAACCATATACTTTAGACTATATAAATATATGATTTTGAATATCCCTTAACACGTTAGCTGTTTCTTGCTAATATTCCAGCAAAACGGATTTGGTGATTTGACAATCGTTTTGCAATAAAACATTGTGTATGACACATTTTGATTAAAAACTCCTTAATATCTTAGCTGACAGACTAGGAAGCGTAACACCTTAATCCTCAGGAATGGCAACGCATCAGGGATATTACGTATGCATCAGTACATTAGCTCATTTGTCATTTATTGATATCTGAAATACTAATAAAAACCTGATAAAAACATCAATAAAATTCAATGGAAACAGTGAAATGTGGTTGATATTATTAGATCAGACCAGAAAATAGATAGATAAATTATTAATTCACCATTACAAGCACATAATTAATGAATTTATAAGCGAAACAAAAAAATTGTTGGTTGTTTTATGTGCCTCTACGGTGTAAAGGCAACCAACTCAGCGTTAAGAGGCGCAGTGCCCGAAGCGCTGAATTTCTGATAGTACCTTATAGTATAAAATAGTTTGTACTTACACAGTAATGAAAACATAACTTTAATTCAGCCTAGTCTTATGTTTGGATCTGTAAAATCTATCGCTGTCCTCCATTAGACCACTTTCTCAAAGATTATCCATCAGAAATTTTAACTTGAAAGCCAAGATCAAAGGTTGCACTGTTATACTGTATTTATTTATTTCTGTGGTCTTTCTGTCTCCCACCAAATTGTTTATAATTACTCCTCTCCATCCAAAGGTTGCCTGCAAGAGATCGCTCTTAGCGATAAGGTCGCCCATTGTTTTCTCATTGTGATCATTTCTTGTAATTGTTTATATTTATAATAAGTTTACTATTGTAATCTATTGGAGGAAACAATAAAGAGTATCTATCTGTTTACATTAACAGATTACAAACAAATCTTTTAACAATATAATACAACAATAGCATTATAAGTTTGCAATCCAATTATAGTTTATTTATTTTTATTTATTTATTTATTTACACATACACTAAACAAACCTTTCATTTAAATAATATCATTAGTTAAATACAATCGCTCTTTAAGAAAAAATAATAAAAATTATACATATTACATGTAACAAAACAACATAATAATGAAGATAACACAATTTTTAATAACATTACTATTTTACTTTTAATTTAGAATAAAAAGAAAAACATATAAAAAACAAAACTATATAGTTGTACTCAACATTCACAGAGAGAAACAGAATAGATTGATTTTTAATACAAAAAGAATGTTAATGAATGGTATCATCTAAAACCCTTCTTTAAGCTCTCTGGTACTTTTACTCGCTGGTTGCAGTATTCTTTAACACAAGGCGTCTCATCAAGCAGGCAGGTCGTTTTCAAAGAATTACTGCTCTTAACTTTTCTTGAAATTCGTGCTTCCAAGAATGCGATGGAATCGTATGGTATAACGTTCAGGGAAGTTAAAATAGTCACTTTACACCATTCATTTTAGTATACCTAACTAGTTAGTACAGTTTTATATCTACATCAGACGGGTCATCGCGGATCCACCGTTTGGGCACGTTGGCATGACCACAATTTTAATATACTTGTGACATCACCCTTGGTCTACTGAGAGCACTTAGACTCTGTACAAAAGTCGATTGCTTGGGCACCTCTGTCCCATTCGTGTTTCAACCGTGAAGCAGTTGTGTTTGCATGGCTGTGTTTCGGTTTGAAGGGTAGGATATGGTGTGAATTTACAGGGTACAGAGGAATAACACCTGAGTCCTCAGGAATGGCAATGCATGGGGGGTATCATGGGATCATAATCTTCTATCGACATATTTTTTTAATAGAATGTATAATTCCCACGTCCACGAATACCTGTGTTAAACGATGGGATTGAAATTGCATAATATGACAACGCGATATAAAAGTCCCCCCCCTCCCCCCCGTGGGGGGATTACTGTATACTAATCATGAGCGAGTTTATACTCCGATTTGTACTTGGTCGATTTTCGGATGGCCGTGATCACAACCTTTTTTGAAGCCTGGGACGGGTTATATGAAATCGTAAGTGGCAATTTTAACGTCTCTGTGTTTGCCTATATTATTCTGTATTTACTCTGATTGATTTATTACATTCTACTCTATATAAAATGTCAAAATTACCTTTCAAAATTGGCCTTGAAACTAAAAGAATAGTTTTTATTTGTAACATACCTATTTTTGTATTTATTTTTTTGTTTATTGTGATAAATATAGTCAATTTGCAAACTATTTATAGTTGAAATTTTATTTACTATATCCTTATGATAATAATATTTACAAATGTTTTACTGAGCTATCTTGTGGAAGTCCCTATTGCTGGTTTTTTTTTTTGATGGGTGAAAGTGGTATGGTAACCCCGCCTGCGCTTACGGTATACGCTGGCGGAGCACCAGTGAAGGGTGATAGATGAGAATGAAAACAGGCCGGTTAGCCCATCATGATGAATTCATCAGGAATTAACCATGATAGTTTCCAAGGAGAACCGCGAGGAGGTCGACCTGGCTGGGTATATTGCTAGCAATGGGATTCTCAGTCTCCATTACTAACAATCCCTTTCCCCCCAATTACTGGTTATTTGATTAGAATTACTTTGTTTAATTCCGCTACCATTAGTATGTAACTGCCAACACTCGTGTTACATGGCGTAAATTTACTGGGTACAGAGGAATAACACCTGAGTCCTCAAGAATGGCAACGCATGGGGGGTATCATGGGCGAAACAGTATACTCTGTTATGTCCATGGTACTACTCATGTCTATAGGCGACGGTTACCACATTCCATCATGTGGGCCGTCCGCTTGTTTGTCATTCTAAGTTGTATAAAAAAAAAACTTAAAGATTGACCAGCCGGCCATATGGTCCCGGCATAGAATAGGCTACCCCTTCCTTTCCCGTAGGTGTCATAAGAAGCATCTAGGGAAGGGCAAGGGACGAGCAACAGCGTCCCTATTAAATCAACTCCAAAGCCTAACTGTGGTTGCCAATCCGCCTGCCAAGCGTGGCAACTTGGCAAAACTTCCCAAGGGGGAGGCTTATGTTCAGCAGTGGACAGTTTAAAGCTGTTATGATGATCTAGCTTACTACCAGCACTTCTACAATCTACTGCTAAAAATGGCTAGATAATGCCACTCACCCCCCTAAAAGTTTTTTTTTATTCAATTATCATGGAATGATAACTCCGTCTGTGCTAATACGCTGACGGGACATCAGTGAGGGATGGTAGGTGAGAATGAAAAGGCAAGGCAATTAACCCATCGTGATGAATACACTTGGAATTCAGCACGATTGTATCCAGAGGGGACCACGTGGAGGTCGACCTGACGGGGTATATTATTTTACTAGCAAAATAATATACCCTAATAAACTAATGGAACAAAGATATTCAAACGACTGGTAAAAATTCTAAGAACAAATTTTGTGTTTATAACTAGATTTTATAGCTTATTTGTCATTCTAACTCAAATAACCGTGTGTTTTTCAAGGCACTTTCTTCCACGCACAACCATTGTTTGGAATCAACTTCCAGCAGCAGTATTTCCGAACCGATACGACAACATAACCTTCAAGAAAAGAGTATATTCCTTTTTAAAAGGCCGGCAGCACACCTGCAATGCCGCTGGTGTTGTGGGTGATCATGGGCGGCGGTAGTCACTTACCATCAGGTGAGCCGCTTGCTCGTTTGCAAAACGTTGTGTTGTAAAAAAAAATAAGTAACTCCAAGAACAAAATCGGTAAAAATCTTGCTAAAATTAGTAACTGACTAAATAATCGATTAAACATTAATCGTCAAAAATGGTTCAGAATTCTAAAGATAGGTGCCTATCGCATATCTTGCTTGTAACACAGGTTCTTCAAAACCTACTGCAAGCACCATTCTCCCAAAAAATTAGTGTTACATATCTAATTGTACATACCTCAAATTGTAGCTTTATACTACCTTTTGTGAAGAGAAAATAAACCATTCATTCATTCATATCAAAGAGTTCAGCCAAATTACCATAGGAGACTTTGTACAAAAGTCGATTGCTTGGGTACCTCTGTCCCATTTGAGTTTCTACCGTGAAGCAGTTGTGTTTGCATGGCTGCATGCCTTCAAACCGAAAGGTTTGAAGGGTGGGATATGGCGTGAATTTACTGGGTACAGAGGAATAAAACCTAAGTCCTAAGGAATGGCAACGCGTGGTGGGTATCATGGGCGAAACAGTATACTCTGTTATGTCCATGGTACTGCTCATGTCTAGAGGTGACGGTTACCACTTTCCATCAGGTGGGCTGTCAGCTTGTTTGCCATTCTAAGTTGTATAAAAAAATTCTTTGAATTCGATTTCATAACTTTTTTTTCAATTACGTTTACTATGATTAGTTGAAAGGTGTTTCAAACCACCCCATTTGTAATTATAGTCGTGATTCTAAGCCTTTTATATTTTACAAAAATCTACAGTGTCTACAAGAGTAAGTATTTAGAGAGCGATGGCAGTGCGTAATGGTATAAGAATTCTATCTATGACGGGAACTGAATAAACCGGTTCGGGGTCCTAGCGGAGTTCAAGGCCGACCTTTGGCTCGACAGGTGTGCAACTGTTGTATGCGACATAGGACGTATAGTCAGGCAGCCACGTGCTTTATCCAAGGCCGTTTAAATCACCTGCTGCAGAAGGTGAGGGATTTGTCAGTAACGAGGATTAATAGCATTTTAACCATTTTAGCAATATACCTACTTGGGTCAGTCGACGGGGGAAGTGATTGCTATTAATAGATTCTAAGAGTCTTATTACAGGGGGGGGGGGAGGGATTGTTAGTAATGGGGTCTAACTGACCCATTTCCAGCTATACACCCTATCAGGTCGACCTCCATGCGGTTCCCCCTGGAAATCATCGCGGTTAATTTTTGTGCAGTTCGTCACAATCGGCTAACTGACCTGCTTTCATCGTCGCCTATTATCGCTCACTGGTGCCCCGCCAGCGTATACTGATAGCGCAGATGGGGTTACCAGTCCATTATTACCCATTAAAAAAACAGTTTTATTACTAGCATTATCAGGTCTACCTCCACGCGGTTCCCCAGCAATGCCGTTGGTGTTGTGGGTGATCATGGGTGGCGGTAGTCACTTAACATCAGGTGAGCCGCGTGCTCGTTGACCCCCTGTGTTGTAAAAAATTAATGGAAATATTATCATACCATAATTAATATAATACTATATCTATTAGTGCTACTTCTAAGTATTTATCATACTGATAGCAAAGACCTCTGTTCCGCGCAATTTCACACAATTGACACAGCAAACTATATCTCAAGTTACGCTCGACCGATTCGGATGAAACATGCATACTTTGCTGGCTACGTAACAAGCAGACATCTATTAAAATTAATTACTAGTACGCGTTTCATTGTTTTCTTTTAGCCTCCTTAGCTTGATGTTATTGTTGTTTTTAAATTAGTTCAAAATGGACAGGCAAAGAGCATGACCCATACAGCCTAGTCATAAATTCTCCTTAGTTTGATGCGAAATATAGGCCATTTACATACTTGGTAATCAATTGAATCATAGATAAAGGTATTGTTTTATCTATGCTGCTGCCATAAGTGCTGATACTATGATGCAGTCACGATTTAGTAAGGAAACATGATTCAAACGGATATGGTGCATGTCATTGGATCTACATAGACCTATAGTAGGTGTCTAGTACTTAAACCGGTCATGCATTTTAATTGCAATCGTGTGTGGTGCCAATCAAGGAACTTAAGCAGCGTTTAAGTAGTCAATAAAGGCAGATTTTGAAGCGCTTTTTTTCGAAATCTATCTCTTAATATTTTAATTTGATTGTTCCGCAAAATTACTGTTTTATGAACTAATTTAGACTTAAATCTAATAGAAATTTAATTCTTATCAGTCTTAGAATAAAAATTTTGCTGCGATATCAAATTATAATTTTAATTTTTGCGATAGACTTAGAGAAATGGCGTGTCAGAATTAACCCTATAGGCTTTAAGATAAACGTTCGTTGTAATGACTAGAGATTGCTTAGTTTCTCACGCTTATTCTTGACTATTTATAAGAACTATATCATCATATCAGCTTTTAACTGTCCATTGGTGAAAATAAGTCTTCCCTTGGGGATTTTATCAGTAGTTGCCTCGCTTGGCAGGCAAATTGGCAACAGCTGTTAGGCTTTGGAGATGTTTTAAGAGGGAGGCGCTCGTCCTCTCTTATTCGCCTCTTACGTCACCTACGGGAATAACTTACGGGAAACTTGATGTTTTAGTGTATTGGTAAAACTCACAAACTAAAACATCAAGTTTACATAAGCTCATTTCTATTCTAATTTTGTGGTCATAAAATAGCTCAAATGGAAAACAATTTAATAAAACTCTATTTTCTCTGCCTATTCGTGTATTAAATCTTTATATCGCATCACGGCGTACATCGTGAGATAAACAATAACAGCCGAGTTAGCGGATAGCAAGTAATTATTCATAACCAATAACGTGAAGCGAATATCTTTACTTTTATTTTCCAATCGCAAATTATAGCTACATATTTAGTTTGGTAAGCAATTAATGAAATACTTCGCAGTGAAAAATATATTGTTATTATAAAAAAAAAAATTAATTACTAGCGGCCCGTCCCGGCGCGGCTTCGCACGGGTGGATATTTTTACATTTTAAACAGTGGCCGTGGCTGCACACGCGACGGAAGCTTAAAAATAAAGTCACTTCTCCCGTTTTCCCAACATTTCCCTTCACTGCTCTGCTCCTATTGATCATAGCGTGATGAAAAGTATACTATAACCTGGTCAGGAGTATGAAGAATAATTGTACCAAGTTTCGTTAAAATCCGTCGAGTAGTTTTTGTTTCTATAACGAACATTATAGCATTTTTGTTATCAGTATCGATCACTAATCACCGCTTGATAGTTATTTTGGAAATATATTTCATGTACAGAATTGACCTCTCTACAGATTTATTATAAATATAGAAGAAGATAGATAAAAAGCCGGTCAAGTGCGAGTCGGACTCGCGCAACGAGGGTTTCGTACTAAATCATCAAGTTTTTTTTTGTGAAATAACTACAAGTTTACATTTTTCGGATTTTTCTTTTACTAGTGCTACATGACATTGCTTCTTGCCAAATGATTTTGATTTTGCTAATTTTAAAATATGCAATATAAATGGAATATAAACGACTGCATCTTTTAATTATAATTTTATGGAGGAGGAGGGGGGGGGGGGTGGAGAATAGGTTGTTAGTAATGCAGAGTACCACTCAACTTTTTTTTTATATACTACTTAGAATGGCAAACAGACGGTCCACCTGATGGAAAATGGTAACGGTCGCCTATAGACATGAGCAGTACCATGGACATAACTAACATGGAATATACTGTTTCGCCCATGATACCCCCCATGCGTTGCCATTCCTGAGGACTCAGGTGTTATTCCTCTGTACCCTGTAAATTCACGCCATATCCCACCCTTCAAACCGAAACACAGCCATGCAAACACAACTGCTTCACGGTTGAAACACGAATAGGACAGAGGTACCCATGCAATCGACTTTTGTACAAAGTCTCCCTCTGGTCTTACGTACATAAGTCTTATAAATTAAAATTACTAGCAATATACCATATCAGGTCGACCTCCACGTGGTCCCCCTTGGAAAACGTGCTGGATTCCAGGTATATTCATCACGATGGGCTAACTGATATGTCTTTACATTCTCACCTGTCATCCCTCACTGGTTACCCGCTAGTGGACACCGATAGCGCGGGCGAAGTATACACTATCATTCATTTAAAAAAATCTCACTTCATCACGCGGGAGACAGTATGCATGTTCCACCTCCGTGGAAAAAAAAAAAAAACTACTAGTAGGTACTTCATTCTACATACATATTCCCTCCAATTTTAGGTGACAGATATTATAAAAAAAAAAACAACAAAATTCATAATCTAATCAACTGTAATTGCGAAAAATTAAATGTAACATAAATAATTCGAGTTTGGTTCCGTTCCATTAAGGCACGATAAAGGCCATACATTGCATTAAAGCTTATTACTTACAACTATTTTAATATAATATCTTATAAAATATTTTAATAAAATTATGTGTTTTTATAATAATTGAATCGTCAATTTGCATTAAAGATTTGTGTATATAATTTTTATGTAAGTACTTAAATAGTATCCATAAAAAATATGTAAGAAAAAAACTTTTTAATAAATGTATTTATATGCAATTGTGTAGTAAAATTGCGTATACTCAGATATATATATATATATATATATATATATATATATATTCTAATAATAATAATAATATATAACAGAGAATCACCAATCACTTGTATATTAATATATTAATTGAAATAATTTTAAAATACTACTGACAAATTATCTTTACTTAGTTAAATACATATATTTTTTTAAATATATATATTAGAAACAACTTTTTTAAAGTTATGCGTTATGACTACACACTTAAAGAATATAGATTTGCCATCGTGTGGATGCGATGTAAACATTATTAAAAGGGAAAGTAAGGTGTAGTTTCTATTACCGCGGCCACTTCATTACCCATGTAAGCAAATATTTTATATACACATCACCATATTATATGTAAATGTGAAATCATTTCAATCATTACAATAAAGTAAAATGAAAGTTGAAATTAACATACGTATCTAATTAACTAATTTTTAATAAGTTTTTCAAGCACCACTTGGGGACCATTAAAAAAAAAAAAAGAAAATACGAAATAAATCCCAATAGTAACATCTAAAAAAAAAGGTTAACTTAACATCAGTCTTAGAGTTTAGATTAAGTACAAAATATATATGTGTGGAATTATTAAATTGAGCAGTGTTACAATATAGTGAGATTACACCTAACATATTATTTTATTTAGAATATTGAGTAATACAATTAGTATAAAAAAAAATATGCAAATTTGCATTCTAGTCAATAATCTTCAAATGCACAGTTTAATTTCACACTAGTGGTAAGTATTCAGTTTTTTGGTTTTGTAGAGCAAATATATATATATATATTTAAGTTGTATAAAATGTTGTATATGTTTATTTGCTATTGTTAATGTAGGCAGTTGATTTTTTTTATTTTTTATTTAAACATCCATACTGCCTTGTCTTTTGTAATATATATAAACATTAAAAAGAAAATTCGAGAACAATTTCCTTCATTAGGTAAATATAATATAGTTAATCTTAAATCATCTTTTTAAGAGATTTCAATTTCCTCATCTTGTTTAGTTTTTTAATTTATACAGAAAAATATAGGAAGATAGATTTTTTCCGTCAGATAAATACCACAAAGGTGGTATAGAGATGAAAATATTTCTTTGATAAATTAGCTAGGTGTAGTCAAAACATTAATTATATCTACACCTAGAACTCAGGATAATAAAGATAATATTTCAAGTCTATTGTACTGGGACTGAAGTAAAATTTCAAATATGAATTTGTAGTTAATTTCTCATTTGAAATATTGTCATGTTAATTCACATTGTTATATATAAACATATAAATAATTGATAATAATTATTGTTTCCTTAAATATCAAATTTATAAATTTAACAATTGACCAATCACAAACTGGAATGTAATGTCATATAATATAGCATCTTACTTCTATAATAAGGCACGCAAAGACCTTAGAATTATAAAAATGGCTCATTGGTTCATGCAGGTACTTCTGCAAACTACATATATGGAATAAATTATATCTTACAGTAAGTAATTTAAAGGTATCTATGATTTTTTATTTTTTTTTGGAGGATGGTAGTCAAAAGTGACCAACCAGCTTGGGATCATAGATTTTATTATATTTATTAAATAAATAAATAAAATTTATAATCTTTTGAGCATTTAATTAATTTTTGTAGAGTTTTATATTCATCTGTAAATCAAATTAATTTCAAATTTTGTCATAGTTTTGACTCAACAAAAAAATATTTATCTTATGGATTTTTCAATCTGAACATAGTTTCTCCAAGGTTTATTTTAATCTTATATTGCTAACTATAAAAATGACTGAGAATAATTATTAAGTACCTATGACAAAACAGTAATACCTAAAATTTACTTCAGTACAGATAACTGGATATTTTGTTTAAGTAACTTAAACTAATTTAGAACTAAACTTTAGCTGCTACTATTATTTAGGTTAAATTATTTACTGTATTTTACAGCCCTTTCGTTTTTTATGCATGTCTTGTTTACTTTTTTTCTTGGCTAAGCCTTCAGCAGTTATATCAGATATAACTGACAATCTTTTGGAGTTGTCCACTCTGCCATCATGGTTCAAACGCTGTGCTGTCGTGCTGCCATTATCCATTGGGAAGGTGGAACTATACAAATTGTTATTTTCACTGTAACTATGTGGTATACTCGACACGTCTGGAGGACTCGGTGGAATATCATTAACTGGTGTTGCATTCTCAGTGGAATAGTGGGATGCTGGCCTGATGCTCACTGGGTCAGGGAATCTGGGTTTCTTCCCCATTGTTGGTGGAGGAGGTGGTTGTCTGTATTGCAATGAAGACACATTAACACTTGGTGAACTCTCTCTAATAAAATCTGATTGAGCATGCTTATAAGATGCACTATTAGATGTACCAGGTTCTTGTGAGAAGTACTGATTAGAAATCTCCTTTGACTGCAAAGCACTGGCTTTAGACTGTATATGTTCTTTTTCAAAGGGTTCAACATAGTTCAAATCGGAGTCAACAGATTTGCATAATCGCAGCCTGTTGTCACGGATCATGTCACGTGGGTTACTATATGCATCACACAGGGTCGCTTGTGGAGTTTGAGGTAGTGGTTCGCTCTCTCTCTGCTGGGCCAAACGTTGCTGTTTCTTCAACAGTGCCTTCTGCCTGGCTTTCTCTTTTGCTCTCTGCAGCTTTTTATACTCCCGTTCCTGCAGAAGCCTTGCCAGCTCACCATCCTGTACCTCAACAGCACACCTCATGTCAGCTAGCAAGGCATCTTGGTCTTGGACTTCATGGCTCAGTTCCCTGGCCAACCTGGCATCTCGTTCTTCTTGTTCCAACCGTTTTCTCATTTCTTCTAGCTCAATGGGAGATAACCCCAGCTGTGCAGGGTCAAGGTCATTGTCCTCGGGTAAGGGCGCAGGAGGCGCTGCTCTAGATGAGCTCGGCTGTTGCAGTAGTTCAGAATGTTGACGGCGTTGCCTGCGAAGATTGATCTCTGCAATCTCTCGAGCTATTTCCGCGTCGATCTCAGCCTGACGAACGCGTGACGCCTCTCGCATATGGAGCTCATGGTCAATGCCCCTCTGTTCATTTAATGCAAGAGGGAAGTCCTCACGAATCTGCTGATTGCGGTATCTGTTCTCGCATAGATGTGATGATATTTCGCGATCCTGTAGTCGGTGCGCCAATGCGCCGTCAGCTCGCACCAGCCACTGCTCACGCAGGTCCGTCACATGGCCCAGTTTGGGCATAGTATCACTAGCTTGAAACCCCGACATAGCACGTAATAAATTATTCAATTTTCAATGCAGTTAACGACGTCGATTGAATTATATTAACATAACTTATTATTTTCTTCTTATATAAAAGATGATGGCAGCAATATAAGGCACTGATGAGCACTGACGATCAAAACACTATTTCAAACTTCAACTTTTTACCTTTCACGACTTTCTTTGCATTCCGTGGGAAAACGTGATGGCGGCTAAGTTTTTACATTACACCTGTGAACTTGCCACAACAAACAATAGAGAGCTAGGTTTGATAATCTACATAACTAATAGTAATTATCATAACTATGTTCACAGCTCATTCCTATTATCCCTTCCCCCATAGCTACAAATAAGTATTGAAATAATTTTGTTGCGAAGAAAATTGACGTCTATGTAACTGTCAATTAGACTGTCAGTCAGAAATGACAGATGTGTGATAATAAATTCCACAGCTGTGTTTCAAGAAATCTAAATCGATCGATTGATCTTAATTAATTTTTTTTTCTTTTTGAGATAAAACGGCAAGTAATTACGTTTTGTCTAGTTAAGTGGAAAATGAAATGGATTCAGTATAGGAAATGATATATTTTTAAATACTGTTATTTTGTTATAATTACCATTACATAATTTCGGTAACAAAATTTTAATGATACTGGCAAAGCACGATAATAGTTAAAATAAATTTGTAGGAATTTAGTTTTTATGAATAAGAGGGTAGTTTTTTTATGATATAAGGTACCTAAAATATATTATATTAAGTCTATGGTACCTACAGAAATATTATACAAAGGATTTTTTGTTTGTTTAGAATAAATAAATTCGAAAGCTATTAAACCAATTTAAAAAATTCCTTCACTTTTCGAAAACTACATTAAAGGGAGAAGTTATATACTATCATGGGTAAGATTCTTGTTACTATGATAACACATGCTGTATTTTATTAAAAAGCCGTATAAAACCGGGGCTGGTTATTAGTAGAGAATAAAATAATGGCATTTATCTGCTTATTATATATTATCCATATAAAAAATATATCATTTTATCAAAAATTATAATGATGGTATATTTTTTTTTTGTTTTTATTTACTTATTTTCCGTCTCACTGGTTACTGCACCTAATCGTCTTCCGATCGAAGTTCGAGGACATTTGAACTCTTTTTCATCGCAAACACAGCCAGAATCTAGTGTCGAGAAACATATCGTTGATAAATAAATTATTTTATTTTATTAACTACTTTTTTCTAATAGTGATAACTCGCCTATTCTTCTCGAAAATTCTCCGAGACCCTTTTTATTGGCTGTGATGTAGAATAATTCTTCAGACATGCGATATAACCACGAAGACAATCGAGGATATCTGGAATCATATACGTTAAACTCAAAAGCAAACACGATAAGTAAAAAAATCACATTAGTAGAGATCATACTTTGATTTATCTATCGGAACTAGAATATGTAAGGTGCTGACTGTGGCAGCGATAGATATATCCGCGAGTGTTGGCCAGCTGCCTCTGAGCCAGGTTCGTCCAACTAGCATGCATTCCAAATCACAGTAGGCACTTTGTATACCAGAAACTTGCTGTGGCATCACAAAATTGCAATTCTCGTGCATTATTGGATACTGAAATAAATATACACATAATTTAGTACTGAAAATGAGTCATTTTATAGTAATCTTTTTTTCATAGATGCTGAGCCAACCTTTAAACGTTGTTTTAAAGAAACCCATATTACAGGATTTTAGAAGAGCTTTTTTTGGCTTATCTATAACGTTGGAGTGCATTGGAAAAATCTTTTGAAATGGCACAGTTTACGTAAGCAGTTCGTTTATTTGTATTTTAGTTGTGGGAATGAATTTCTTATAGATGATGAATGGTGTGATAATAGAATGTAGTGGTAGACATGTTTTTATGGATGTAAATGAAGTGATTCGTCTATGGTGGGACACCAGAGAAGAATAAAGCATGTCGATAAAGCCAATCACACAGTTATATAACTTCATTTATATATGTATTTAAAAGATGAATGTTTTACTGCTTATAAATAATGTATATTATGTAAAATGTAATACGGACCGCTGCAGAACGATATAGCGGACACAAGACGCCGCTATTAAAATGTAACAGTTGATCGACTATAGCTCGTCCTCCGGGGTCTACAGGCAACAATTGTCCACAGTTATTGTAACGAGATGCCAGATATGTATTGATAGCATGGCTTGAAGAAACAATAATGAAATATTAGTTTATATTTTTATTCAGTAAAATTTTACGACGAATATTTTTTTATGCAACCTAAAATGGCAAACGAGCTGACGGCCCACCTGATGGAAAGTGGTAACCGTCGACTATGAGCACCACAGACATAACTGTTTCGCCAATGATACCTCCTATGCAAATGCTATTTATGAGGACTCAGGTGTTATTCCTCTATAACCTGTGAATTCACTACCATATCCCTACCTTTCAAGCCAAAACACAGCCATGCAAATACAACTGCTTCACGGTAGAAACACAAGTAGGACAGAGGTACCCAAGCAAACGACTTTTGTACAAAGTCTCCCTCTGGTGAATACATTTAACATAAGACATCGCTAGAAGTTAAATCACTTACAAATCATATTCAATCTTCAGGAATAGCAACGCATAAAGGCGATCATGGATGTCACAACGTATTTGAAGACAGCCACGATGCTGTTTATGATTACAGATGACGGTTACCATTTTCCATCAGATTTTAATTTTCTAAAATAAATTTAAGCATTTTAAAATATAGCTTTACAATAATTTAATGACACCTAGTACAGGATATTACTATCAAAGTACCTACATATATATTTATTTTTTACTCAAGTTTATATGAACAAAGTTATGGAGAATGCTAATAATTTCATGTCAATTCTTTTGGGAAAATCTAGCTACGCTATAGGAAAGACTACTAATTATAGTATTGTACAGTCAAAAGCTTGCTGTCCGCCAAACGTGGCAACTACTGACAAAACTTCCGCTATAGGGGAGGTCTGTATGCAACAGTAGACAGTAAAAGGCTGATACGGTGATGATTGTGACATGAGTTCATCATCATATTGGCCTTTAACTGTCCACTGCTGAACATAAGCCTCCCCCTTAGGGGATTTTGCTAGTAGTTGCCACGCTTGGTACGCGGATTGGCAACCGCAGTCAGACTTAAAAGATATTTTAAGAGGCACGCTGCTTCCCATCCTTCGCCCGAGACTTGAGTTTTTTTTTAATAGGTGATAATGGAATGGTAGCTCCGCCTGCGCTATCGGTATACACTGGCGGGACACCAGTGAAGGACGATAGATGACGTTGAAAGCAGGTCCGTTAGCCCATCGTGATGGATTTCACTAGAATTAACCACGATCGTTTCCGGGGGGAACCGCGTGGAGGTCGACCTGATAGGGTGTATTTGCTAGTAATAGGGAAATTAGATCCCATTACTAACAATTCCTTTCCCCCCGCCCGTGACATGAGTTGTTAAACATTAATACGCATGGGTATGTACCTGTCGCATAACACCAGTTCTCTGTCTTTAAATATTGGTAGCGTTTGGATGGGGTTCATCTGTAAAATTAATAGTATAGAGAAATAAATATTTTTACTTAAATATATAATTCTAAAATAAAATAAAAGAAGGTTTAAACATGTGTTCAGATGCTACTGAATTAGTTACTTACAACCGCCATTTCTGGCGTTCTATGCTCCCCTTTGTCCATGTTTATGTCAATTTCAGTGATGCTTAGGTTCATAGCATCCAGAGCCATCATCACCGCTCGGCACGCGGGGCATCGGTCTGCTTTCCATAACGTGCAATGTCTAAAATTACATTCTTCTTTGTGTTACTTCAATATATACAAAATATCAATATTTCTACTATACCTATACCTCGGGGAATGACTCGTGAACGCTATTACTGAGTTTTTTTTTTTTACAACACAGGGGGCAAACGAGCATGCGGCTCACCTGATGGTAAGTGACTACCGCCGCCCATGATCACCCACAACACCAGCGGCATTGCAGGTGTGCTGCCGGCCTTTTAAAAAGGAATACACTCTTTTCTTGAAGGTTATGTTGTCGTATCGGTTCGGAAATACTGCTGCTGGAAGTTGATTCCAAAGAATGGTTGTGCGTGGAAGAAAGTGCCTTGAAAAACGCACGGTGGAAGACCGCCACTCGTTTCGGCTTGGTGTTCCAATTACGACTAACTCTGCATTCTTATATGTCATATCTCATGAGAAATAGCCAAGTATCGGAAGAGTTTTTATAGTTTTTTTTTTATTATAGCACGACATGTGACTGCATCACCTTGAGTGAACACAGAGTCGACATGGTCCATGAATACGAAAGACCGAAAAGAGAACGTTCCACTTTCAAAGATTTTTTTATGGTTGAAGATGGAATGGTAACCCTGGGTGTTAAGGGTTATAGGTGAGGATGAGGGCAGGTCAGTTGGCCCATAGTGAACAATTGAACAAAAATTAACCACTATGGTTTCCAGGGGGAACTGCGTGGAGTTCGACCTAATAGAGTATATTGCTAGCAATGGGGTTGTTAAATTTCAATACTAACAACTCCTTTTCCCCTACTCTCAAAGATTGGCCGCTCTATGCCGGCTTACTAAGTGCTTTTTCATATTGTTTACTCAGAAGTAATAAGTTTCGGTCGTGAATTTAAATAGAGATTCCTTATAAAATAAAAAATCATTAGAAATGGGTAAAAATGCTAGGCTACTAGTTGCAGTTACAATGAGTAAAAATGTCTAACTTTAATGTACTGGTGATCACTGTTTTACTTCCCCCTGCTCCCATATCTGACAGTGTTGCTACATTTCACTTAAAATTTAGTTTTTTTTATAAACTTTTTGTGTTTAATGTACACTTGACGATAACCTAAAACTTTGACATTTTGTTAATTTTTTTTTATTTTGATAAATAGAAAAAGTATGAGTTCGTAGTAGCTAGATTGTTCTTACAGCCAGTATAAATTTACGACTTTAGATATTGACTGATCACTTTCATGATTTATAATAATTTTTTAAGCAAAATAAATTTAGGATTTTTCATGAATAATATTATTTTATAAAAATATAAAATAGTCGGACTTATCTACAAATAAATATTTGTGAAAAATTAAAAATTGGTTCATTCTGGGCGAAGATATCGTATAACTTCTGTCCCATTCGTGTTTCTACTGTGAAGCAGTTATGTTTGCATGGCTATGTTTCGGTTTGAAGGGTGGGATATGGCAGTGAATTTACTGGGTACAGAGGAATAACATCTGAGTCCTCAGGAATGGCAATGCATTGGGGTATCATGGTCGAAACAGTATACTCTGTTATGTCCATGGTACTGCTCATGTCTATAGACGACGGTTACCACTTTCCATCAGGTGGGCCATCAGATTGTTTGCCATTCTAAGTTGTATAAAAAAAAAATGTTAAACATAAAAAAAATAACATTTGAAAATATATATGTAACGGGAAATTAATGAACTCCTGTGTTTTTGTCATATCAAATTATTCTTTAAAACTAATAGCGATTCTGATTGCAAACTTCTTTAACAAGATACTGATTGTGTGCGACACTTGAGCATCGAAAATGGCTTTATTGTTTAATTCCGATATATGTTCAGTTTTGTCATTTGGCTGAATAAAGGACACCATTAAAGATTTACATATAAATGTATGTATGTATGTATATACATATATATGTATATATATATATATATATATATATATATATATATAAAGATTCATTATCAATATCAGCTAATCATTTAGTTTTTTTCATGAGGTTTTCCCAAGAGACTACAGCATGGGGTTCTTCAAAAGGGGGGTAAAGAGTAAGGTAATTTCTTCAGGGTTGCCAATGCGCGGTTAATACCCCTGGTATTATAGGTGTTCATAGGCTATGGTAATTGTTTACTATCAGGTGGACCGTATGCTTGCTTGCCACCTCAGTGGTATAAAACAATATAGACATCGCATAAAAAATGAACATAATTTAAAAAAATAACATTTGAATAATTTTTTTCATAATTCTATTTCTTCTCGAAATCGGTTAATTGTAAATTAAAATTAAATTGAGTACATAAAATCAGAAAGCTAGTTACGTTTGACATTAATAACTATTTTTATCTCAGTGAAAAAAATGGGTCGGTGGGAGATAGGTTGCTGTAATAAAGATTTATTTCTGATCTACGCTTGACGCCCATCGTGAAATTAGATCACATCATTCTATACGTCATCGAAGATCGGTGATTCACGTCGAATTTCTCTATCTATCACAAATTATATAAGTTTCCGCATTTCTGCCGTAATTCAGTAACAGAATATGTAACGTATTTTGGCTGCAAAACTTTTTCGAACCGACCGCTCGGACAGAATTAGACATTCACAGAAATCACATCAAAAGGCGTGAGCTTATAGACGTTTGTCTCAAACAAAAGTAGATTCTGAATGAATGAATAATGCAACAAAGAAACGAATCAGACGTGTTCAACCAAGTTGGGACTTTATTAATGCGATTCATGGTTTATTTCACGCTAAATACATCATATTACCTTAAGCTGAGCAGAGTCTAACGTCACTTCTAAAAGTACCTACGATCGAACGTATAACGAGTCAGTTTGTTTCATGGGCATGGTATGAATGTTGTTGATGTTTTAAACTTTAACCGGAAGGACGTATTGCATTCGCGAATCTGTTATTTTTTTTTTAATTATAATTAGCTAATAGGTATAATGTTTGTTCGTAATATATCAAATCGTAGTACAATATTTCAATTAGTGCGCTGTAGTAGTAATCAACCTGCAAGGTAAGTTTTGTATTTGTTTTCTAAAATATTATAAAATTCGTCTCGTTTTACTCTATGACATTTATACAACTGGGTTTTGTAAGTCGAAAAAATTTAAAAAGTTATAAAGTCTAGATGCTTTTTATATATACAGTGAATATATTTGATTGGAAAAGAAATATTATATATATATATTTTAAACAAAATAGTTTATTAGTTTTACTTTTAGCACATACTGTACCTGTTTTTTTTTTTATTACAGAACCGGTCAGTTGTATAAAATTATGTCAAGACCTTAATTTTATTTTTGCTTGTAATAATTTTTTTTTTATACATTTGACAAGTTCGTTTTTAATACACATAGGCAGGCGTTTAGTTTTTAACATACACTAGCAAGTTCTTTTTATTTTTACGTTAACTTGCGTGCACATGCTGACATCTACCTTCATACAATGAGGTCATGAATCTGTGTCCTATACCAAACAATAATGACCTTGGCCGCATAGTACAGAGAAGTCAAGTTGTAATCATCAATCTACTATACCGATTAAAATGCAATGTAGACAAGTTGTTAAATACATAGAAATAAAAAAGGAATGCTTCAGTCATGTCTTAATTTTTAATTTAAAATAGGCGTTATATGTCATAGCATAGAAATAATAATAGTTATTAAAGAGCGGAAACTACAATGCACAAATCTGATATGTTTTTCATTGATTTTAATATCTTCAAACTAGGTTTTTTTTTTTATAGTTGTATGTGCATTTGTTTAGGTATTACGTCCTCAAGCTAGGGTTTTGATTGTGCATATTTTTGCAACGCGAAATAATTACTCTGTTATGTCTCTGTTCATGGAATTGCTCATGTCTATAGGCGACGGTTACCACTTTCCATCATGTGTGCCGTCAGCTTCTTTGCCATTATTTGGTATTAAAAAAAGAGTGGAAAAATGGTAGCAATAAGGTCATTCACTAGTCTCCGTTTGATTGCTAGCAATTTGGTTAGTACTTGGTAGATAAATTTTTAGGCGATTCGCCAGGAGGAGGGGGGGGGGGAAGGGATTGTTAGTAATGAGGTCTAACAGCTCAATTACTAGTAATAGTTAGAGTATAACAGGTCGACCTTCACATGGTTTCTCCTGGCAACCATAGTGGTTAAATCTTGAATTAATCACGATGAGCTGACTCAATGGTGCCTCATCATAGCGCAGGCGGGCTACCATTCCAATTTTATGCAATTTCAAACCGAAACACAGCCATGCAAACACAACTGCTTTACGGTAGAAACACGAATGGGACAGAGGTGGCCAAACAAACGATTTTTGTACAAAGTCTCACTCTGGTAATTTTCAGAAAACCTTCCGTGTTTGAAAATAAACCAATTTTATATGGAGATGAAGTATCACCTCCTGTGCGGTTTGTCCTGATGACGGCGTCCGTGCTAGGTATAGATTTGAAGTTCCACCACATTGATCTGTTCTGTTCTGAAAACAAATCAGATTTTTTCACGAAGGTTTGTAGAATTGCTTATATATATATATTTTTTTAATTAATCCAGGAATCGATAGATTTTTGAGTTTAAAAAAATTTGCTTAAACTCTTCTCGTATGGTGAAGTAAATACTAAAATTGTTTCGTATCCTAATACTTTTAGTTCTGGATTAAAAATTAAGGATTGGTTTGTTCGAATTATTAATTGAATATATTCAGAAAAAAACAGACAATTTTGTATGTAATACGTAAGGTTTTTTGAGTCATACTTACTATACTCAAATATCTGAAACTTTATTAAAAAATATTTATAATGAATTTATCAGAAAACATTTATTGTCGGCAATGAAATAAATATCTAGGTAAAAATTCATAATCTTTTTTACCCTTAGATTATATAGATAGAGTATCTCCATAGAAATGCTTCGAGAAAAACGGTTCAACTTTTTCATACAATTTTGTGCGATAAATAGTTATGAGTGATTCCTTTATAATTTTTATATTTATTTTGTCTTATAATTTCTGCACACTTTTAATGTGTAAACATTAATTTTATTTATTAAATATAAATACGTCAAGATAAATTTTATACGCAATTATAAAGAATACTGATAAAAAAACGATTCAGCTAATTTGACAACTAGCTTACAAAAAGTTGACCCGTTTTTGTGGCTCGATGCTCTATCTTTATAATCTAAGCTTTTACCATATTGCAGCATAAAGGTTCTTATAGATAACTTAGTACAGATTTTTAGTATTGTTGTAGCTTGATATGGAATAGGACAATAGTGGCTTAACTCACCAAATCATTGCCTAAATAGATTAAAAATATGTAATTTTGCTTTCAGATAAACCCTCTACAAAAAGTTCCAGCTTTAGTTGCAGGAGACGATGTTATATGTGACAGTCATGCCATTGCATTATATCTTTGTGGAAAAAGAAAAAATCAAAAACTATATCCTAGGGACCCTTCGATTAAGGCACAAATTGATCAGATGCTGTTTTTCAATTCTGCCGAATTATTTCCCATAGATAGTGCAATATACGTAAGATGTTTTCTGCTTCAATATGTGCTTAATTTATTTTTTTTTTTTTTGGAATACTAGAATTTTTAAGTTAACTTTTTTTTCAGTCAGAATATTTTACTGGAAAATGGCCTGCTGATGAGCAAAAAGTAAAGAATTGGTATCGTTTACTAGATCATTTAGATGGCCGATTAAAAACACGTACTTGGTTAGCTGGGGAAAAAGTAAGTATAATTATTTTGTCTGACAATGTAATAAACATGTAAAAATTCTTTTTTTTAAAGTATTTTTTTTATTTAATTACTAGCTACCCGCTTTGAATTCGAACAGTATTTTTTTTATTAAATTACAGCCTACGTTAATCGATAATAATGTAGCTTTCTATAGAAAAATAATATTTAATTTTGAGATTAACAAATAAAAAATTTCCATACATACATACATACAAACTAATATTGTTAAAGTTTTATGGGCCCTGGTTGCCTTGATTAAAGAATTTATTTATTATTATTATATTATGCTATCAGTTTAGAGAAAACTTGTACATTGACGATTTTCGTATTATAATTGATATAGAAAAATCTCTTTACAAATGTAATTTTAAGTACCTTAGATGTTTTATTTAAAGGATGGTAATTGTAACGGTTACTCCGTCTGCGCTAACGGTATACACTGGCTAGGTACCAGTGAGGGATGATAGGTGAGAATGAAAAGCAGGTCAGTTAGCCAATCGTGATGAATACACCTGGAATTCAACACAATGATTTTCAGGGGGAATCACGTGGAAGTTGACCTGTTAGGATATATTGCTAGCAATGGGACTGGTAGCCCGCATTACTAACAATCTCTTTCCCCCAGTACTTTAATTGTTTGTTATCTGGAATTTTTAAATTTTTTGGCATCATGAGCGCCATACTTTTTTGCGTAAAAAAGTTTTGTGTTCCATTCTTAATTCAATAATTATTTATCACGTTTTTTTTTTATTTTTCAGTTATATCTTTGTGACATTTGTTGTGCAGCGACAGTGTCTACTCTTCAGCTTTTAATACCATTACTAAATCGTCACAAAAATGTAGAAATTTGGTTAAATAGAGTGCAAGCGCTACCTTGTTTTGAAATAAACAAAAGTGGATTGAAGCGTTTAAATGTCTTTGTTGAAAAAATTAAATCAATAGTGTAACTGCATATATATAATATAATAATAAAATACAGTCCGTATTTTTTTTTTATTATACCTGATATTAAGACGTAATTTGGATTCTTGAAGCCTGTTATTCTCATCTTAATTTTTTTTTTTAATACCACTAAGCTGGCAGACAATTATGCAGCCCATCTGATGGTAAATGGTCACCTGTAGCTTATGCACGCCTGTGACACTAGGGGTTGTCGACCCCGAAGAAAACTTAATACACTCAAGGAAAACCTCGGCAGGGAGCTCATTGCACAGCCTGAAAGTTTGCAAGAGAAAAGTTCTTTAAAAATAAATCATAATATATGTCATCTCATATAAGATATTATGATTATGATATCTCATCAAGAAGATAGTTTAATATTATAGTAAATTTACTTAATATTAAAATTATAAGTAAATTACTACAAACATTTGCATAAGAATTACATTGGTGTAAAGAGAGAACTCAGTGCTCAATATTATACAACTAATACGTTAAAAATAACAAGCAGTCATTGCTTCTTACTTATTTCAAAAAGTTAGATGTTACCATTTTTATTATTTATATATGTGTTTGTCAGATGATGTCTTTGTCAATTCGGGACAGAATTTAATGTATTTTTTTTTAAAGAAAAGGTTTTTACATCCATGTAGTCCTCATGCAAATGTTTGCAGCGGTTTAATTCATTTTTTTTTATATTAAAATGTATCTATATATAAATTGTATTTTATATTTTCCTATAATTGTAAGAAATATTTGGCCCGTGTTTAACATAGCCAGTTGAGGTATTTTATGCTAAATGGTGATAAGCGTGTTAAATCGTTCCTGTAGAAACTGTCGCTATAGCTGAATATGCCCTTTTTATACAATAATAACCATTTCTAAATATTTTTATTATTACAATTACTGATTTGTTTGTTAGGTCACTACGATATTGTAGAGTGATATATAGGTATTATCATTGGGGATGTTTTATTTAATAATAAATGTATTTATAATTGTTGATTTTAAATTAACATAATCGAGTATTTGATTCTACAACTATAGACGAAAATTGCAACTTTTATTCGAGCTTGACCGTATGTCAAAAAGTCTATAATCTCTGACTGCTATTGATTGGTCGACGAGGAGATGTGAAAAATGGCTGCCTTGCCCTCTCCTACTCAGGTAGAACTAATTGAAATTAAATACGTAGTATAGTGCCGATTACTTTGTGGATTATCATTAAACGAAGTTAAATAATTAAGTTATAGTTGGTGATCTTCAGTTAACGTATATGTGTCTAATTCATTGAAATATTTAACGCCAAAGTGTTGTACTGTAGATACGCTATTCTAAATACTAACGATTTTTAATATCTTTAGTGCAATAAATGATAATAGTATGCCCCCAAATATTATGCAGTGATAATGTGTGTTAAAATTAATCTATATTTTTCGTAATTTATTAATTTTATTGAAGGTTTTTGCGCGAACACCGAATGTCAGGGACAGTGTTAAAATGTCACACCCTTTTATTAATTCAAAATAAGTTTGTAATAATATATTTTATATGAAATTATAGTCCTTAAAATGTGGCTTGAACCGTTGCAGGTGGCAGGGACCCACTGTGCTATATACGAAGCTTATTATCATCAAGTGAGTACCAATTTCTTTGGTTTGTAATTAGTTCTAATTTTCTTTTCATATTTGTAAATGGTTAATGCAGGCTATTTTCTTTATAGAAAATTATAAGTTATCGGTTTTTTTATGTGACTAAGTATTATGGAAGTGAGTGCTCTTGAATATCTCATACTTATTTAATCCCAATAAGATTTCCAATAGGACCTAGGTTTCTGTTTTAATGGATAAATAATTGTATGTTTTTTTATAAATATTAATATTTTTTTTTTCTATTTATGAAATATTTTACTTCTATCTTAATTGATAGTTGTTTTTTGTTCTAAATATGAAACTGAACCATAATAGTAACTAAATATTATGTAAATTCCTTAATAAGTAAACATATAGGTATATATCGTTTAGAAGTTTGTCCTAATAATTTTTTTGGGTCACTTTTTAATGTTATAAAAGTGTAATTTGGGATATTAATAACTCTGTATATACATAAACTGACTGGCCGAATGGTCCTGATATAGAATAGGCCACCTATTCCTTTCCTATGTATGTTGTAAGAGGTGACTTAGGGAGGGCGAAGGATGGGCAGCAGTGTCCTTCCTAAAACATCTAAAGCCTAACTGCGGTTGCCAATCTGTCTGCAAAGCATGGAAACTACTGGATAAACCCCCCAAGGGGAAGACTTAGCAGTGGGCCGTTAAAGACTGAAATGATGATGATGTACATTAAATTTAATCGCCAAATTTGGCTGCATCATTTTTAATTTTTTATCAGGTAGGAAGTTTTCTTGTTTTGCATTTCTTGTACCTATATGAAATATCTCCAATAAAGTCTAAATTACAAATTTATTTCTAGTAGAAATATAGCCTGTTTATATATTATAGTTTGTTACCATATTTTATAGTAACTTAAGTCAAATCAAAAGATTTCATAAAGACCTATTTTTTTGAGTTAATGTTCAGCAGTTTTTCCAAAAAAATTGTTCCATATGTAATCTACATTATATTTTATGTTAATTCAGTTCAGTAAAATATTAATATAATAAATCACTAGTATATGCATGTATATAGAAATATAAAACCATCTGATTAGGTTAATTTTCCAGTTCTTTATACTATAACACATTGCTTAAGGTGATAATGGAATCTTTGAACTTCATAGCTTTGATGGTGATACATGATCCACCATATTAATGCAAAATAAATACCCAAATATGATCTAATACTATATTTGCTTTGTAATCAGTATCTATTGATTATTCTCTATGACTCAGCTGAAATTACATTCCAAAATGGCAGTAGAATCATAAAAAATTACTATTGAAAAATGCTTGTAATTAAGTTTACTTGCATAATGAAATATTCTTCTTATTTTTTTTTTTTAAATTGTAGACACTAAGATAATTTGTTTTTTCACATTAGACATACTTCATTTGATTTTTTTTAACCATACCATCCAGTAACCATATTGATGTGAGGAGATATTAGCAAGAATTTTGACTGTACATCATTATCAGCCCTTATCTGTCTACTGCTGGACATAGGCCATCCCCACAGAGTGGCGTAAGGAATGCTTATTTGATTGTACATGTTTAACTATAATTGTCTGCTTATGTGTGAGTTTCTAGTGTTCAAAGATTTGAAGGCCACATCAATCAATGATTGTACTACTTACACTAATTGTTTGCAGGTTGACCCCAATGGCACTGGGGCCATACAGGCTCCCGAGGCTGCGAGGTTTCTCAAAAAGTCCCAACTTAGCGATGTTGTACTCAGCAAGATCTGGGATCTGTCCGATCCCACGGGGAAGGGCTACTTGGACAGAGTGAGTATAATTTTTTATTAATTATTTTGGAGTTATAAAAATATTGATCTAATAGGAAGTGGTAACTGTTGTTTATAGACATGAACAGTGCTATGGACATATGGCATAACAGAGTATGCTGTATTGCCCATGATACTCTTTGTGCATTACCGTTCCTGAGGATTAAGTTGTTCGCCTCTGTACCTTGTAAATTCACTGCCATATCCCACCTTTCAAACTGAAATACAGCTATGCAAACATAACTGCTTTACGGTAGAAACATGAATGGGACAGAGATACCCAAGCAGATGACTTTTGTACAATCTCCCTGTAGTGATTGATTTGATGATTCATATTATTTTCTAGGCTCTTTAGTTAATTTTTATGAAAAAAGAAAAACTCACCATATTGACATAATTCGCAATTTCGTCTTTTCTTAGCAGTATTACACTATGATACCATTAATTAATATAATTAGAGACTCGCGGTCTGACCCGACTTCGCACGAGTTGATAAAATTTTCGAAAATTATATGTAGCCTATATTACTCCTTGTTAATGTAGTCTTTCTATAGGTGAAAGGATTTTTAAAGTCAGTCGAGTATTTTTTGAGATTGTATTTACAAACAAACGATCAAATCTTACCATTTTATAATATTAGTATAGACCGCCAGCTGACTCCGCCGGCGTATCCTGTTAGCGCAGGCGGGGTTACCATACCATTTTCACCCATCAAAAAAAAAAGGGGACATTTTGTCAGCAGTTGCCACGATTGGTAGGCGGGTTGGCTATATATAAAACATTATATATTAAAATACCATTAATAAATTCTACGTGTATTAATATTATAAATGCAAAAGTTTGTAAGGACGGACGGACGGATAGATGTTTCATGCAAAAAGTACTAAACTGAATTGAATGAAATTTGTTACAAGGATGTGTTAAATCCTAACATAGTATATTGGATACTACGTGTACTGATTCAAGCGGACGATGTCGCAGGATACAGCTAGGCAAAATTAATTCGAGTGATGGAGTAGTAGGCTTTTTTTATACAACTTAGAATGGCAAACAAGCTGACGGCCCACCTGATGAAAAGTGGTAACCGTCGCCTATAGACATGAATAGTACCGTGGACATAACAGAGTATACTGTTTCGCCCATGATACCCCCCATGCGTTGCCATCCCTGAGGACTCAGATGTTATTCCTCTGTACCCAGAAAATTCACGCCATATCCTACCCTTCAAAGGCGCTCTCTATTACGTTATTAGACGTACTAGAATGCCTAGCAAAATGTGGGTATTTTAATTTTGTTTTATTTTTCGTTTCGTTTTTCAACGGCAGAAATTTACAAATGTCTGACTATCTCATTAGTGATTACAGTAGTCATCAGACGTTAACTGTCCACTGTTACATAACATATTATTTAATATAGGACTCCACCATAAGGGCGGGGGGAGGTGTTGCTAGTAGTTGCCACACTCCGCCCAACCTGCATGGTTGGCAGTTAGGCTTTTTTTTTTGATGGATGAAAATGGTATGGTAACCCCGCCTGCGCTAACGGGATACGCTAGCGGAGCACCAGTGAAGGGTGATAGATGAGAATGAAAACAGGCCAGTTAGTCAGAGGGAGACTCTGCAAAAGTCGATTGCTTGGGTACCTCTGTCCCATTCGTGTTTCAATCGTGAAGCAGTTGTGTTTGCATGGCTGTGTTTCGGTTTGAAGGGTGGGATATGGCGTGAATTTACAAGGTACAGAGGAATAACACCTGGGTCCTCAGGAATGGCAACGCATGGGGGGTATCATGGGCGAAACAGTATACTCTGTTATGTCCATAGTACTGCTTATGTCTATAGGCGACGGTTACCACTTTCCATCAGGTGGGCCCTTAGCTTGTTTGCCATTCTAAGTTGTATAAAAAATATATATATTTATTTTAGATATATTTATATATTATATACAGATTATGATGCAAATGTTTTTTATTATTACAATTGCTATATAGCGCAGTGATAGATGATTGATGATTCTGTGGTGATTATAAAAACATGACTTCTCAATTATTATAATCAAATGAATTCTATGATTTATAATGTCTGCCACTGGTACGGAATTATATATAATAGTTCTAGTCTATGACCAATAACAATAGCCGTGCAATTACATCGGGAATTCAGCACGATGGTTCCCAGAGGCGGCCACGTGGAGGTCGACCTGACAGGGTATATTGCTGGCAATGGGACTGGTAGTCCACATTACTAACAATCCCTTCCCCTCTCATTCTGCTATCATTAGTGTGCGTGTGACTTTTTTTTTTAAATGGGTGATAATGATATGGTAACCCCGCTTGCGCTATCGGTATACAAGGCGGGGCACCAGTGATAGGTGCCTGATAAGGATGAAAGCAGGTCAGTTAGCCCATTCTGACGAATTCAACTAGAATTAAACACGATGATGTTCAGGCGGAACTACGTGGAGGTCGACCTAATAGGGTATATTGTTAACAATAGGGCTGTCAATCTCCATTGCTAACAAATTGAAACCATCGTGAACAATTATTATTGAATTCGTCACGATGGGCTAACTGACCTGCTTCATCCTCACCTATCATCCTTCACTGGTGCCCCGCCGGTGTATACCGATAGCGCGGGCGGGGTTACCTTCCATTATCACCCATTAAAAAAAAGAAAAAAAAATATATTTATGTAAAAAGTAAACCATCAGCTGATTATATTAATACACTAGACAATAAGTACCTACAATAGTTAAGGCTGAAATAAGATACGTCCGTCTCGAGATGATTCAACTTGAGTACATTTAATAAGTCCTTACACTGGACTAGCTGTGTCTTGCGGTTTCACCCGAGTGGTTAATAAGTACATAAAGTGTCCTATCCTATGTGCTAATTTAGGATATAACCTATCTCTGTACAAAATTTCATTTAAATCTGTTCAGTACAATCTTTTTACGTGAAAGAGAAACAAACATCCGCCCAGCCATCCATCATTACAAACTTTTGCATTTATAATATCAATAGGACATTATTTCTTTTATTTCTCTCGAAGTTTCTCGAAGTCTCGAAGAAATTTTATATTATAAATTAATCAAGCATATAAAAAAAATCATTACTTCCGTAAAAGACTTACAGTTTTATATTAGTTATTACTTATTAATTTTTGTATTCCTTCAATTCAAACCGCCTACTTATTTCTCAGTTCGCCCAATAGTTGACTGGTAGAGAACACCGTCCGGTGTTTAGTCCGCCATATGTACATAGAATTCTACTGTGCATTAAAGTTTAAAATAATATAAATGTACGTACCTAAATTGTTTTGGAATATAAAACACTCAGATCTATATACACATACGTACGAATACGTTTATATTGTCTGGGGATCGAACATGGTAACCTTCGGATACTGCGATGTTAAGTTACCGAGGTCATGCAGTGTCCCTCTTAAAACATTAGCAAAGCTTAACTGTTGTTGCCAATCCGTCTGCCAAGCGTGGCAACTACTGGCAAAATCCCCAAGGGCGAGGCTTATGTTCGCCAGTGGACAGTTAACCCTTCTTTGCATGATTTTTTTTATTTTTGAATTAAATCAAGGTGATATAATTCATGTTCAAAATTAAAGGAAAAATGGTTAAAGAAATAAATTTGACAGCTATGTTTTTTTTTCTGCAATGAACATTAAAAAGGTATCCAGACACGATCAACTTAATGTGAACTTGTTCTTTTATATAATTTTTGGGCATTCAATGTAACGATGGAGTTTTCCACCATTATATATAATAATGATGAATGTGACGCGAGTTAGTACTAGGAACATTTAATAAAATATATTTATTATACGAATAATTGGACATGGGCCAATTTTCGTAACTATTGTCTGGCTATATAAGACATGTACACAAAACACAGACCATTCACCCGATTTGCAATTACATTTAGCATCAATATGCATATGCGGTATGCATTCGTGTCATAGCCAAATGGACATTTACCACAGGGAGACTTTGTACAAAAGTCGTTTGCTTGGGTACCTTTGTCCCCATTCGTGTTTCTACCGTGAAGCAGTTGTGTTTCAGTTTGAATGGTGGGATATGGCAGTGAATTTACAGCGTTCAGAAGAATAACTCCCGAGTCCTCAGGAATGGCAACGCATGGGGGGTATCATGGGCGAAACAGTATACTCTGTTATGTCCATGGTACTGCTCATGTCTATAGGCAACGGTTACCACTTTCCATCAGGTGGGCCCTTAGCTTGTTTGCCATTCTAAGTTGTATAAAATAAATATGCATATTACAGTTATCGTTGTTTTTATATATTATACTGATTAATCATCATACCAGCCTTTAATTGTCCACTGCTGGACATAAGCCTCCCCCTTGTTGGGTTTTGTCAGTAGTTGCCACGCTTGGCACGCGGGTTGGCAACCGCAGTTAGGCTTTGGTAATATATTAATAGGAACACTGCTGATCATGCCTTGATTATTAAATTCCCTTAGTCACCTCTTACGGAAAAATAAAAGTCGTAAATTTTGTGCAATATAATCTTCAAGAAACGAGCATATTTCCTTTTAAAAGGCCGGCAGTAAATCTGCAATGCCTTTGATGTTGCGGGTGATCATGGGCGGCGGTAGTTACTCACCATCAGGTGAGCCGCATGCTCGTTTGGCCCCTGTGTTATAAAAAAAAGTATTTATTAAATAATACAATTAATAAATAATTATCTATATATATATATATATATATATATATATATATATATATATATATATATATATATATTCTTTATTGCACTTGAACAATACATATAGCGGTTAGTTTAACAACTTGTTAGCAAGGGAGGGCTTGTAGTGTAGTTTTTTTTATTTTTATACAACTTAGAATGACAAACAAGCTGACGACCTATTTGATGGAAAGTGGTAACCGTCGCCTATAAACATGAGCAGTAGCATGGACATAACAGAGTATACTGTTTCGCCCATGATACCCTCTATGCGTTGCCATTCCTGAGGACTCAGGTGTTATTCCTCTGTATCCCGTACATTCACTGCCATATCCCACCTTTCAAACCGAAACACAGCCATGCAAACACATATTAGAGTATATAGTATAAATAATGTATATGAATAGAAAGTAAATTATTTAGTGTCAAATAGTACAAAACGAGATGCGTATTGACTTAGCGGACTCGCTGCGGATGTTACTGTTTAATTACCAACGCTATGATAGTACGTTATCTGCCCGTCATAATGTGACGCCCATGCGCGCTAGTGATGCGCCCACGCACGCACGATATACACAGGACTTTTTTTTATTGGTGAAAATGGTATGGTAATCCCGCCTGCGCTAACGGGATACGCTGGCGGAGCACCAGTGAAGGGTGATCGATGAGAATGAAAACAGGCCAGTTGGCACATCATGATGAATTCATCTGGAATTAACCATGATAGTTTCCAGGGAGAACCGCGAGGAGGTCGACCTGGTTGGGTATATTGCTAGCAATGGGATTCTCAGTCTCCATTACTAACAATCCCTTTCCCCCCTAACCACAGGATTCGGTCGATTTCTGAACTCGAAAATTTGTCTAAATTATAATAGCAAATAAGTTGACCTACCTTGTTGGGGTAGTTGAGAGGGGGGGGGAGGGAATTTTTAGTAATGAGATTTAACTACCCCATTGCTAGCAACACATCCTATCAGGTTGACCTCCACGCGGTCCCCCCTGGAAACCATAGTGGTTAATTCTTGTTCATTTGGTCACTGTGGGCCAAATGACCTGCCTTCATCCTCACCTGTCAACCATCACTGGTACCCCGCCAACGTTTACCGATACCGCGTGGAGGTCGGCCTGATAGGGTTTGTTGCTAGCAATCGGTCTATTAGACCCCATTACTAACGATCCCTTCCCCCCACCTAATAATATTAGTAGGGCTCTCGTTTGTTCTTTATTTGCTGGCGACAAAAGTATATCGATAAAATTGTCGATATCAATGTAATTTGTCGACTGTGACATCACTAATATTTCTATTGAATACAAAATCGTAGGAATCATTGCGGCGAGTGTTTAATTGTTTACAAAATTCCCGTTGATGGTGTTATAATAGTTTTCAATACGTAACTGTACGTTATTTATTTGTGATGAATGATAGTTAGTGATAGTGAAGTGTTATAAAAAGGTAATAATTCTTCTATGATATAATTTATTTATTTATTTATTTAAAGGAACACCAACAGCATATTGCATTATAACATATAGGTATAACAAACATTAAATACAATACAATATTAATGCACACGCCTATTATAGGTGTTCACAGCATTCACTTTAACATAGTTGTACAGTGCGAGAAAATGAAGTAACAATTATAATGAATTAAATAACAAAATAGACTGCAAATATTTTAAGTTGCGTTATTAGTTATAGAAATATACATGTAACTTGAGTTGTGAGCAATATCAGTAAATTCAAGAAGGCATGAAAAATGAAAAGACAGATACATTATTTCATACTAAACTAAAAAAAATATTTAATAGCAAATTGTTGTTTTTATTCCGTTGACGACTTTTTAGCCAGTTGAAATGCAAAAATGCGTCATGCCACGGTTCAAGTCACATATGACTTGTAAATAATTTTTTTTTCTTTTTTTTTATATACAACGAGGAGATCGACCTGGTTGGTTATATTGCTAGCAATAGGATTCTCAGTCTTCATTACTAACAATCCCTTTCCCCCCCTTTCAGTCCTATTAGGTATGTATTGGCAAGTGCCAACAAGTACCAGTATGTAATAGTTGTAATATGGCGGTGGTTTGCGCGTGTTGCAGCCGGGCCTGTTCGTGGCGCTGAAACTGGTCGCGCTGGCGCAGGCCGGCAAGGACATCAACATGAGCAACATACACTCGGAGACGCCGCCGCCCAAAGTGGTGAGAACCCTTCTTCTTTTTCATTAATGGCAATTTGTTGCTATATATATATATATATATATTTGTAATGGGTGAAAATAGAATGGTAACCTCGTCCGAGCTATCGGTATACACCGACGAGGCACCAGTGGAAGATGATAGGTGAGAATGAATGCAGGTCAGTTGGCTTACCATGATGAATTCGACAAGAATTAAACATGACGGTTTCCAGGGGGAACCGCGTGGAGGTCAACCTGAGAGGGCTGATATTGCTAGTAATGGGGCTATTAGACCCCATTATTAACAATCCCTTTCCCCCCGGTCGCTATATTTACAACCAACGACCATTTCTGCCATCGTCATGTATAAGAGGGTAACTGGAGATAACAATTATATCTAAAGCTGGCTGGAAGAAGATGCATGAATTAGTTGCATCGAGAAAACCCTTTATACACAATGACAAGTGTGAAAATAGAATTATTTATTAAATTATGTATCTCTCTCTCTCAATTAAAATGTCATTGAAACTTTGAGTTAGGCGAGAGTATAATTTTCGCGGTGGTCGAGCCATAAATGTCCCCGTTCTTGAACATCGATTTTTCAATAAACGTTTTATGGCATCGACTTTGGTATCGAGTGTTCGGACGAAATTAAGAGCTCTTTTTACGCTATACGTATACAGTCGGTCCTTAACCTTTCCAATCTTGTGACCTCTATTATAATGTACATAAAATAAACACTATCTTTAAAATGTTTAAAAAAAAATTTTGAATTGAAATATTTGCTTGGTTTCAAAAGAAAATCTATTGCAATACATTACGTTACATTTTGGCTGGTAACATATTACGTCGATCCCAAATGATAATTAGGATAAAGGTAGGACAATGATGTTGATTTACATTACATTACATTTTGGCTGGTCCCTTAGACATAACTTCTATTTGGAGCTGGGTTCTAGAAATTGGACATTGGAAAGTTTTTTATCTTAAAAAAAATACAAATAAATTAATTATGAAACTGATATAAAAACTTCATAATTGGCACTGTATAGAAAGTATAGTAAACTTCCTTAGAACGTCTAACAAACAAATATGAATAGAGTCATTCCTGTTTTCTTTTTTTTTTTTAAAAAAAAGAAGATTGAATTCGTCAATTCTGAAGTAATTATATGTTTTGTTTCTATCGTTAGGATTTACTCCCGTTTTGGTACCATATTCCTTTTTTTTTTTTATATAAATTAAGGTGCCATTTTGATGTGAAGCTAAATGGTAATTTGTCAACGTGATGTCCAGGGCGAGATACCAAAGGTGCCTCCCGGCGGGATGCCGCCGGCACGGCCCGCGGCGCCGTCGCCGTCGCCGGCGCAGGCGCGGGACAAGGAGCCGCCGGTGGTGGACTGGAGCATCAAGCCGGCCGAGCGCGACAAGTACAACCAGCTGTTCGACTCGCTGCAGCCCAGCAACGGCCTCATAGCCGGCAACAAGGTCTTTATATCATTTAACTAGTAATTAATTAAATCAATAATAATTTAATTAATTAAAACTTGTCTGGAAGATAATGCTTTTGCCATAAGACCGTATTTTGTACGTATTTTGTTTTATATATATATATATATATATATATATATATATATATATATATATATATATATATATATATATATAATATTTTTTAAGTGATGCAATTAAAAATTATATTAAATAAGAATTAGCATTGAGGAGGTTCTGCTTAGGGTTAAGGAAAAAAGACAAATTATTAGAACTATTGAGGACAGAAGGGGAAAAATGTTGGGACACTTGATACGACACGACGAACTTATGAACATTATAATAGAAGGTAAGATAGAAGAAAGGAGGGGGAGAGGGAGACCGAGACATAGTTACATCAGGCAGATCAAGGTAGGAGTTGGTGTCGTGTCGTATCAAGAGGTGAAGGGGCTCGCTGGAAATCGTAGTGAGTGGCGAGAGCTCCACCGACAAGAGCGCAGCTCTTAAATACGATAGATAGCAATTAAAAAATAAATCTATTACTAATTATTCAGTTAATGAATTAAAACAGTAAATAATTAAATTAACATTCATTTATTATAATTAATAATATATGAATAAATTACTAATTAATTAAATAATGAATATAATAAATTTTTTAAATTATTAATTATTTAATAATGACCTTATAGACGATAAAAATAACAGGGCCATTTGCGTGTTGCGGACAATGAAGAAACCTTTTAATGACTTCAAAAGAAATTTGTATATTAGGTGGTATTTTAACTGCTGTTTCCATTTAACAATGCCGCCTTTGACAACTTTTTTCTAACATTTTAGGTAAAAGGAATGTTGGTGGAGTCCACTCTACCGATAGACATACTGGGCAGAATCTGGGACCTGGCCGACCAGGACAAAGATGGCATGCTCGATAGGCACGAGTTCATGGTGGTGAGTTTACGATTTGAGAGTAACATAATAGATAGATAGATAAACACTTTGAGTTATTTAATGATACATGTAGAATTAACAAATGAATTCATACAATCAAATTTTTTTTTTTCAATATAAAACAAACGATAAAATAAAACTTTTTTTATTCATTTTTAGAATGACAAACAAGCTGACAGTACCATGGACATAACAGAATATATTATTTCAGCCATGATACTCCCCATGCCATTTTACCAGAGGGAGATATTGTATAAAAGTCGTTTGCTTGGCTACTTCTGTCTCGTTCGTGTTTGCATGGCTTTTTTTTATACAACTTAGAATGGCAAACAAGCTGACGGCCCACCTGATGGAAAGTGGCAACCGTCGCCTATAGACATGAGCAGTACCATGGACATAACAGAGTATACTGTTTCGCCCATGATGCCCCCCATGCTTTGCCATTCCTGAGGACTCAGGTGTTACTCCTTTGTAGCCTGTAAATTCACTGCCATATCCCTTCAAACCGAAACTTGATTTATTTTTTGTAGAGTACGTGTGCGCATCGTATTTATTCGTGCTTAGATGTACAATTATGTACTTTTAGACAAGGTTTGTAAGCAAAGAATGTTACTTGGGCCAGACATATACTATTATGTCAAAAATTTAACAATGTGTTAGCTGTAAATGCTTTAAAAGTCATCACGCCCTATCAAATAGTTGATGGTAGTGGTGTAACGGTGGTGGCCCCCCGCAGGCGATGCACCTGGTGTACAAGGCGCTGGAGACGCGGCTGGTGCCGGCCACGCTGCCGGCCGAGCTGCGCAGCCGGCCGGCGCGGCCGCCGTCGCGTCCGCCGTCCCGCCCGCCCTCGCGGCCGCCCTCGCCGCAGCCGCGCCCGCCGCCCCGCCCACACGCGCCCGTCTCGCAACCGCAACCGCAACCGCAACCGCAACCGCCGCCCTCCAACGCCACGCTGCTCGAGGGTCTGCTCGATCTTTCTAGTGTAAGTTGCCATATTTTTTACTATATACTTAATTCAATTCATGTACTGTTTAACTGTTTTTTTTTTATGCAACTTAGAACAGCAATCAAGCTGACGGCCCACCTGATGGAAAGTGGTAACCGTCGCCAAAGGTGCAGAATTTATAAAACAAAATAGATATAGAAGTTATAAAGGAATCACTCATAACTAATTATCACGCAAAACTGTATGAAAAAGTTGACCTGCTTTTCTAATGAATCTAAGAATAAGGGTTTTGATCTTGAATCCTCCTATAGATGTTCGAATTTTGAAATGCTCCTTTAGAGGTAAACCAGTTGACTATTCAGAAGTTATATTGATAAATAACAACGATAGTACCTAAATTTCGATATGTTTCAAGATTGTGGAACTAAAACATTCAAATTATATTTGAATCGGCAGCCGCCTACCCAGACGGCGCCGGTGTCGTCGTCGCTGGCGGGCGGCGGTGCTGGCGGCGGTGTGACGTGGGTGGTGACAGCGGCCGAGCTGGCGCAGGCGGACGCGCAGTTCGCGGCGGCCGACGCCGACCGTGACGGCTTCGTGTCGGGCGCCGAGATCAAGGACACCTTCCTGCAGACTGGCCTGCCGCAACACACGCTCGCGCACATATGGTACGACGCACACATCTATCACACCCACCCTCAGTTCACTTCCCCGCGGTCTCTCCTCGAAACTACCGTGTTTATCGCGATGGATCAGTTGACCTACTTTTTCGTTCTTATCTGTCATAACCAGTGAGAGATTGGTTCCCCATCAGCGTATAGCGTTAGCATAGGTGGGGTTACTATTACCACAGATAATATAATACTATACTAGTACAGATACATCATCTTGAACAAACAAGTGAAAAGCTCTAAGCCGGCTTATTCTCCGGCTTAATTTTTAGTTGCTCACATGTGCGCTAGATACCGCTGTTTTCCTAGCCGCTCGACAGCTTCGGCTAATAATTTACCGATGACTGTTAGTTGCGTAAGTGAACAATAGAAACGATCGAGAACGAACTCAAATTCGATGGGGTTGTATCATTTAATTACGGAGTTCCTATGGCCACCTTGCAATTCCATCATCAGACCTTGGTTATCATTTAATATCAAAGTACTCGTCAAGACGAGTTAAACGAGCCCATATCCGATGGGGTTGCGTCGTTTAATTATGGAATTCCTATGGCTACCTTCCAGTACCATCATCAGACCATGGTTACCATCTAGTATTAAATTACTCGTCAAGGCGAATTAAATGAGCCCACACTCGATGGGGTTGCGTCGTTTAATTACGTAGTTCCTATTGCCACCTTGCAGCTCCATCATCAGACTCTGATTAGTATTTAGTATCAAAATACTCATCAAGACGAGTTAAACGAGCCCAAACTTGATGGGGTAGCGTCGTTCAATTACGGAGTTCCTATGGCCACCTTGCAGCTCTATCATCAGACCCTGGTCACCATCTAGTATCAAAGTACTCGTGAAGACGAATTAAACGAGCCCAAACTCGACGGGGTTGCGTCGTTTAATTACGGAGTTCCTATGGCCACCTTCCAGGACCATCATCAAACCCTGATTACTATCTAGTATCAAAAAACTTATTAATCACAATATAATAACATGTGAACACAATGTAGGTAGATCTCCAGCCGCAGGGTTGCTATTAAAACAATAAATTTTTACTCAAATATTAAATATTTTTTTCTTCAAATCTCTACATCTGTCAATTTCTCTACATTTTGCCAAGTAACCACTAAGAGAACGACAACAAAATACTATACTAATTATATGCTGTCTGATTGATAGATACCACAAATGTAAAAAAAAAAATAAGCAAACTTCACTAAAGCTTTTGACTTCTTTTCAAACATTTTACCAAGAATGTTTTTACAGTTTCGCGAACAATTAATTTTTATCCATAATGCGATAAAAATACTCAATCTGGCAATGCTGTATCTAGAATTTCGGGTGAACGGTAAAACAGATTTAGTAGTGCATTAAATAGAAACAGCGCCATCTGTGAAATGATGTGCACAAACTTGTAGCACGACGTCGTTAACTAAACAATGCTAATTAGATCGAAGCACAATAGTTTCCTGGTAAAAAAAACAATATTTGAATTTTAATATAACTAATGAGATTTAGTTTAAGAATCTATTTTATTAATTTTTACGTTTTTAGGAGATTTTTAAAATAAAAGTATACATATTTTATAAATGATTTTGTTTGTTTTCTAAGATTTACGGAAGCATTATTAGTAAATCGCAACTAGTATCGCCATCTATTAAAAATTTTTTCGCTCCGCCAATTTTTTCTTCGTCATCGGGGACACGATGCTATTACATTACCATTCATAAAAAAAAAACAAACAAAAACCATAAAAGTTCCACAATACAGCCCAAGGGGGCTATTGTTTAGGACTAGTAGATCAGATGGTTAGATATAGGGTTGTTATTTCTCTTGCCCTAATGTATGACGCCGCGTGGATTTTTGGTAAATTGGTAATAGCGTATCGTACATTTCTATGTATGACACTCGGCAGAAGGTGTGCGATAACTGCTCGTGTTGGTAGGTATTGGCGGTCGAAAATACGAGGAATGTAGTCGCTACGTTCCGCCGTCAAAACTGCGAGAGTGGAGGTGTGCTGAATATGGCGCTAGTTTGTGCCCATGTGTGCTTTTTTATTTCTTTTTCATTCTGCCTTGTTGTCGTTGCATAGCGGAGGCTTAAGTTTTACTATCATAGAATAATGATTGTCAAAACAAGTCACTAAATATATATACTGGGATGGTATAAAATGAGACACTCTTCCTTTTCTGTGGGTATCGTAAGAGGCGGCTAAGGGAATCTAATGGTCGAGGGATGGGTAGCAGGATCCATTTTAAAATATCTCCAAAGTCTAACTGTGATTGTTGGCCAGTATGCCAAACGTGGCAACTATACACAGAACCTTTTTGTATGGGGAAGGTCTATGTTTAGCAGTGGGCAATTGATGATTGATGTAATGATGACAAAGTGCGTATGTATAAACGTGGGCTGGTTTCTGATTTGAGTGTCCGATATATTTTGATCGTGACCACTCATAAGATGACCCGTTGTTGGCGTGGTAGAGCGCGGTAGTGAGAGTGGTGTTTGGGCCGGCAGGGCGCTGTGCGACACGGGCGGCGCCGGCAAGCTGTCGCGCGAGCAGTTCGCGCTCGCCATGTGGCTGGTGCGGCGCGCGCTGCGCGGCCAGCCGCCGCCGCCCGCGCTGCAGCCGCACCACCTGCCGCCCTCCTGCCGCCCGCACGCGCACCACCTACACCAGGTACACCACCTACACCACGCACACCAGCCACACCAGCCACACCAGCCACACCAGCCACACCAGCCACTGCACACTCGTCGCGGCCGGCGCGGGCAGCTCGCCGGCTTCATCCCTCACGGGTGCCCCGCCGGTGTATACCGATAGCACAGGCAAAAAAAGAACCACCTGATCATCATGTTGACTTACAATACCATAATTTTTTAAACTACCCGAAACTACATGAAGTTCTTCTAACTTTTTAACATCCATTTCTTCAAGAGACAATACGAGGGTCAAACTGAAAGTCCTTAGAAAATCAAAAACTGATTAAATTTGCAAGTTTTTACCTTTATTTTATCTTTTTAAAGTAGTGTCCATTCACGTCAATACATCGCTGCATCCGGTAGAACCACAGAGAAAAGCACGTTGTCCACTCGTCCTTAGGGATCTCTTCGACAGCCTTCTAAAACGTAGCCACAGCTTCTTCAGCGTCCATTAAACGTTTTCCTCGAAGTTTTTCTTTTATTTTTCGGAATAAATAAAAATCGCAAAGTGCGAAGTCGGGGCTATAAGGCGGACGACCCAGTAGTTCTACGTCTGAGGTCGCCAAATAATCGATCGTTTGCCCGGCGGTGTGCGACGAAGCATTGTCGTGGTGAAGGAGGATCCTACTGTGAGGTCGTTTCCCACGCACTTTTTCCAAAACACATGGCAAACAATTGTCACTGTACCACTCTGCAGTGACTGTTTTTCGACCCTCTAAAACAATTGTCGCGTAATGACCTGTCCTTTCAAAGAACGAGGCCACCATCTTTTTTCCCACGCTTCTACCTCTCTTCACTTTAGTTGGCAACTCCTTGGAAGGAAACACCCACTGACCTGACTGTCTTTTAGTTTCGGGATCAGAACAGGAAATCCAGCTTTCGTCTCCCGTAACTATGTCAAACACAGAATTTGAGTTACCTCCGTTTAATCTTTCATGAATTTCACGGCACCAATCAACACGACGGAGTTTTTGAGCCTCGGTCAAATTATGAGGTAACCACCGGGCACAAAGCTTCCTGACCGCCAAATGTTCACCTGAGTCCTCAGGAATGACAACGCATGGGGGGTATCATGGGCGAAACAGTATACTCTATTATGTCCATGGTACTGCTCATGTCTATAGGCGACGGTTACCACTTTCCATCAGGTGGGCCGTCAGCTTGTTTGCCATTCTAAGTTGTATAAAAAAAGTGTAATTTTTATATATATATATATATATATATATATATATCGTTTCAAACAAATTACACAACTAATACTAAGCTGTTGCAATCACCAAAAACTGAAGTTTCAGCAGTTTTTATTATAATATTTATTATAAATTTTATTTTACAATATAAGAACATTAAAACCACACGCATGTATGGGGTAAACGTTTAGGACAGTGGGGTTTTATGTTAATCGAGAGCCCTTTACGAGTGCGGAAAGTTACCTGTAGAGAGATCATGGAGGATTTTGTGCACTTGACTCATACCAATTCCTAAGTTTGCCCGGATCTGCTAATAGATCACTCTTTTGTACTAACAAAAGACTACTTTATCAAAGGTGGCCAACACTGATGTTATCTTCAGTCGTCGCCGTAGAAGGCCGTCCCTCACGCACATCATAGGTGAGATTAGTGCGATCACGTTGAAACTTATTTAACTAGTTTAATGAGTTTAAACGTACGTTAGTGGCACGAGAAGGGGCTTCATCGTTAAAGGCCAATCGTAGTCTATGATAACTTTCTTGTTGATTTAGATGACATCGAAAGTCATAAAAAATCATCGCACAAAAATTTTCTCGTGTTAAGTTCATGATAACGTTACACAAACTATTTTCAATTTGCCGCCAAACCGTAAAACAAATGACAAACGAATAAATTATATACTCTGTATTATTCGTAAAAAGTTCCATTTTTAAAATTTTAATGTTTTTTTTTTATTATATTGCTTTCAAGTAGCCAGTTCTAAAAATTTTCAGTGTAGCCCTCGTACAACTAATCCTAAACAAACAAAGATAAACAAATGCTGAAATTATATTTTTTATTAGTAATTCATTATGAGAAATAAAAGAGGTCAGTTAATAATAAAAAATGAAAATACAAAGTCAAATACTTTAAGTGCGTATTGCACGACGTTTACTGCGTAACGCTCGGAGCGCGATCTTCCAAGCGACACCAGCTCCGCATACCGCCACCAGCAGGACATCGCGGTAGTTCCAACGGGCTGTAGCGCCCTCCCAAACCACTAGTTTCACTATGCCCGCTAGGTCATCGTTCTGCCAACAACTAGGTAGAAAATTAATATACAGTCCTCCATTATGCTTGAAAAAAAAAATTTTTTTTAATAAAAAGTGAAAAAGAAAAATTAAACAGGTGGGTTACAGTAGCTGTACATGTGTGAATGTTACAGTTTTATTTTATATATTTCATTAAATAACTATCCAACTGATTTTTTTCTTGAGACATTATAAGTCGACTACTGTACTACCGGAGGGAGACTTTGTACAAAAGTCGTTTGCTTGGGTACCTCTGTCCCATTCGTGTTTCAACCGTGAAGCAGTTGTGTTTGCATGGCTGTGTTTCGGTTTGAAGGGTGGGATATGGCGTGAATTTACAGGGGACAGAGGAATAACACCTGAGTCCTCAGGAATGACAACGCATGGGGGGTATCATGGGCGAAACAGTATACTCTATTATGTCCATGGTACTGCTCATGTCTATAGGCGACGGTTACCACTTTCCATCAGGTGGGCCGTCAGCTTGTTTGCCATTCTAAGTTGTATAAAAAAAGTGTAATTTTTATATATATATATATATATATATATATATATATATATATATATATATATATATATATATATATATATATATATATATATCGTTTCAAACAAATTACACAACTAATACTAAGCTGTTGCAATCACCAAAAACTGAAGTTTCAGCAGTTTTTATTATAATATTTATTATAAATTTTATTTTACAATATAAGAACATTAAAACCACACGCATGTATGGGGTAAACGTTTAGGACAGTGGGGTTTTATGTTAATCGAGAGCCCTTTACGAGTGCGGAAAGTTACCTGTAGAGGGCGGTATCGTCGAGTCGGAGGGCAGAGATGACGATGTGATCTCTCGCGGTCAGGTGTACCCGCCCGCCGCTGGTACTCCGCAGTTGTGCTGGAGACACACTCTTGGATCCTAGACGCCATGTCAGCGGTACGTCGCGAAGAGCCGATCTGATACGTCCATATAGTTCATTGATTTTCGAAAATTACCGTGGAAATTAAATCAGATAAATGGTTGTTTACAATCCGAGAAACCTATCAATGGTTTCCATTCTAATCAAATCGTGTTTCATTAATAACTGTCGTGAGTATAACTCTATTATGTGAATATAACTCTATTATAATTATTTCTGTCGATTTTATTGACGTTTTAAATTTGGGGATGCCCAACTAGTTTCGAACTCAGTAGGAGCATATGGCGTGAATTTACAGGGTACAGAGGAATAACACCTGAGTCCTCAGGAATGGCAACGCATGGAGGGTATCATGGGCGAAACAGTATACTCTGTTATGTTCATGGTACTGCTCATGTCTATAGGCGACGGTTACCACTTTCCATCAGGTGGGCCGTCAGCTTGTTTGCCATTCTGAGTTGTATAAAAAAATATATTAAATATATGAAGTATTACCCCGGGCAGCGTATAGTAACTTGTTGTCCTAATGTAGCGAAGACAATGTGCTGCGCGGGCGGCCATTGCCGCGCAGATGTTCGCCAGTACGCCTCAGTAGGGTCTGTAATTCTTCCCTCCAGTCCCAACGTTCCACTAGTTTCACATGGCACCTGAGTTCAAATTATATTATTTAAATATATATACATATATATATATATATATATATATATATATATATATATATATATATATATATATATATAAAATTCTTATTAGCCTTAGTATTATATTAATACAGGTATTTAAAAATTGCTATTACAGTAAGACATAAGTTGGCCGTATGGTCCCAGCATAGAATAGGCCACCCCTTCCTTTCCTGGGGGAAAAAGATTTTTAGTTAGTAATGAGGTCTAATTAGCCCTATTGCTAGCAATATACCCTCTCAGGGCGCCCTCCACGCTTTTCCCCTTGGAAACCATGGTTAATTCTTGTCGAATTCATCATGGTGGGCCAACTGACCTGCATTCATTCTCACCTATCATCTTCCACTTGTGCCTCGTCGGTGTATACCGATAGCGCGGGCGGGGTTACCATTCAATTTTCACCCATTAACAAAAAAAAACCCTTTCCCGTGGGTGTCGTAAGTAGCGACTAAGGGAGGGCGAGGGATGGGCAGCAGCGTCCCTCTTACAATATTTCTAACTAACTGCGGTTACCAATCCGCCTGCCAAGCGTGCCAACTACTGTCAAAACTCCCAAGGGGCAAGCTTATGTTCAGCAGATGTTTTGAAGATGTTCTAAGAGGGACGCTGCTGTCCATTCCATGCCCTCTCTCAGTAGCCTCTTACGACACCCACGGGAAAGGAAGGGGTGGCATATTCTATGAAGGGACCACACGGTATATTTTATGCCGGGACCACACGGTATGATATATGATGAATATGATATACATACATACATACATATCTGTCACGCCTGTCTCCCATTAGGGTAGGCAGAAACAATGGAACGCCAAATGCTTTGATTCAAACAAACCAAACAAATACCAGACGGAGACTTTGTACAAAAGTCGATTGCTTGGGTACCTCTCCCATTCGTGTTTCTACCGTGAAGCAGTTGTGTTTGCATGGCTGTGTTTCGGTTTGAAGGGTGGGATATGGCGTGAATTTACAGGGTACAGAGGAATAACACCCGAGTCCTCAGGAATGGCAATGCATGGGGGGGTATCAAGGGCGAAACAGTATGTGTGTGTTATGTCCATGGTACTGCTCATGTCTATAGGCGACGGTTACCACTTTTCATCATGTGGGCCGTCAGCTTGTTTGCCATTCTAAGTTGTATAAAAAAAAAACCTCTTTCGCTTATTTTTTATAATTAATTAGTTATATTAATATTAATTTACCTTGCACATACTGATCATGATTTCGTTCCGTCTGCCCTGCACGGTCGTAATGCGTTGTATATATAGCGGGAGATACTTTGAACGACACGGTACACCGCCGGGGAACTCTGTGTATTGAAGTAAATTAAAAAAAAATATATATAATTCTTTAAAAAAATCTATTAATTTTAGTTGGTCTGAAAAAGAGCAAACTCCATTAGGAGTTTGCTGTTTATTAAAAAAAAAAAAAAACTGTTCTAATTTCATTTTCAACATAAGTCAATTTCATCATTATCATCATCTCAGCCATTATCTGTCCACTGCTGGACATAGACTCCCCCATAGACTGCCATAAGGAACGGTCCTGAGCCACCTGCATCCACTAACTTCCTGCAATGCATTTGAAGTCGTCACTTTATCCAGTGGGAGGTTGTCCTACACCTGTGTTTGCCCATATGCGGTCGTAACCCAAGAACCTTTATGTCATAAGTCACTTTAGTGCCAACAAATTAGTTTCTTTCGATTAAAGATACAAAAAAAGAAAAAAAAAAAGAATTAAAGAATGAGAAATCTTTCAAATTGTTTAGCTGTTTTTTATAATAATTGCATTAACACTATTTTAATAGGAAAATGATCATATTTACCTTGAAATAGATTCACTATATTATTCTTTACAAGGGATGTTGTATTACAGATTTCTTTCTTATCTTTTAACTAAAAAACAAGTAAATAAATATAATTATTTTTATTTCATTTATTTATTTCAACTTTAATGCACAATTGTATAAGTAAGAGTACATATGGTGGACTTAACACCTAATGGCGTTCTCTACTAATCAACCATGGGGCAATCTGAAAATTAGGCATGCGGTGCATTTACTACTAAAATATGTATAAATATTGTTACTACATATTATATACATAAACTACCTATAAATTACCAATATACTTCCCAACAAATAAATATATATAAAAATTATATTGTAAAGAGAAGTGTGGACTGAAAGACGATGTAGTGACAAAAATTGAAAAAGGAATGTTGCGTTGGTTTGGTCATTCAGAGAGGATGGATGAAAGAAGAATTACGAAAGAGATTTATCGAGCAAGAATGAATGGAGATGTCGGTAGGGGCCGCCCTAGACGGACGTATGTCGACCAAATAGGCGACGTGCTGAAGAAGGGCCAAATTAAAAGTACTCGTAACCGGCGAGCGTGTATGAAAGATTGATGAGTGTGGAGGATGCGAAAGAGGTTTGTTTGAATCAAAGCATTTGGCGTTCCATTGTTTCTGCCTACCCTAATGGGAGACAGGCGTGACAGATATGTATGTATGTATATTGTATATATATATATACACTATAATTCTAATGGCGATAAATTGGAACAGCAGATAATTATCTCCTTAATATAACATTATAATAGAAAAAAAAAAAAACTGCTGGAAATGTAAAGACGACCTGATGCTTAGTAATTGTGATATGGCACATGCCATATCTGCGTTTCCTGCCGACGCGGCCGCACGCACTGCACTCGCTCCACGCGGACCACCAACTGAACAGTTTTAAACTATCCCCCTCTATGAACTGGGGAGCTGATGCGTACGGACCGCGAGACGTATGGGGTTTAACCTGCAATGGTAAAGGGAGGGGATTTTTAGTAACCAGACTAACTTTGTATTCTTTTTGATGCTTAGAATTGCAAAATAAATTGACGGGCCACCTGATGGAAAGTGATAACCATCGCTTATAGACATGAGCAGTACCATGGTCATAACAGAGTATACTGTTTCGTCCATGATACCCCTCATGCGTAGCTATTCCTGAGGACTCGGGTGTTATTCCTCTGTACCCTGTAAATTCACTACCATATCCCACCCTTAAAACAAGGGGGGGAAGGGATTGTTAGTCGGAGGGATTAGGTCGACCTCCACGCGGTTCTCTATGGAAACTATTGTGATTTAATTCTTGTGGAATTTGTCACAATGGGCCAACTGGCCTGACTTCAATCTCACTTATCATCTCTCCCTGGTGCCCCGCCTGTGTATATCGATAGCGCGGACGTGGTTATCATTCCATTTTCACCCACTAAAAAACCTTCAAATTGAAACACAGCAATGCAAACACAACTGCTTCACGGTAGAAACACGAAAGGGACAGAGGTGTCCAAGCAAACGACTTTTGTACAAAGTCTCTCCCTGGTATAACTATAGAATAGCCTAGAATAGCCTAGTACTAACAACGTTGTATATGTCCTTATCACCGACTACATCTAGAAGCACGAGTCCACCGTCCCTGTCTCCCATCCGACACCGGTACACGCCTGCATCACTTCTCGTGACATAGTATATGGTCAAGTGACCATACTTGTCCACGATTATGTTCTCCCTTGCGTCTACTCGATTGAATGTTAGGTTTTGTAGCGACTGCAACGGTTTATATTTTTAGTTTTAGTAAAATTATGTCAATTTAGTTATAAAAGCGTAAATGAAAATATTGTTTAAAACAAACTTATTGATTTTACATGGATACCTGTAACTAGTAGCCATACGGCCATGAGTAACATAGTTATGGCTGTATATTAGTTTCCTTTGGCCAATAAGGGCGAAAAATAGGTCATAACCTTTGCTTCTCAGAACAATAAAAAAAAAAAAACTTCCTGAATTTTCCAACATCAAACACCTCGACAAACCTCGGCGTCTCCCGCATGGGACCATGCCAGCAGTGGCCTCTCGTCAGGCGCCACGCAAAGCCTGCAGTGTAGTGTTACCACACTGCCTTCATACGCGGCCGTACTCGAGGCAGCTTCCTTCGACGATAGGCACATGTAGTACTCAGACTCGGAGATATGTGCTAGCTTCTGCTTACCCTCTGCAAGTAATGGAATTACGATATGAATCAAAGGGCAATCCGTAATAGAGGGAACTCTTTACAAAAGTTGTTTGCACGGATACCTCTATCTTATTGGGGGGAGGAGGAGGGTTTCTTAGTAATCTGGACTACCAGTCCCATTGCTAGCAATATCTGTTGTCAGATTTTCCCGTGCTCTCTTGGAAACTATCGTGCTGTATTCCATATGTATTCATCTTTCCTATCGTCCCTCTTGGTATTCCTCCAGCGTATATCGTTAGCGCAGGCTAAGTCACCGTTTCATTGTTATAAAAAAAAGAACCTCTATTTTACTCATCTTTCTGCTGTCAAGCAGTTGTGTTTCTTCTTGGAGAAGGGGATATAGTAGAGAAATTACAGGATACAGAGGCATATCATCATATTTCTCGGGAATGATAGCGCAGGGATGCTGCCATGTTTATAGGGAGATTATTACCACTTCCCATCAAGTCGACCGTCAGCTTATTTGCCATTATAAGTTTTTTGTCAAGATAGAATGAAGTCTTTTGTAAAACAACAATTAGGCGATATTATTAGGTGTACATAAATAATAAGAAATCTTACTAGAGTACTTAATATTATCTTCTGAATCAAAGTCAAAATAATTCGCGGCGCTTTTATTGGTAAATGCAATTTGTGTTTTATTTTCATATACATTACTTATGTTTTTGATTATTGATAAAATTATAACCAAAATTAAAATGTCGCCTGTCAACATTTTGAATTGATTGATAGAACTGTAATCGTATCAACGCCTTCCTTAATTCAAATTTAATTCTAATTCCTAATTTTCAAATTGAGAATTTTAAATATAGAACAGAACGAACAATGAAGTGAAAGTATAGCCGCATTGCTATTATACCCGTGCTTCAGAAAAAAAAAAACCTTCTGAATGTGTTATTTTTTTAAATGTCGCAGGAATGTCAACGAATATACGAACATTCCAGACAAATTATCATATTGAAGACTAGGCAGCATGGTCTCCGACCTTAGCCTGTTCCACAACCTAACAAACGTACTTAAAAAAAAAAAAAAGAATATACGAACTAAACTAACGAAACGCATTAGTTCTATTATATTATTTATTTTTAGCAATATTTGTTTTTAGCTCTAGTCTACTGATATACTGCTTCTACGTACATACAAGCCTAAGGTAAGTACAAAAAGCTAAAGGCGTGTTCAAATTTTGTTCGCGCCAAAAATTTGTGTCTCGATATAAATTACTTATTGAGCAAAACTTATTACACTCTAAACGATTATTTGAATGACAAATGTGCATGGTGTTATTCGATCATGCACGGGTCACGACTTCACTTTTCACGACTATGTAATGTTAGACATAGTACATTTAAATAATTACACATAATGTTAACAGAGATTTAAAAGAGTATTGTTGAGTTTCTTGCGAACTCTTCTCAACAGGTAACAACATTCCGAACCCTGCAGTAGAGTAAAAAAATATGACGATTTAAAAGTGCTTGGAAACAAGTGTATTTGAATTAAGATGATATGAATTTGAAAGTTTGTAATGCCTGATTATCTCTCTGGTCATGGATAATATCCTTATCACAATTAATCTTCCAGAGGGACTTTCTTACCAGAGGGAGACTTTGTACAAAAGTCGATTGCTCTGTCTCATTCGTGTTTCTACCGTGAAGCAGTTGTGTTTGCATGGCTGTGTTTTAGTTTGAAGGGTGGGATATGGCAGTGAATTTACAGGGTACAGAGGAATAACACCTAAGTCCTCAGGAATGGCAACGCATGGGGGTATCATGGGCGAAACAGTATACTCTATTATGTCCATGGTACTGCTCATATCTATAGGCGACGGTTACCACTTTCCATCAGGTGGGCCGTCAGCTTGTTTGCAGCATTCTAAGTTGCATAAATAAAGATAGAAACAATGGCGGTAGACTCGTTTCAAATGTACTTGGCAGATGTTGGCACGACAATAGTCTATCAGTGGGATAATGAATTTATTTGATGTTATTCAGCAACAGATCGAGCCTGTGAGCCTGGGCCCGCAGCCCACGCCGGAGATGGAGGCGATCGCGCGCGAGGTGGACGCGCTGGCGCGGGAGCGGCTGGCGCTGGAGGCCGAGCTGGCCGCCAAGCAGCGGGAGCTCACCGTCAAGGGCGGCGAGGCCGACAGCCTACAGGTACTGCGGCCGCTCACGGCACTCCCACCTCCAATTTTTTTTTTTTTTTTGTAATGGTTGAAAATGGATTGGTAACCCCGCCCGCGCTATCGGTATACACCGACGAGGCACCAGTGGAAGATGATAGGTGAGAATGAATGCAGGTTAGTTGGCCCACCATGATGAATTCGACAACAATTAAACATGATGGTTTCCAGGGGGAACCGCGAGGAGGTCAACCTGAGAGGGTATATTGCCAGTAATGGGGCTATTAGACCCAATTACTAACAATCCCTTTCCCCCCTCCCACCACCTATTAGTCCCAAAACTTTAGGTAAACTGTTCAGAAATACAAATAAATAGTGGACCTCCAAAGTTGTGCATCCAAATAAAAGGTGATGATTTGGATGAGCCTAATAAGGATAATCCAAAGAGCTAGCAGATGGAGTGATGTTTCATTCATTATCTATACCTACTGATGTTATAAAAATATATTTTTTGTACATTTGTTTGTGATACATAGATAGTTTTTATTACCACTAATAATATTTAAAAAAATCAGCAAAAAAAAAAGAAAATAAAAAACAATTCATTTTGCTGGTCGCTGGAGCTGCCTCAGCTGTTGCTGTATATGCACACTTCCAGCGAGATGTACCTATATAGCGCTGATTTTCAGGTGGCCCCTTAACTCTTTTACCTTTAACATGCGTGCTAATACCCATATCTGGGATAGAAGACTCAATAAAAACGCTTAAAAATTGGGATGGCACTCGAAAATTTATTTAAAAAATACAGTATAATAAGTATATATAGTAAGGTAGCTACATTGTCAGCGAGTTACATTTTATTTTACAATAACAAGAAAATTTACAGTTAGGGAAATACATTCGGCATATTAGGTACTCGAGGGCCAATATATATATGAAATAAATGTTTGAGGAATACATTCGGCGTATTAGGTACTCGAGGGCCAATATATATATGAAATAAATGTTTGAGGAATACATTCGGCGTATTAGGTACTCGAGAGCCAATATATATATGAAATAAATGTTTGAGGAATACATTCGGCGTATTAGGTACTCGAGGGCCAATATATATATGAAATAAATGTTTGAGAAATACATTCGGCATATTAGGTACTCGAGGGCCAATATATAAATATGAAATAAATTGTTGTTTAATATTTAAGACTAGTTGAACATTGTGTTTGAATGGAGTATTTATTGATTGTTACAGAGCGAGCTGGACACTCTGACGGCCACATTAAAACAGTTAGAAAACCAAAAAGGCGAAGCACAAAAAAGGCTAAACGACCTGAAGTCACAGGTGAGCGTTTGATATATTTTTTTTTATAAGTTTTTTATTGGTATTTAACTTGGAAAGCCAGTTAATTTAGATGAGATACAATGTAACATTGATATTGAACTAGAAATAGAGGGGTTAATGGAAAAATGTATTTTTTTTTTGTTTTTGTAAATGGATACCAACTGTTTATTGTTTTTTTTTTCTTTATTAAAAATGTTGAAATATATTCTGCTATTTTTTACTATGGTAGGTAGAACTAATAAAAAATATTTGAAATAGTTAAGTCTAATGAAATGAATGAAGCTTCAAGAAAAGTGCATATTTTGTGGTGTCGGCAGGATTTTTTTTTGATGGGTGAAAATGGAATGGTAACCCCGTCTGCGCTAACGGTACACGCTGGCGGGGCACCAGTGAAAGGTGATGGATGAAAATGAAAACGGGCCAGGTAGCCCATCATGATGAGTTCATCAGGATTTAACCATGATAGTTTCTTGGGGGAATAGCGAGGAGGTTTTTTAATAGGTGAAAATGGCATGGTAATCTCGCCTACGCTATTGGTATACGCTGGCGGGGTACCATTGAGAGGTGATAGGTGAGGGTGAAAAGGCAGGTCAGTTAGCCTATTGTGACGAATGAAATGATAAATTAGTCACGATATTTTTAGAGGGAACCGTGTGGAGGTCGACTTGATATATTGACAGCAATGGGGACTAATTTCCCCATTATTAACAATTCCTTCCTTCCACTGCGGGGAGGTGGATCTGGTTAGGGTATATTGCTAGCAATGGTGCTATTGGACCTATGAATGAATATTTATTTGCAAGAAATATGGTAAATATACAAATATATAAAATAATATTAAGTCCACATGTTTCGCTACAATTAGGCAAAATTTAAAATATTAAATTAACAAGTCTTATAAAATAAAACAATGTGTCGAATACGACCCTGGAATGTGCTATTCATGGACATAAGACAATTGTTTAACAAATTTATTTTTAAGAGAAAAGTCTACGAATATCTTTTGAATAAGCTGTGAAAGCAGTTCATCATCTTCATCATCATCACTTTTGATCTCTATCGTTGTTTATTTGTGTTATCGTATATAATCTATAAGTATGTAGGTATATTTATATATGTATATATATATATATATATTTATTTGTATGTACGTATTTGTATTACATATTTGTATATTTATGTAATATTTGTTTAATGTATTCATGTATGTGTATTTATATATGTTAATCATAATGTGCAGTAGTTCTCCATTGTATGTGTTATAATTTTTTCACCGCATAATACAATTTCTGTTTAGCCAAAGGTTGACTGCGAGAGAATGCTATATAGTATTAAGTCCGTTTTTTGTACCAGATATTTTTTTTTTGTAATGTGGTTGTAACAGACCGTTGTTGGAAAATGTTTTTTTTTGGTAGTTATCAAAATGAAACGGACACTGGCAAGACACTTTTTTAATTAATCTACAAAACACAACAACAACTAACAACTCGTGCACACACGTGTCACAGGGCAATCGTTCGGCGCATGCGCGCCGGCATTGATTCAATCAAATACTAACAGATGGCGCTAGTGGTTACAATTGTAACATTTTACGAGGTGCGAGGTGCGTCGCTTACAGTGGTCAATAAAGAATAAATAAATAAAAAAGAATGTGGCGGCAGGTGGAGAAGCTGCGGTCGCAGGTGGCGGCGCAGGAGGCGGCGGCGGCCGAGACCGAGGCGGAGCTGGCCGCGCGCCGCGCCGCCGCCGCCTCGCTGCGCGACCGCGAGCGCGCGCTGCACGACGAGCTGCGCGCGGCCGACCTGCACGCGGACGCCGCCACCGCCCAGCTGCGCCGCACCGTGCTCGCCGTCAGCCAGGTCTCCACCACACTGAAACCTTCCTCTCCATCTCTATCCACGTTACAAACATTATCCATACAATCCATGAATAGTATTTGTTTGTTTAATTTTGTTTATATTTGTTTAATTTTGTTTAATTTTAGTATTGTCTAATTTTGTGTTACGTTTACTTGTATTTTATTTTGTGCAAATTCTAGTGGCTGCCAAATTACTATTTAAGTATATAATTATGTATTATTTTTGCTGTTTGTTTGCCTTAAATAAATAAATAAATACATACTGATACTTAAATAATGAATAAATAATAACACAAAAAATACGCACCTATCGTGATACAATTTCAATGATTGGATAATATTGTAACAAATTCTTAGACTATTTTTAAAGTGAAAAAAAAAAGTGTTGTCCTCCTCTCTCGTACTTGCTGTGCCCAACAGAGTCCATAATTGAAGTTAAAATGTTATCTACTGATCACATTATGGAATGCAATAAGAAATAAATAAATAAATATAAAGAAGGGGTGACAATACTCTATTGAAGAACTATAGTTTGTTAACCTTTCTGAATCGCGTCTGCGTACTGTTTTCGAGAGTCCTGACCAATCGTCTTACACGCAAACTCGACGACTTAACCACCCGAACGAGCTAAACATAATCCTCCCCCATAGACTGCCATAAAGAACTGTTCTGAGCCACCTGCATCCACTGACTCCCTGCATCGCATTTCAGGTTGTCAGTCCATCTAGTGAAAAATTGTCCTCCACTGCGATTAAACGTACATGGTCGCCATTCAAGAACCTTTTTTTCACCATCGGTTGTCGGTTCTGCAAGCTAAGTGATCAGCCCATTGCTACTTCAGCTTGCTTATCCTTCGGGCTATGTCGATTGTTTTGGTTCTTTTGCGGATATCCTCGTTTCGTATTCTATCTCGCAAAGAGACTCCGAGCATAGCCTTCTCCATAGCCCGCTGTGTAACTTGTAGCTTGTGCGTACGGGCAATCGTGTAGGACCATGTTTCGGTTCCATAACTCATCACTGTTAACATGCATTAGTTAAAGACCTTCGTCTTCAAATTCTGAGGTTCTTTTACCAGAGAGAGATTTTGTACAAAAGTCGTTTGCTTGGGTACCTCTGTCCCATTCGTGTTTCAACCGTAAAGCAGTTGTGTTTGCATGGCAGTATTTCGGTTTAAAGGGTGGGATATGGCGTTAATTTACAGGGTACAGAGGAATAACACCTGAGTCCTCAGGAATGGCAACGCATACGGGGTATCATGGGCGAAACAGTATACTCTGTTATGTCCATGGTACTGCTCATGTCTATAGGCGACGATTACCACTTTCCATCAGGTGGGCTGTCAGCTTGATTGTCATTCTAAGTTGTATAAAAAAAATCTGAGGTATTTTGGATGAACAATTTTATCTCTATACATTTGTTAAATTATTTATATCGAACTTGATAATTTTTATTTTAAAACTGTATTTTACGACGGTATCAAGACAGCGCTACGCGACCACTGAAACTATGGACGTGCAGTTAAAAAAATATTAATTAATGACTTTTTCCAACAGGCGAACATTAAAATAACACATTTAGAAGAACAATTAAGGCTAATAGAGACGGCTTCGGAAGCCCTAGCGGCGAGTACGGCGGGCAGCGTGGCTGCGCACGCGCACCTGACGCTGCAGCCGCAGTTCTCGCAGCAGCACCTCGAGCGCATAGTGCGCGGCGCCACGCCCAGCGATGCGCTTGTAAGTACACAACAATATACATACACACACATGCCTCACATACAGCCGCAGCTCTCTCCACAACACCTCGAAAGCAAAGCACCATAATCGCTGGTACTGTACAAATATGAAACACGTAACGAAAAATATAACAATTACCTTAGTATCATAATTTTATTTCCATTAGAAATTTACAGTATTTCAAAATACAGTTATAAAAAATGGTAGGCATGTCTTAACATATACAGGCATCTTAACCCTTTAAGTGTCGATGAGCGCCATCGTGCTCGTGCGCATTGCAACTAAAAGTGCCACGAGCGTCGTAGCGCTCGTGAAATCAGTCGCTGTTTAGCTTGCTGTAAAAAAAAATATTAAAATTGGATAATTTTTGGAGGAGATACAGTTTTTTTAGAGACAAGGGTAAATGACATCAACACGACAATGATTTCTTTGGTATTTTTAAGTAGATATGAGTAAAAATCAATGGCAGTAAAAGGGTTAAGTTGTAATGTTGCCACATCCGTGACTTTATTCGCTTATACTGTAAAGTAATAGAAACGCTACGATGTTATAAATAAATAAATAACAATATGTATGCGCGTGCGCGTGCGCAGGAGGACGAGCCGTTCGCGAGCGAGTTCTCGTCGATGAACGGGTCGGCGCGGGCGGCCGCCGACCCCTTCGCCGCCGCCTTCCCGCCCGCCGACCCCTTCGCGCCCGCCGCCAGCACCGCCACCGCCACCACCACCACCACCAACCAGATACAGGTACTGCTCTCGTCGTACTCGGCTAGTTATAGTACTTATTAATACCTATTTAGTGTACACATCATTTTATACATCCTATGTGTTACTTTAATGATATCCCGCGGTTTAAGATATCTGTAGTCCCCTGGCTCTGGATAAGCCATTCCCAGTAGACTCATAAACGTGTTTGCCAACGAATCGCAGTTGCACATCAAGTGTTCCATGGATTCAGATTTCTTCCCGCACAGTCTGTACAGTGTGTCCGTTGATAGATTCATCTTTTGTAGTATATGCCTTACTGGCATATGCTCAGTTAAGACACCCAATGTTAGTCTCGCATTATCATAATCGATTCTTTTTAATTTTTTTATTTTCATAAGTTCAAAACCGAAATAAAAAAAATATTTGAGTACACTAATGTTTGCACATATTTTAAATACACAATCGGGATTTAACGCGATGTAACAGTTTTTACAAGTAAGTAGTACCTACATACTTGCTTCTTTATTGCCGACGTTTCGACGTGGATTGCACCAAGCAATCAAAAAGGAATCCACGTCGTTTCCCAATTGTGTATTTAAAATATCGGGTATACTAAGTTCATTTTGCCTTGTCTCATCAACAGGACGGCTTCAGTACGGATCCGTTCGCGTCGAGCGCGGACCCGTTCGCCGGCGACGCGTTCGCATCTACAGACAATACTAAAACTAACAGTGATGTGAGTGCTATTATGTATTTATTTATTTAACTCTTTAATAATAATTGTGCGCCGGTTTCTCTCCCTGGGGCCCTGAACCCCGGCCAACTGTGCTTCTGCCGGGGGTTAGTTGCCATCTCCTCTCATTAAGAGGGGAGATGTGAATTGTGTAGAAATCTAAATAATAATAAACTCTCTATTGCGATATATCAATAGAGATATATACAAGGAGTATTTATATAGAATGTACATATACAAAATTTATTTTTTAATTTATTTAGCGGCCTTTTCGTTGAAAACAATTTCTTACAGACAACCTGACGTAAATAGTAGATAAGTACAGAGTACTTATGGCACCAGAAACAATATATATATATATATATATATATATATATAAAATGACAAACATTTCAAGTGAACTACACTAGCATGAAGTACAGTTTAAAATATATATATACATAAAGGTACATACTTTCCATCAGGTGGGTCGTCAGCTTATTTGCCATTGCCAATTCTAAATTGTATAAAAAAATCCTAACCTACTTTAGTACGCTCTCTTAACTCGCTCAGTACGGTTATTTTTTTTTAAATAAATGATAATGAAATAGCCACCCCTCCTGCGTTAACGGTATACGCTGGTGGGGCACCAGTGAAGGGTGATAGATGAGAATGAAAACAGGCCAGTTAGCCCATCATGATGAATTCATCAGGAATTAACCATGATAGTTTCCAGGGGGAACCGCGAGGAGGTTGACCTGGTTGGGTATATTGCTAGCAATGGCATTCTCAGTCTCCATCACTAACAATCCCTTTCCCCCCGGATAATTTTGTATGTTAGCACACTAGGTTTATAACATTGATTTGGCTTCTGCTATCATAATGTTGTAATTGTTCGCAGGCGGCGAGTGCTGGCGGTGCTGGTGCTGGTGGTGCTGGTGCTGGTGGTGCTGGTGGCGGCGGCGCGTGGGAGGAGGATCCGTTCGCGGTGCTGCACGCGCCGAGCCTGCCGCCCAAGGCGCACAAGGTGCCGCCGCCGCGCCCCGCGCCGCCGCGCCCCACGCCGCCGCACAAGGTACGTCCTGGCCGCATGCCGCCACAAGCTCCTCTTACCCTCCTCTAATATGTACAACTTGCAATTGTCTCAGGAAAATGAAACACCTCGCTAAATAAACAGCTGTTTGTGAAAACCTATAAGGTGCCCGGTTTATGATCCTAAACTGTATCTATTTGCTCTAATGAAGCTCTTGTTTTGCCTGTGAATAAATAAATAAATAAATATTTCAAATGCTAATTCTGAATTTTGCATAATGTTATAGTTTATATAGGGAGACTGTACAAAAGTCGATTGCTTGTGTACCTCTGTCCCATTCGTGTTTCAACTGTGATGCAGTTGTGTTTGCGTGGCTGTGTTTCGGTTTGAAGGGTGGGATATGGTGTAAATTTACAGAGTACAGAGGAATAACACCTGAGTCCTCAGGAATGGCAATGCATGGGGGTATCATGGGCGAAACAGTATACTCTGTTATGTCCATGCTACTGCTCATGTCTATAGGCGACGGTTACCACTTTCCATCAGGTGGGCCGTCAGCTTGTTTGCCATTCTAAGTTGTATAAAAAAAAAATATTATTCATTCATAAGATTATAACTTGATGTTTGAGTTATCTCAAATTATTTAGAGTTGTCACAGTGATTTCCAAAATTTACTATATTTTTTCCTTTTTAAAATACAGTGCCATGAATAATAAGAATTCTAGAATGTTCTTGACTATATATTAACTTAGCAAACATAACGCGAGACACAGCTAGTCCACAATATGGCGAGGTTTTTTATTTTTCTATTGAAATTGCTCTCTGTCAGATTTATTTTTAATATACATTTTAAGCATCAGTTTCTAGTATTTCGTTTGATAAATAATTAAATAAACAATGTCTTGTACAAACTGAAAAATGGTTATAAACCAATAAACCAAACTATGGTAAACTATAACTATTTATACCATGTTATGTAACCATGGTAAACTATTTCGTAATTAGACGAATATAGATTTATTTATTGATTATTTTTTGATATCAATAAATAAATTTATAATAATATGTTTTTATATACCTCATTTATTACTGAACCGAACTATTTCAAGCGAATAAATCGGCTCAGAATACTGAATGGATTTATTTAACTATATTTAGTTCTAGTCAAAGTGATTTAATTTTTTATTTAGTAAAAACTAGATTATATAAACCAGTGGTTCTTAAAGTTTCGATACAACGGAATAATAAAATGAAAATTGTAATAATTAAAAGATGGTGCAAAGACTAAAGTTGCCTATTAGACTCAGAAATACCATCATTTTTTTTTGTCGTTTTCACTCATAATTATGATTTTCTAAGCAATTATTCACATCCTTTGTATCACATCAAATAATGAACACAGATTTAGTTGATTTAGAAGCTATTTTCCTCTCGACAATTCTGATATTGGTTCTCATAACCAACCAATCTATGTTTTTTTATTGGATGATAATGGAATGGTAGCCCCGTCTGCGCTATCGGGATAAGCTGGCGAGGCACCGGTGAGGGATGCTAGGTGAGGATGAAAAAGGCAGGTCAGTCAGCCCATCGTGACATATTAACACTAGAATTAACCACGATGGTTTCCAGGGGGAACTGCGTGGAGGTCGACCCGATAAGGTATATTGCTAGCAATGGGTCAATTAGAACCCATTACTAACAATCCCTTTCCTATGGTTGGGGACCAATGTATGTTAGATACGCGGTAATCCGCCGACTCGTCCACGGAACCCTTTGTCCGAACCCACTTTAAGAACCACTGGTACAGACTAATGTTTGTTTTTCAGATTTATTTAATTTATTATTTGTTTTGATTACTGCAAGTGTTTATTTGCCCCCTCCCGTGTGGTGTGAGTGAGCATGATGATTGCAGGAGCAGCTAAATATTATATTTTTTTCTTAATGTTTTTTTTTTACGCCGCAGAGAAAGTAAAATGTACGTAATGCACTCAGGTGTAATTTTATACGCAGAGAATGGCATTTTATTTTTTATTTTAAATTTTTTTTTTTACGTAAAATGTCAGTCTCGGAGATGATTGTGAGATTTTCTTTGTGAAATATTTATTTCTTGTTTGTAACTAGATTGATATGTATTCAAAGAGATCGAAGTAATAAAAATAAATTATTTTGATTCGTAGATTTATTATTACTATTTATATTATTTAGTAAGAGCAAAGAGGTTTGTTTGTATCGAAGCATTTGGCGTTCCATTGTTTCTGCCTACCCTAATGGGAGACAGGCGTGACAGATATGTATGTATGTATGTATGTAAGAGCAATAGTAATTTTAGCATCAGTTTACTATTGAAGAAAATACTTCTTAATTGTTAAATTAATAAATATATAAATAATAATTAAAATAATATAAAGCCGGCTTCCCTCCCTGGGGCCCTGAACCTTGGCTGACCGTTACCGACTGTTAGCTGACCGAGGGTTAGTTGTCATCTCCTCTCCTTAAGAGGGGAGACGAGAATTTTAGTAAAAATTAAAATAATAAATAATTTCACAGATATTTTTTATTGTTAAAAGTTTCATTTATTATGTTTTAACGTAATAACTACCGGTTTAACTTACGTGTAATTAGATCGAAAAAGCTCGACTGGTTTTATTTGATTTTTATTTGTTCTAATTTTTTATTACAATTAATATATGTATATAATAAAAAAAAATCGAAATAAAATAGTAGTACATATTTTACTTTCTCTGTTTAATAAAAATGCCATTCTCGCTTAACCTTGGCCGAATTTCATATCTGCTTTATACTGTTATAAAAAGTAAAATCGAATATCGTTTAAAAAACATATAAAAAAATAATTGAAATTCTTTTTTTAAAACTTGTAAAAAACATGGCATGTTCGAATCGGTGAGAAACTAATTCCATATTCAAAATGCTCATTCCAAAACAAAATACGACCCGTTGACCTGAATTTCAATGATACAGCCGTTGTAATGTTTTCGACGGCGCGTTGTAAGCAGATATGAAGGTTGTATTGTTTACCCGCTTCGCTTTGCACGCATGTAACACGTTGTGTAATGTAGTGGTCATTCACCTTTATAAATAAATTGGGTTGTAGAACTCTCTTAGCTCTCTGTTTCTTCTTCTCTTAGCTCATAGCTCTTTGTTTATATAACCACTGCCTTTTATCCGGGACTTTGTCCACTCGGCCAGGATATGTTTACTGACCAGATTAAAAAGTAACCTATATCCTTATAAGAAGTATCTTAATATATTTCAAGGTACAGAGGTATAACACCTGAGACCTCAGGAATGGCAACGCATGGGGGGTATCATGGGCGAAACAGTATACTCTGTTATGTCCACGGTACTGCTCATGTTTATTAGGCGACGGTTACCACTTTCCATAAAGTGGGCCGTCAGCTTGTTTGCCATTCTATGTTGCATAAAAAAAAAAAATTAAGCTGTGATAACAAATTTAATTTTGAATTTTAGAGATAGGTTTAAAGAGAAATGGCATTTTAGTATCAGTCCCTGGCAATTTCTTAATAGTGCTTATGTTTTATTTTAGCTGAATTTGACATTTTGACCTTTTTATTTTTTTATAAAAGTTCGCGTAATTTAATTAGATTTTTTTTTATGATTTTATTTCTATTAGCGATCTTATTAAGTTTCGTACTGTTTTCATCACTTTTTTGTTCTACCCTAATTTATTTATGAAGATTTTATATCCGTCGTTTATATATAGCATTTATTTATATATTATTTTCTATTATGTAGCATTTTTATATAAGTAAGGGGAGCTTTATATGTTTCATTATATTTTTTTAAATACTAACTACATATTGGAAAAATATTAATTGGATCAGTTTTGGTACTAAATTAGCAGAATAATTCTATGAAATTAATAAAAAATGCTTGTATCAAAATTGGGCTATTAAATACATCTTGTTGAAATTTTAATTTAAAAATGTATCCCCTTTACTCTCTTTATTTTGTCGGAATAGTTATTATCCTATTATATTTTGCATTATTAGTCTAGAAACATTTATTTTAGCATTTTTTTTAATATAAAACTTATCTATATACATATTATAAAGTGCTATAAAATATAAATATTTGGTGTTGTATACTTTTAGAAAAGTTTTTTAAATATAAAAATAAAAGAAAAAAAATATTTTTTTTGTATATTGTGTGGTCCCGACATAGAATGGGTCAAATATCGGTAATGTCCCCTTCCATGGCAGTCTATGGGGTAGGTCTATGTTCAACAGTGGACAGTTAACGACTGATATGATGATAGTTATTGATTATATAATTTATATATATATATATATATATATATATATATATATATATACGAGGTTTGTCCGGAAAGTACGTATAAAAGTTTTTTAAAAATTTTATTTTACAATTATTCAGGTAAATCAATTTTATCCCCTTCAAAGTACTCCCCCTGTGACATAATGCACTTGTGCCAACGCCGTTTCCACTGTGAGAAGGCTCCTTGAAAGTCCTCTGGTTGTAGGTTTCTCAGCTGCCCCGTCGTAGCTTTTTTTATCTCATTTATGTCCCCCAAATGCCGCCCCCGAAGTACCAATTTGGTTTTTGGGAACAAGAAGAAGTCACACGGGGCCAAATCCGGCGAATAGGGGGGTGTTCGGTCACCGTAATGGAATTTTTACTCAAAAACTCACGGACAACAAGAGAGGTGTGGGCAGGGGCATTGTCGTGGTGAAGAATCCAACGCCCCTCTCGCGCCAATTCTGGACGAACTCGTGCCACACGAGCTTTGAGGCGTCTGAGCACATCGACGTAGAATTTTCCATCAACTGTCTGGCCTGGAGGGACGAATTCTTGATGGACAATCCCCCGAACATCGAACTCTTTCTCGGCCCTCTCTGAATCTTTTTAGCCACTTGTGGACGGTTGGTTCCTTCACAGCATCATCCCCATAAACTGTTCTGAGATCGGCAAAAATTTCACGGCCATTCTTGCCGAGTTTCGAGAGAAACTTGATTACGACGCGCTGCTCTTCAACGGAAGCGGGCTCCATGCCGACGGGGTTTCGTTAAGAGGTAACTTCACAGATGGCGTGACAAGCCAGTTCGCACCGCACGGCGGTCAGACCAGAACTGAAGCATTGTTAGGGACATAAGGAAGGGGTCCTGCGCTTACCTGGCCTCCCCACTCCTCTTTCTCGCATTCCAGAACACTTTTATACGAACTTTCCGGACAGACCTCGTATATATATATATATACTAGCTGACCCCGTAAACGTTGTTTTACCACTTATTGCGAAATATAAAAATCGCGATTAAAAGACAGGGGTTGATCGTAAAACGATGAAAATTTGAAGTTGTGTGTATTTTTCAATGCTAAATCATAATAAAATAAAAATGGAATTTTTTTTAAAAAAAAATTTGTTTTTGGGGAGGATCACCCTTATCACTGAGGGGTATGAAAAATAGATGTCGGCCGATTCTCAGACCTATCCAATATGCACACAAAATTTCATAAAAATCCGTAAAGCCGTTTCGGAGGAATTTGGTAACAAACAGCGTGACACGAGAATTAATAAGATATATATGTCATAAGAGACAGACTTACTAAAATTATACAACATCAATTGATATCAGCTACTGCTCATGCTCGTAGTTGCATTACGTTTTGCCTGGTCTGCTTGTGTGCCCGCCGTCACACATGAAACACCATACTTCCTGTTCCATTAAGAATTGTTTACATTTATTTTACGTATATTTTTATTTATTATTTTTATTTATTACCTCGTTTTCTTCTGAACAGTAACAGTGTCTGTATTATACAATAACTATTTAATATTCTCTAATATATTCTATGGGCTCGGTGTGGTCATTGGTGATATGGTACAAAGGTGGATTTATGGATTACATTTCCTATTCTTCCAATTTTTGTTCGGTGTTTTGTTTTGGGAGTAGCACAAGTGTTCCTAAAAATACTTGTGCTACTTCCACAAAACCTTTGGAAGTACAATTGTTTCCTCATTTACCAAATCTTCAGCATCAGCAAAATTCCTTGAGAGTATTTATAATACTCTTTAATTAATTTAGTGATTTATACTAAACACTAATCTTATTTTAGCCTAAATCCACTTTGAATTCTGTTTAACGCGATTATAAATTTTATAATAAGAGAATTTGCTAAATTTAAAAATAGTTGACCACGTCGCGGCCGGTGTATCATCTAGCATCGACACGTTGACCACTAACATGCTAACCACTGCTCGTGTGCTTGTCCCCACATTGCAGCGCTAAGTGGACGCGGCGGCGGAGCGGGCGACACGTGCGTACACTGTATCTCTCTCCCTCACACCCAGCTAACACACACACACACCCCTCATTCACACAATTTGTGTTGCGTCCAGACCCGCGCCAACACTATGGACTTCACCGAGGACCCCTTCAAGGACTACAGGTACGAGGATCCGTTCAATATAGAGGACCCGTTCGCTGACGCCGTCGACTCAAACAAGACTGACATGTTCACGAGGCCTATGTCAGTGGCCGCCGCGGGCTTCGAGACCGACGACTTCTTTGGGACCACCCCCACCGCTAACGGCACCTTCACGCGCCACGACAAGCGCAGCGGCCGCGCGTCCGCTCCCCCCGTGGCGTACGACCCGTTCGCCACCCGCTCAGACTTCAAGACGACCGCTGCCCCCACAGATACCAACAGCAATACATGGGCGGCGTGGCCGAACGACGACTGGGCGACGGACGACGCCTGGTCCAAACCGACTAGCCCGCCCAAAGACACGTGGTCCGCCAAAAACACTAACTCGACAAGTACCGACTGGAAGACCGATAACTGGGCGAACAAGTCTGAGAACTGGGCGGTGGACTGGGGCTCTGACCACAACAAGAACCTGAACGAAACGTGGCCCTCGAACACGCTGCCCAGCAAAAAAGAGAAGTCGCCCAAACCGGTCAAGTATGCCAGGTCACTGGTGAACACGATAGGCGGGATAGGGCGGAGTAGACAGAATAAAGAAAAGAAGTCGAAAGCGACATCATTGGAGGCCCGCAGCGCTGAGTTCTTGCCGTCAGAGGAGCAGCAGTGGGCGTGGGCGGCGGCCGAGTCTAAAAAGCTGGAGGACGAGGCCGAGGCTAGGCGGAGGCAGGAGGACGTCGAGCTTCAGCTAGCTCTGGCGATATCGAGGCAAGAGAAGTGACCTCGATGCGGCATCGAGCTGGATTTACTCGGTAAGAAAGGTTTGGACGTCACGATGCAGGAGTCGATGCGTTTTTTTGTTCGTCCATCTTTGTTTCACGATTATGTACCTAAATGTACAGTTAATTTGATATAATAGTAAGTGGTCAAAGTAAGAATAGAAGATCGCTGTAGGAAGGCCAATGACCTTGACCTGTCGACAGGTACTTGAAAAGTACAGTTTGCTGTATAATTTGAAAGGAAAATAATTTTGTATATATAACATTTATTTAACTATTAGAATTACTTTTGACAGCTAAGCTAACAATATGGTGGGCAGTTAGCCCTATTCTTACTCTGATCACACTATAATTGTTTTGTATTAAGAAAAAGAGATTCAGCATTCCACGAACTAGACAGTTTTGTTACCATCATCAAGAAGAGACTGGTAGGTCTTGTTTAGTCTGTGCAGCCTCAGATCTTGGGTTCGTATAAATGTCTCGATTGATTGATCTTAATCGAGATATTTTATCGATACCATTTTGTAATACTCGATATGTCACTCGAATTTTGATATTATGCCATAAAGTAATTATTGTTTTTTTTTTGTTAATTTTTATTTCTATGTAAATAAATGTATCTGAAATTAGTTAACAATTATCAAATTTATTTTTTATAATGGCAACACTGAACCGCTTATTTGTATTTAGATAAGGGCGGCACGAGTTAACTTCTGATGGTTGCAACAGAATCGGCATTGACATGTATAGATTAAAAACGTCTTGTTATTTTATTTTTTTTATGCTTTTAATAAGCTTCGAATTAATGTATCACTAGTCAAATTGTCGTAGGGGTCTCAGGTGAATCACAGCATATTACGTGGTAAAAATTAACGTCGCAGCTCGGTACAAAAATGCCGTCGTGTTAAATATTATATATATATATTTACCCACTACAGAGAAATTATTTATTATAAATATATATATATATATATATATATATATATATATATATATATATATATATATATATATATATATATATATATATATATATACTATCATTAAATTGTGTATCAGTCTCTGAGAATACAGTTCGTATTAATAGGAAATAAATTAACAGCTAAATTTTAATAAACAGAATGATGTAGAGAGAATTGATGTAGCACACAAAGCCAGGGACAGCCTATTAATACCTGATTCTACACTGTAATACCTCAGGCATATTTTATGTGGAATTCCTTGTGCTTTAATATTGATGGAGCCATATCTTGTATCACTAATAATAAAGAATTAAACCATAGCTTTACACAGCTCTCGCAAGCAAGTTTGAACTGTGGATATTTGTAATTATTTTTCGTGAAATTCTATTATGTTATGATGCCTTCATAATGAATATTATATTTGTTATATATATATATATATATATATATATATATATATATATATATATATATATATATATATAATTACCTTGAATTATTTAGGTAGTTTTTTATTCCATATGGCGTTTTTTGTCGAACTGTGGCAATTGTAATATTGTTAGTAATTAAAATGAATGTATTATATTGTAATTGTTGTTCTACATCGAGGCCTAATACCTTCAGTGTGTAAAGTCTGATAATTATTTACATTATGTACTAGGGAACATTCACGATTGATATTGGCGTTTAAGTGGGAAATTAAATGATTTATATAAAATGATATGCTCATTATATATATATATATAAATATATATGTATATATATATATATATATATATATATATATATATATATATATATATATATATATGTATATGTATATGTATTAAATTATGTAATTCTTATTTTAAAAATTACAAGCATTTAATATTATTAATATGTTAAATATTGAAAATTTTGTTCCTAGTATCTTTTATATGGTTTTTTTTATGGTGTAAATCAAGAGAATAATCCGTTTAAATGCCAATAAAAATCTTTGCGTATTTTTAAAAGATTATTGAATATATAAATAATCCTAATACTATGCAATTGCAATACATTAATTGTTTTGCATTCATTACGTTTTACATAGAAAATAATTATGCATATAATATTTCATTATAAATTTGTACTCGATGAAAAGTTCATTTGGATTGTTTTTTTTTTCTCCGACTGGCCGGGAGTCATTGGAATCCAAATTACGAGGATGTAATTCAACCTGCGAGGGCATATATATTTTTATATGCACAATATATTATCCTAACGCCCTCTATAATCAGTCGTCAGAGGGGCAGAAACTGTAAAAATTCCGTTCAATACATTTCAATAGCCTTCCGGATAGACAGTTCGGTCACCGTTAATTTACATTTTATTCTTTGTGGTTACAATTTAAAGTGTACTGTTACACAGTCTATGTGTAAAATTATTTACACATATCGTTTGATTTATACACAGTTTTGTACATCGAATGTGTAACATTATTTACACATTCGATTTGTTAGTATTTTTTGTTTAAAAATTGTTACTAACAACATATCGAATATTGATTTTCTGCTCAATTCTCAAATCTTTCCTCTAGAAAAGGTGCAAACAATCTCTTTCCTTAGACTAACGTCGGTTATCGCTCATATGAGATGGAAGGAGACGGCGCATGTCGCCATCTCATTCTATCTCATGAACTTGTATTAATAGATTCGTTTGTATTTTTGGCTTGTTTCCTCCATTACGTTTGTCCCTTAAAAATCTTATATTATGCCTAATTAGGCGTATGCATATTTTAATATGTATTAAAACGATGTATAATATAAATTTAATTCATTATATTTATAGTAATTGCTTTATTTCGATATTATTATTATTATTACATGTTATTTCGATTAATTGTATATTTTAGATTTGTCGTTTATTCGTCGTTAACTATAGTGTAACAATGTATAAATATTTGTTTTTTTTTATAATATAAACGATTCCAATGTCTGTCCGAGTACAATTGTTGTGCATTTCTTGTGTTTGTTTTGTTTTTGTTATTATATACAGTGTGTGCTGAATGTGGAAATATATATATATATATATATATATATATATATATATATATATATATATATATATGACTGTATTCATACAAATATACAGTTGATATTTAAAATTTATTTAATACTCGACGTAGTAATCTATTTTCTCTTCAATAGTTAATAGTTTGCTTTTTTTTTGGTACGGAGTGAGTCTTGTAAAAATAATTATCAAAATCGGCTTCACACTTGGCGAAGATATCGCTTAACGTACATATACAAAAATACAATCGAGAACCTCCTTTTTTGATGTTGGTTGAACATTATATTTAAACGAATAAAATATAAATAAAATTGGAAAATATTTTATTTATATTAGCAACAAGAGGCGTTTGTATGAATGTAGCCGTACACATGTAAAACTATTAAATTATTTAGAGTCGCAACATACTCAATCACCCATACATGTCACACACTATTGTGTAAAAATGTATAAAAAAACTTAAATATGCAAGTATATTGTTGGGAGTCTGGACGGTAGCTAGCGCGGCGCATTTTATAGTCTGTAGTGCCTTCCTGTTTGTCATCGCCTCTTTCTTGTATTAGCGTATGATAAGGCGATTGGAAAAAGACGCAGTTATATAGCTTCAAATCCACTGCTCATGATCTATCTTTTTGAATGTTCTGCAAACAAGTGACTGTTCTGCAAACCAATGTACCCAAATATAGTATAATAAGAAATTAATGTGAACTATTGCATATGGTTTAACGTAAATTGTACGCGAAACGTAGATTCCTTTCGGTAAATAAAATGTTCAATAAAATATGACAAAAAAAAAAAAAAATTGAATAAAATTCATAATTTTCTACCACTTTGGTAGTATTTAGTTGCGTAGTGTGGCAACACCACTTGCTTACGTACGCACGGGCCCTACGCGCCGCCTCCGGTACAATAATTACATTAGCACACTCTTGTCGAGATATTTAAAAAAAGAACTAAGTATTTATTAAACATGCAAGTGCCTCTGTGGCATAAATTTTTTTTTATGAATATCTCCACAAGTAGTTAGTTTATAGGTAATAATTATGTAATTATAAACTAAAACATGTAACTATAATTTAAATACCAGTGTGTTTATGGGTATATCCTAAAAGTTGTTATCTCTTTCCTAGGCGCTGTTGTTTGTGGCTCGACGTGCCGCGCGGACACCTTTACGATTGTTCGGTTTTTATTTCGACCGCTCGTTCTTGATATTTGAGAATATATTTTGCTTAAATAGAATTATGTAGTAAGGTACTTATACGACTTAATATATAAACGTAGCTATAACGAATCTAAAATGTTTAATATTATTTAAAACGTTTATTGTGTTGTTGGAATTTATAGATATGTCTATTTTCGCTAAGTGTTCTCAGTCAATTGATATTCACGTATTTATCGATAGTTTCTTATTAGATAGATATTCTTATATCCGATAGAGTCCGCGCGGTGCGTTCGACCAGTGTCTGTTATCAAGTATACAATATAATGTACTTTCAGTGATAGCGGAATAAAATAAACTTTAACTCTTGACGTTGACGTGTATATGTATATTTAAAGCTAATACCTAAATAACGGAATGAGCAAATTTGATATAATACAGGTAAGCTAAGTCGGTAGTGACGGTGCGCGGGATTGTATTGGTTCACTGGTTAGTCGTAATTTGAGCGTTTCGAAGCTTTAAATATGCTAAAATATAGCTGTTAGTATGAAAATTTCCATACGTTATCATAATCGCTCATAACAATCGGTTAACTAATAAGTAGGAGCCGTCAAGAGCTGTTTCGTTCAGTATTACTCGAGACCGCGCGCCTTAGCTTGTAGTATAGTGGAATTATCATTAATCGCTTAAGTGGAAGGGGTCTTAGGGGTACGTAGGGGTGACCAGGTATAGGCGTTTCGGTTATTGGACCATAGTCCACAAAACAATATGGTTCTATGTTTGTAGCACGAATGTAAGGGAAGTATGTTATGGTAATAGGCAATCCCAAAAGAAATATCACTCAACGTAGCAATTTATCACATCTGTTGAAAGTATATCCATTGTTGTTGTAACCATAGATTTAAAGGCATACATGTTTTGCAGTGTCGCTCATTATGGTCGTATGTTATGATTAGCCGATTTTATTCACCGCTTTTTTCATATGTGCAACGAAATATTTTAGTGATTACATTTCAAGTGTCAAGATTGTTCACGCCGTGTTTGTGTCCGTTCACGGTCCGGGCCTATTGTACATGATTGTGCTATGCTATTATTAGTATGGAGTCGTAACTTATGAAATTTGTTAAAATGTAATAATAAGTAGTGAAGGATTAGCACTAGGAGGTTTAAGTTCCCCTAATAATAATGAGCACGATCATTGTGTAATAGACTAACCCCTTATAGCTTGTTTTAGTTGTTGAATCGTTTTGTCTCTTTTTTTTACGCTAAATTTCCAATTTGAAAGAAAGCGACAAAACAGCACAATAGTTAAAATAGGTTTGTAGGTTTTTATGAATAAGGGGGTAATGGTTTTCAAATGTACCATTATGTTTTAATAGAATTTTAACAAAATTATAAAATTTTGGCACAATTACAAATCAAAAATATCATTAGTTCCTTTGTTATTTGTATATAATTTTTTTTTAATTATACTGGTTCAGTAAGTATATTATACGAAGCTGAATTCTTGTGAGTTTCTACTTATAAATTTGTCTCAAAGTATCTCAGTGATGCTGAGATACACAGCAAATATGTAGTTAAAGTTTTGAAATCGGCCCTAAATTTACTGTGTAGAGTAAAAGTAAAATAATTTGGCACAACTGTTATTTATAGTTTAGCAAATGAATTATTATCTGTTTATATATGGTGGCGCTGTCATTGAGGCATGGGAGTGTGGTATTGTAGTCTGGATAAATATATTAGTAGCTAGAGAAATTCGACCCATTCAATTTAATTTTTGGAAAATTGCAGAATGCTGTTCGGTTCCACTTATAATTAATCGTTTGAATAAATTAACAAAAAAAAAAAAAAAAACGAGCAAAATATTATATTTGCTCTCAAACATTTGAAGATATAGAATGGCAACTTATCGACGTCTATAAGATATTAGCCGGTACAACATAGACGCTAAACAATATCGAAGTACAATATATACATCATATCGCATGCGTTCCGTTTTGCGCAGGTGCACGGGACGCAAGGATAGTTCCCGTATACAATAACTAGATATCATTATAATCAAAGTTCTTGTGATCTAGTGACGTGTATAGATATCTCTATTTATACATAACGGTTTTTGGGGACTTTTTCCACATTAGAACATTCTTTTTTTTTTCCACACTTTTTTTTTATGACATTTTTTTTTTTTATAATGGCAACTATGTACCTAATCTGTGGTATTAATGTATATTAAAGTTTTATAGATTTTTTTTTATCTACTTCTTCGAGTGTAGTGATTTGTGAAAAAGGCCCTTCGAACTCATAAATTATGCATATTGACGCGATTCTTAAATGTTAGCTTAAAACGTTATTCACATATCGCAAGTTTGATTGTCGCGTTTTCGCTTCTGTAAAGTTTACGTTTTTGTAAGCTGACTTAACGACTGCATTTTTTACAGATAGTTACATTTATACTTATATATTTTTAAGCGTAAGTTACACAGATGACGGAGCGGGAACGTTCTAGGTCGGAGGTGTTGCATAGGCGGGGCGAAGTGCAGTGTTAGCGAGGCGGAATGTACTTGGATCGGTTAGAATTCCTTATCGGTTAACAAGCCGGAGCAACAACGAAACGGCAGAGTTAATTTAGACTGTATAATAATTTTACGCTTATTAATATAAGTACACTAGCGACATTCGTGAGTGTACTAAATTTAAGTGATAGGTAACGTTGTGATTATCATCATAAGTTTTTCTTTCGTTCGGGCTAATATTACAATACCTCGCAGCTGCACACTGGTCTTGTCACGACAGACAAACCCTGTGTTAGATTTGACCAGTCGTCAGCCCGCCAAAAGCGCTGTTTAATATTTCATACTAATTCAGACAAGTCCCCCGGCCTTGAACGCTCCCGATCTGTATTCTGTGTAGGTTACGTTTCAAATCGTTATATACCTATATAATTACGCGAATACATACTGTTTAATGCACTTCGTTCTAGTTAAAAAAGTTAGACAAATTCTACTAGGTACTTATATGGTAAAAATTAAATTAAATGTTTATATAAATAAAACAAGTTGTGTATGTTTGTAATAATACCTATAGCGTGTACGACCAAATAATTTTATTATTGAATGTGGGTACTCCGAGATTAATGTTAATTTGTAACCGGCTATACCAATTACGACCTAATTTATATATATGTAAACAATTTCTTTCGATGGCTGTGTTTTGTTGCGACTTTTCTTTTTGTACAGTCCCAGTAGTTTTCTATTTTGTGCACTAGTCACACTGGCTATTTTTCGGGCGGCAAAATGGCTAGAAGCCAAAATGGTCTTGGGCTCACTTTATCTTTGAAGCATGTCTTGCGTCCTGCTAGATCAGTAAAAATTATTTTAAGGGTTCTACTCACCTATCGAATAAAAAATAATAATATTTTTAACGCATCCACAGACTATTAAAATTTGAACTAAGAAGAAACTTGATTAATTATATAAACTTAATAAGTCAATACTTTAATAAACGTATGTAGGTATAGTTTTTAATGTAAAGCGTTATATTACAAAACAACTTGTTTTTTTTTTGTTTAAGTCTATTAGTAGGGATTCAAATACAAGTAAATTATTGAGTTCAGTGCCCATGAAACTTGGAGGGGTGAGTGGGACTGCTAGGTATTAAGACAATTAAAAGCGAGATTTTGAGGGTTCAGTGTGTCCGAGATCGTCGAAAACTAGCCAGAAATGTGCATATGTGACTGTATTTATGTATATATTTTTTTTTGTTATGCTAAGAGGGAGCCAGTCGGGTACCATCGTTCGTGCATTCGTCATTACCTGCTGACATGTATTCATTGTAATGAAACTATGATATTATATTAATATGAAAACAAATTCCTGAGATAATAAAAGGGAAAATATTATAAAGCTGTATTTTATTTGCGCCTGAATATTTAGAAGCACCTAGATCCTGATCTGTCTCTGAACTTTATAATGGTTTCCATTGATTGATTTTTTAAAACTTGAAATTATCGAAGCTGATATTTTTTGACAAATCCCTAATTTCAGTTCGTCTTCATTGGTTCATGTTTTTGCTTCTATAAAAAATCATTCTAATGGATGATAATGAAATGGTAACCCCGCCTGCGTTAACGGTATACGCTGGCGAGGCACCAGTAAAGAATGATAGATGAGAATGAAAATACAGGTCAGTTAGCCCGTCGTGATGAATACACCTGGAAACTAGCATAACGCTTTCCAAGAGGGGGAGGGGGGGGGGGCATGTAAAAGTTGACCTGACTTACTAGTAATCCCTCCCCCCTCCAAGAATATAAGTCTGCGATGGTAGATATTGAACGAATGATAAAATGATAAAAAATACTGCAATATTAATTCTAGATTTAATATAAAATAATGAGCATGAGAGGCGATTGTTAAGTAAGTATATCATATAGAGTGATTCAAAATTTCATACTATAATACATAATAGATACATTATTTATACATTTTAGATGTCTCCAATTGGATTGTAGTTTATATTCCACGTCAAATATTTACTTTTGCATAGTTATGTGTATTGGTTATACATATTTACAGTTATCCACGAGGTACATTCATATTTCCCACTTCTCTCCTTTTCTCCCCAGCACCAATGTTACCATACAATTGGTGTATTCTTATTTCTTTTTATTTTCCTCTTGCGTGGTCTTAGCATCATTTCCTATTGGTTGTTTTTCGTTTTCCTCACCTTTTTTCTTGTACACTTGTGTTATGTACGATTTCCCGTGTTCAGGTATGCATTTGTCATCCCGCTTGGCGGGGGTCAGGACGAGTTTCAATATAGGATCCATTGGCGCCTCCACCATCAAATAGAATGGGATAGAAATTAAATAAGCCACTGTCAGTACGCCAAATTGCATTAACATCTGTAAATAATTGCTAAAATTAATTTGTGACATATTGGCCACGATTAAGTTCGCATGAATCAAGACGAATGCGTGTATATATATAATAATATATAAGTATATATCATGAGTAGGGATATGTATTTACATTATTACATGTATCACATCTCTATATTTCAGAAATAATATAATTTCATCGTGCCACCAAATTGTTTATAATTACTCCTCTCCATCCAAATGTTGCCTGGACGAGATCGCTCTTAGCGATAAGGTCGCCCATTGTTTTCTCATTGTGATTATTTCTTGTAATTATTTATGTTTATAATATGTTTACTGTTGTAATCCTTTAGAGGAATCAATAAAGAGTATCTATCTATGAATGTATGAATACCAGATTTCATTCAAATTCATTCAGCTATGGCTCATTCGTGTTTCTACCGTGAAGCAGTTATGTTTGCAAGGCTGTGTTTCGGTTTGAAGGGTGGATATGGCAGTGAATTTACAGGGTACAGAGGAATAACATCTGAGTCCTCAGGAATAGCAACGCATGGGAGGTATCATGGGCAAAACAGTATACTCTGTTATGTCCATGGTACTGCTCATGTCTATAGGCGACGGTTACCACTTTCTATCAGGTGGGCCGTTAGCTTGTTTGCCATTTTAAGTTGCATAAAAAAAATGTAAGCAATGTTGCTTCTACTTACCGCAGAAAAGTAGTTTAATTCCACCAGAACTGATTTTGAGCCAATTATGTAGTGTACAACGTTCATATGTAGCAAATAAACAGAGTACGTGAGCCGCCCGGACACCGCCCACCCGTCCCACTCGAACATGCTCGTGAGGAAGTCTGTGAATAGATAGATTGGCGTTAATTTACTGGGTACACAGGAATAACATCTGAGTCCTCAGGAATGGCAACGCATGGGGGGTATCATGAGCGAAACAGTATACTCTGTTATGTCCAAGCTTAAGTCAAGGCAAACCAGCTGACGACCCACCTGATGGAAAGTGGTAACTGTCGCTTATAGACATGAGCACTACCATGGACATAACAGAGTATACTGTTTCGCCCATGATACCCCCATGCGTTGTCATTCCTGAGGACTCAGGTGTTATTCTTCTATACTCTGTAAATTCACGCTATATCCCACCCTTCAAACCGAAACACAGCCATTTCCAGGTTTTCAGGGGGAATCACGTGGAGGTCGACCGGATAGGGTGTATTGCTAGTAATGGGGCTATTTGACCCCATTACTAACAATCCCTTTCCCCTCCGGACATACCCTTTTGGTTATTGGTTTTTTGTATTAATTATGTGTTCAAAACAATTATAATAAAAAATAAATCAAAAGATCACATTTCTGAAGTCGGTTGCAAAGTGTATTTGTTCGTTGTAAAATTGGTAGTTCATAGGAGAAAGAGCAGTGTACAACGAAAAATTGAAATAACTATATTGGGTACTCACTATCCAATTTCATGGTGAACCCTAATATAAGGTAGACAGCCGCGCCGCCGATGACAATGCGGTGGGTACCCTGGTACACCATCCTCACCAGGAGTGTAGGTGAGCTGTAGAAAACGCTTCCGAGTAAGGCCAACCCGATAATCATCGGGATGCAAGCCCAGTATATATACTTGTAGATCTATAACAATACAGGAGATACATGATAATATACGTATATATGTTGCAGGCAGAACTCTTAACCAGTTACAAGTACTATTGACTAGCAAAATCAGTCAAAACTACTTTTTTTTTATGGGTGAAAATGGTATTGTAACCCCGCCTGCGCTAACGGGATACGCTGGCGGAGCACCAGTGAAGGGTGATAGATGAGAATGAAAACAGGCCAGTTAGCCCATCATGATAATTTCCAGGGAGAACCGCGAGGAGGTCGACCTGGTTGGGTATATTGCTAGCAATGGGATTCTCAGTCTCCATTACTAACAATCTCTTTCCCCCCCCGTCAAAAGTACTTTTGACTGAACAGGTTGGTCAAAAGTGGTTTTGACTTGAAATTATTGGTTATTAGTACTTTTGACTGCAAATTTGCGGTTAGATTAAGTTAAGTACATTTAACTGTAATTTTAGTCAAAAGTATTATTTATATATTTATAAAAGACACACCAACAATATGCTCACAATAATTAAGTAGACAATATACAATGTTATTAGTAAGTAAAAGAGAAAAACTACTATTAAATAATGCTTAAATCTAAGTTTAGTGCGTGCGTGCGTGCGTGCGTGCGTGCGTGCGTGCGTGCGTGCGTGCGTGCACAGTCAGGATCAGGGTTTCATGAAATTCTCAGTTTCCTCATAATTTAATGAAAGTAAATAATTTTTTACAAGTCTATTAGCCTGTGATGAAGTATTATTCTTTATTTGGCAACATTTAAGTATTTTATTGTATATGTAAGAATGAAGAAAACGTGGTAAGCGACTTGCAAATGTGGTTTTAATACAAGGAACACGAATTCTATAAATTCTTTTTGTTAATACTTTTGGGTGGTCAAGATGACAAAGTGAATTTTTATGACACGATTTAAAAACTTGTAGAATGTATAGCTGACGAACAGTTAGCACATCACATTAGAAATCTCTAAAATTATCAGTGTTTCTCTACAATATTATGCATGTATTATACATATAAACCTGCCTCTTTAATCAGTCGATCTATTAAAAACCCGCTTCAAAATCCGTTGCGTAGTTTTAACGATTTAAGCATACATAGGGATGGACAGACAGCGACAGCGACTTTGTTTTATACTGTCTGGGGGACACGATGGCGAAAAAAAAACGGCCGCGCGGAAAATTTTTTAATAGATGGCGATACTAGTCGCGATTTACTATTAATGCTTCCGTAAGTTTCAGAAAACAAACAAAATCATTTATAAAATATGTATACTTTTATTTTGTGGGCATAAGAACTCCGTTGCGCCTTAGGGTACCAGGGCGTAACTCCGCTTCCCCCCCCCTCCCTACTAGGGCCGGGGTGCAGCCTTGAGGGAGGCACACCCCACTAAGTTCCCTAGGAGGTATGCGCACGTACCCGTGTGCCTCCTGAGACGGTAGGATGGGAAGGGCATTCCCCATCCTAAACACGAGAGGTGGCCTGCCCTACAACATCTACAGGGCGGGCCGTCGCGTCGGGCTCCGGTCGTCTTCAACTCGGGAACCCGGGGACCCGACATATGCGCCTCGAGGTACGTCGTGAGGTTTTAGTGGGTAAAAATCCCACACACCCCCCCTGCCTTCCCTCCGGCAGTTGGGAAGGTCTTTGGAAGATTTCCTCACGTTAAAAAAAAAAAAAAAAAAAAAAAAAAAAAAAAAAAAAAAAAAAAAAGGGTACCAGGGCGTACTGAAGCCTTTATCCCTCTACAATGGACCTCTGGGAGGATGGATCGTTTTTGTACTATACTCGTGGGAACAACATGAACAAAAAAGAAACTACAAAGAAAACTACGTACGTTCTCTAAAGAATGCGAAATTGAAACGACAAGAGATGATTTCTAATGAAAGCGAGCGTCCATAAGCGGCAACGCTTAGGAAAAATACGTTTAGCAATAGCAATAGCAATAAACATAGAGAAAACGAATCGTTAGAACAATGCACAAATAGGCAAGATATCGCTAGAATACATACATACACAAAAGAGAAGATAAAATGAATTACAAGAAGAACAATTACACGCGTGAAATCTCTAATTAACAATACTGAAAAGTTAAAGAAAAGATATCATTTTTTAAAAACAAGCTTTTATTACCTATCTGTTAATAAAATGAACGGAATGTTAATTTTCACATAAAAATAAAAACCGACTACAGTCATGTTTCAACTTGTTCGTCCAGCCGACTATAGTTGTTGAATATAGACATAAATAGGTTTTTTATAAATCTAGTCATCACATATTAAGTTCATGTCCAAAAGCCTAAAGTTGCGATGTTTTGTATTTTAGATCAATTTAATTTTAGTTGCTAAATAATGTTTAAAAGCATTGTCTTATGATGTAGTCTAATTTGTTCTCACTCTGCAATAATTATATCATTCAATAACGTATTGTGTTGTGTGTTCATCTATTCGCATTTGTTTCAGCTTTCTATAACTGGATTACACATTGAAAAATTATTAATACCCCAACATAAGTGATGATGAGCGGCAAGATAATACTCTGTTGAAAAGCAAGAAAATACTTCACTGAAGCGGGCTATAGAGCATTTCTTCGAAAAGACGAAGAAAAAAAAAGAATTCAGTTCTCAATTCGTCGGTTGGTCAATCGTAGCAGAGTTGAACGTCTTACAAGACGTTCCACTCTGAATCTGATCGATAGACCGATAGTCAGAGTGTCTGTGTGTCTGAGTGTCTAGTGTCTGAGTGTCTAGTGTCCGAGTGTCTAGTGTCTGGGTGTCTGAGTGTCTAGTGTCTGAGTGTCTAGTGTCCGAGTGTCTAGTGTCCGAGTGTCTAGTGTCTGGGTGTCTGAGTGTCTAGTGTCCGAGTGTCTAGTGTCCGAGTGTCTAGTGTCCGAGTGTCTAGTGTCCGAGTGTCTAGTGTCTGGGTGTCTGAGTGTCTAGTGTCTGAGTGTCTAGTGTCCGAGTGTCTAGTGTCCGAGTGTCTAGTGTCTGGGTGTCTGAGTGTCTAGTGTCCGAGTGTCTAGTGTCCGAGTGTCTAGTGTCCGAGTGTCTAGTGTCCGAGTGTCTAGTGTCGGAGTGTCTAGTGTCCGAGTGTCTAGTGTCCGAGTGTCTAGTGTCCGAGTGTCTAGTGTCTGGGTGTCTAGTGTCTGTGTGTCTGAGTGTCTAGTGTCTGAGTGTCTAGTGTCCGAGTGTCTAGTGTCTGGGTGTCTGAGTGTCTAGTGTCTGAGTGTCTAGTGTCCGAGTGTCTAGTGTCTGGGTGTCTGAGTGTCTAGTGTCTGAGTGTCTAGTGTCTGAGTGTCTAGTGTCCGAGTGTCTAGTGTCCGAGTGTCTAGTGTCCGAGTGTCTAGTGTCTGGGTGTCTGAGTGTCTAGTGTCCGAGTGTCTAGTGTCCGAGTGTCTAGTGTCGGAGTGTCTAGTGTCTGAGTGTCTAGTGTCCGAGTGTGTAGTGTCCGAGTGTCTAGTGTCCGAGTGTCTAGTGTCCGAGTGTCTAGTGTCTACTGTGTGAGTGTCTAGTGTCCGAGTGTCTAGTGTCTGGGTGTCTGAGTGTCCGAGTGTCTAGTGTCGGAGTGTCTAGTGTCCGAGTGTCTAGTGTCCGAGTGTCTAGTGTCTGGGTGTCTAAGTGTCTAGTGTCTGAGTGTCTAGTGTCTGAGTGTCTAGTGTCCGAGTGTCAAGTGTCCGAGTGTCTAGTGTCTGTGTGTCTGAGTGTCTAGTGTCCGAGTGTCTAGTGTCGGAGAGTCTAGTGTCGGAGTGTCTAGTGTCTGAGTGTCTAGTGTCAGAGTGTCTAGTGTCAGAGTGTCTAGTGTCCGAGTGTCTAGTGTCGGAGTGTCTAGTGTCTGAGTGTCTAGTGTCAGAGTGTCTAGTGTCCGAGTGTCTAGTGTCCGAGTGTCTAGTGTCGGAGTGTTTTGTGTCGGAGTGTCTTGTGTCGGAGTGTCTAGTGTCCGAGTGTCTAGTGTCGGAGAGTCTAGTGTCGGAGTGTCTAGTGTCTGAGTGTCTGGTGTCTGAGTGTCTAGTGTCCGAGTGTCTAGTGTCGGAGTGTCTAGTGTCCGAGTGTCTAGTGTCGGAGTGTCTAGTGTCCGAGTGTCTAGTGTCGGAGAGTCTAGTGTCGGAGTGTCTAGTGTCTGAGTGTCTAGTGTCCGAGTGTCTAGTGTCTGTGTGTCTGAGTGTCTAGTGTCTGAGTGTCTAGTGTCTGAGTGTCTAGTGTCCGAGTGTCTAGTGTCTGAGTGTCGAGTGTCCGAGTCTAGTGTCCGAGTGTCTAGTGTCTGGGTGTCTGAGTGTCTGAGTGTCTAGTGTCTGAGTGCCTAGTGTCTGGGTGTCTGAGTGTGTAGTGTCTGAGTGTCTAGTGTCTGGGTGTCTGAGTGTCTAGTGTCTAGTGTCTGAGTGTCTGAGTCTCTAGTGTCTACTGTGTGAGTGTCTGATTGTCTAGTGTCTGAGTGTCTAGTGTCCGAGTGTCTAGTGTCGGAGTGTCTAGTGTCCGAGTGTCTAGTGTCCGAGTGTCTAGTGTCGGAGTGTCTAGTGTCTGAGTGTCTAGTGTCCGAGTGTCTAGTGTCAGAGTGTCTAGTGTCCGAGTGTCTAGTGTCCGAGTGTCTAGTGTCGGAGTGTTTTGTGTCGGAGTGTCTTGTGTCGGAGTGTCTAGTGTCCGAGTGTCTAGTGTCGGAGAGTCTAGTGTCGGAGTGTCTAGTGTCTGAGTGTCTGGTGTCTGAGTGTCTAGTGTCCGAGTGTCTAGTGTCGGAGTGTCTAGTGTCCGAGTGTCTAGTGTCGGAGTGTCTAGTGTCCGAGTGTCTAGTGTCGGAGAGTCTAGTGTCGGAGTGTCTAGTGTCTGAGTGTCTAGTGTCCGAGTGTCTAGTGTCTGTGTGTCTGAGTGTCTAGTCTCTGAGTGTCTAGTGTCTGAGTGTCTAGTGTCTGAGTGTCTAGTGTCCGAGTGTCTAGTGTCGGAGTGTCTAGTGTCCGAGTGTCTAGTGTCCGAGTGTCTAGTGTCTGGGTGTCTGAGTGTCTGAGTGTCTAGTGTCTGAGTGCCTAGT